TAAGGTTTACCAACCCCTAGATTTTCTATATGGTTGATGGCTTAAAAAATTCAAACTCTTGAAAACCTAAGTAGTGGTTTTAAAAGTGAGAAGCCTTAATTAATGATGATTGAAAATAATATATATATATATGAATTGAAAATTAAAAAATTGTTTATCAAATAAAAAGAAATTAATAAAAAATCAATGAGAGATTTTGACCTTTCAAAAATAATAAACCATTAAGTAAGCAAACATAAATGAATGTATTATTTATAATTTCTACATAAACCAAAGATGTAAACAAATTATTTTTACGCAAGTAATAGTGTCAAATTTGAGAGATTTATGCAGCTTAGAAAAGCAACACTTAAAGCTTTTGTACCTTCATCTCCAATTTATACATTACTTTTATTAATTTTTATAAAATACATTCAAGAAAAAAACGTAATATTTTAATTATTTTTTCAAAAGATCCCATAAATAATAATATTATTTATACTAGAGGTAAAGTGAAAGAACAGAAATATTTTGGCAGCTTACTATAGCACTGCTTAAAGCTTATGCACCTTATACACCAATTTGATTATCACTTAATAAATTTTATAAAAAAAATTATAGTAGAAAGAAAGCACAAAAAAAAAAATCTTTTTTAATGATTCTTTCTTGATTTTTCAATAAAAAAAATAAAATTATTTAAAAAACTAATTTTACGTTAACTAGAGTGTTAAATTTGAGAGATTTTTGCAATTTTTTAGATATGAGCATAGAGTTGATACACCTTATTCATTAATTTAATTCTAACTTTATATTTAATTTAAATATTTTTATTAAGTGAAGAAAAATTGTTAACAATGACTAAAAAAGCATGGTTGATTTATTTCATAATTTTTTCGTGAATAAAATACATAAAAAAAGGTATTCAATATTTAAAAAAAAATATTTTATTAATTTTATTTTATAATCTACTATAATTGAAATCATTAAAGCTGCTATTACTAAAGATAGAGCCCCAAAGTTGAGAGATTAACACAATTTAACAAAATAGATCCTAAAGATGAAGAACCTTCTTCTCCTATTTAATTGTAGCTTTTATGGTTTAAAGAGTGCATTTATTTATTTATTTATTTTAAAAATAAAAGAATAAATAAACAAATAGAAAAAATGGTTATTAAAATTAAAATCTATATTTATGCTTAAAGGCTAAGAAGTCAAAAAATGAGTGAAATTATTTCATATCTGATTGCTATAATAAAAATATTGAACTCACAAAACACATTGGTAAATTTATCATTGAGCCCCACAAGCTAGGGATAAATATTACATTCATGTATATTTTACATAGAAAGCTAACGATATTCATAAATATCCCTTCCGTTTTATATTGTTTTTTGACATTGTAAGTAGCTAAATCAACTAAGAAAGCCAAAAAAAAAACAAAATTATATGATATGTAAATATGTTTTTTAGCTTCTATTAATAAGTTTTATACAAATAGGAGCTATTAAATGGAATATACCTTAGGTCTAATGTCAAAATTTAGAGATTGACACATTTTGCCAATGAATAACTTAATGATTTAATCCCTTTTGGACCTATTTCGTTATTTCTTTCAAGATTTTTAATTCAAAAATTTATTTTATATTATTAAAATGGGCAATTACAATAAAAAAGAAAGTTGAAAAATCGATTTTAAAATTTATTAATTTAATAATAATAATTAAAATTAGGAAGGAATTCCTTATGTAATAGACAAATAAACCCAAGTTAAATAAATAAATAAATTATTACCCAAGAAAAAGTTTCAAAGTTTAAAGATTGACACATTTTTCTAAAGCACAACCTAAAACTATTATACCCTAAGCACCCAATTTATTGTGTCTTTTGATATTTTTAATCAAAATAAGTAGAAAAAAAGAGTTCGTTTGATTTATTTATATGTAAGGTCAAGAAAAATTTTTACATTAGATCTAATTCTAAAGTTAAGAGATTAGTACATTTTTAGAGGAGAGCTAAACATAATTTTGACATATTCTCAGTATTAATTTAACTATAACTATTTATATTGAAAATAAATATATTTATCTTTTTAAGATTAAAAAACTTAACAAAAAACTAAAACATTGATTAGTTTTAATTGTTAAATTTAATTTAAAATAAATTTGGATTTTAATCTAATTAAATTAATATACAATATTTATTTTTTAAAATAAGAAAAGAAAAAAAAATAATATTTCTAATATTTACCAATGTCTAATTTTAGCATGTGTCTGAATTGGTTGAGAAGAATTAATAAACTATTTTTTGTTTTATTAATAAATAATTATAATAATAAATATTATTAAAATAATTATTTACTTCTTCAATATTATTAAAGTTTTATTTCTATTATTATATCATTTTTTTAAATTTAATTTTTAAATTAAAATTGAAAAATTAATTAAAAATAAAAGTTATTATTTTGTCTTTAGCTTTATTAATCATAATTTTAAATTATAAATTTAGATCAAATCAAAGGCGCTTAAAATAAAGATCTTTTCTTCAGAAAATAAAAATGTTCAAACTGCTATACTTTGAAGTTTTTAAATTATAAAATTAAATCAATAAATCTAAGATATGATAATTTTTAATGTATGTTTTTATAGTTTGTATTTAAAAAATTTTAAAATAAACAACTTCTTCTATACAATAAATCTTGGTGGATTAAGACGTTTTTTAAATTGCAGAAAAAATTATGTTTAAAGATGAAAACACAATATTATTATTATTAATACTTGACGCAGAAAAATATAAGCTATGCATAAATTATACATTTTATAATATAAATATATATATTTTAATTAATTAAATTATAACTCACATTACACTCTTAAAAACTTATAAGATTTCATCTAATGTGGTAGTTTAAATGTCTATTGTCTTATCAATTTGGGAAAGATGTAAGTGATAATAGCAAAGCTTTAAGATTTGTAACCTAAACATTTTGAAGTCTTCAAAAAGCAATGGGTTTTTGGCCTTGTCATACCAATATGATAATGCGACACAATAATGAGGGACTACTTTGCCATAGAGAGATCAAATAAGATTGAGCTCATCTTGAGACTCTACATGGAGAAGTTAATTCCTAGCTAGAAGTTCATATTTGAAATATTCTTAATTTAGCCTACAAATAAGTAAAAATATTTCAGGATAGGGCTATAGCAACGAGAAAAGGATGTTAGTAATCTTGCTAAGCTAATTGTAGCAGTCAAAAGTACTTTCTGAGATTGATGATTAAGGGTTACTGCAAGACATCAAATTTTATTTTTGTTTATTTATCAATTTAATTAATTACCTCATTTAGGACGATGAAATTCAATATTATAGACCCTAGATTTGGAAATTTTTTTCTAAAATCATTGGTTTTTTGAGTTCCCTCAGTATTTGGTAGTGGCAAGTTATGAAATAATAAGGTTATTGAATATTGAGTGATTGAATGCTTATTATTTTATCACTTGATAATAATATAATTGAAAACTTTATTTGATCTATTTGATTAAATAAATATTCTTTTCTATTTATAAGCAGCTTATGGATATTTTAATTGCTTGAATGCTTTCTTATTTAATTATTCGATCTTTATGATTTTGATTGAAAAAATTCAAATAATAATTTATTTTTTTTTCTCAAATTATTTTCAAATAATAATTCAAAAAAAAATGAAAGATAAAAATATTAGGTATGATCGTCTGAATAACTTTTTATTTCGTAGCTATATATATTATAAAACAAAAACTGAAAAGATTTAGCTAAGCATTGGAGTAATTTATTCCTACCTAAATATTGCTTTGATTTTACTATATTAAATAAATGGGTATAAGAGCTAATTTTATATTCTACTGTCCTTCATCCTTCTTGATAAAATTCAATTCTTGATTCCAGTCTTTTAAGCTTTATAGTACAGCGGCTTAAAAAAATTCCTAATTGAGATAGTAACATTTATATTTATACAGGGTTATGGTGATCAGTTTTGGGATTTTTACTAAAATGATATTAAAAAATATGTAAATTTAAACCAAAGGATGAATATCATTAGTATACTGATAGTTATTTTAAATTGCTGGACTCTATTAAATTTGTAATCGTGGGATAGTTTCATAGCTATTTTTTCTATTGTAAACTTTTTTGGTATAATTCTGAGCGACATAATTGACTTTATTAAAGTAAAATATGGTAATTCAATTATTATTCATTCCTATAGTTTTATAATTTTAATTTGTAGGAAAGCCTGCTTTTATTTAATTTTAGTTTAACTTATCTCTTACCATATTTCATTTATATCTATTTATGGATTATTTATTATCTGCGTGATCCTCTAATACAAATTAGATATAAGTGAAGTTGTTGACTCTACACTACTTATATTTATTTACACCAGCATTGAGTTAACAAAAACTAAGGATTACTGGATCTTAGAAGAATCATTAGCACTCTTCATAAATAACATAATGATACTATTGTTATTTATTCTTAAATTAGTATTTTTAAATTCAACATAAATCTATGATTTGATAATTTATATTGCTTTTGGATTATATCTTACTGAAATTTTTTCAAATTTTTACTTGATTATGTTCACCTTAAAAAACTCAATCTTCATAAAATATGTATATTATGGATGTCATGGTACTATTTAAATTCCTTATTAAAGAACTGTATAAAAATTTTTTGAAGCAAGAATAAGGACCAAAGTAATTGTATAATTTTTTCCAGATGAACGACAATTAGAAAAAATTTTGATGAGATTAATAAATAAAAAAAATCAAATAATAAAAATAAAATTTAACGATTCCATAATAATCAAAATGATTGATATGAAACTTAATTTAGTTTGGTTAATAAAAGATGTAGAATAATAATAATATTGGTATGAATAGTATGAAAAAAAAAACTATCATAGTATGAAAACTATTTACTTAATTTAGAAAAAATTATTAGATTAGGATTAATTGTCATTAAACATTTATATTGTTTCTTAATCTGTGGAATTTAGCTTTTGTGGTTTATTATTTCCGTCAAATTATTTAGATTCTCAAAATAGCAATAAATAAACCAATTTAATAGTATTTGATAGTATACTAGAAATAAACTAAAAAATATTTGCCAATTTTATTTCATTAAGGCTTATACAAATAATTGCATCAGAATATATACCCATTAATACAAATTTTCTTTTATATGATTTATATGAAGATTTTGTATGAATTATTTATATCATCAGATTAATTTGTTATTTATTTCAAAGATTCTATTTAATTATTTTCCACTTTAAATTATTAATTTCTTGTAGGTGTTTACACGCTTAATTTAATTCCTTTAAAAATTTTGTTGTAAAACATCTTTTTTCCCTACCGAAAAACTTAAAAAATAAAAATAATTGATATTAATTACACCATTTTTATTTCATATATTATTCTGTTCATGATTGATCATTACCTTAAAATTCTCTGTTTTTAGGGATAATGGATAAATAAATTTATTTTCTTCATCATTTTTTATAATTCCATATATCTCCAATTATCTTAAATTTAAAATATCTATCAACTAATTATTTATCTATATCTATCAATCTATCTGTTATCATAGCCATTTCATAGATCTATATTAGATAATTGTTTTTTAATAACTTTCCTTTTAGTTTGGTTGAAGCCTTTCGTTTAGATTTATTATTTGATCTCAAAAGTTTTAATTTTAAAAAAATTAGTCACACATTTTTATTTGATCATACATATAATTTATCAATTAATAGCTCATTTGTTAGGAAAACAAATTATTATTGTTAAGAAATAATAAAATGATAAAAAATAAAGCATATTTTGATAACCTTAAAAAAGTAATTGTTTTTCAAATAATTATTATTTAAAAAAAAAAAATTTTATTTAAAAAGCTTGAAAATTCTTGTTTATAAAATCACACTTGTCTAGAAATAGATTTAAGGTAAAAAAGGTTAAATTTTGAGCAGATACTTACTTAATTTTATTTCGTCATTAAATTGAAAAATAATCTTAATCTAAATAGGTTTATTTCAAATATTTAGCTTTTAAAATACTTTAAAATTTATTTTTAATTTTAAGTAAGTTGGTAATATATATATTTATCAAATATTAAATAGGAGAAAAATTGGATCTAAATCATAAAGATTTTTTAATCAAAATTCTGGATAAAATTTAAGTTCTGCTTTATAAAAATGCATTAATCTTACAAATTTAATACTCCAAGCCAAGTAAATACTTTTTATATTTTAATTTTATTAACAGATAAATAATTTTAATTAATTAAAAATAATAAAGCTTTATTTTCTTTTCATAGTTTTAATTAAAAGTTCTATTAAATTTTTTATACTTTTTTATAAATTAACTAACTAATATTTAAAATACAATAAGTGGAACATAAATTGATGATAAAAATGCTATATATTTAGGTTCTGCTTTAGGAGTGAACACAAATCTACAAATTTTGACTCTAAACTTAGGGTAATATAGTTTATATTTTAATTTTGGTTATAAGTATTTTTTAATTTTAAATTTAGTGTATTAATTAATATTAATTTATAAATCCTTTAATAATTGAAAATTAATTTTTAATTTGCTTGTTTTTTTTAACTTAATTCATTTTAAATATATTATTTTTTGTATTTCACTATCTTCTACTATTTTATTTAATTTTAATGCTTTCCAATAAACTAACTAAAAATTTATATTTAAATATAAAGTTATAATGAAATTGGACCATAAGGTGTATAAGATTTAGTTCCTTCATTTTCTAACTGTGCCAATCTCTCTAACTTAGATTTAGACCTCACGTATAACTAATTTCTTAAACTTTTTTTTATATCTATAAATTAAGATATTTTTTAATCAAAAATGAAACTAACATACTTTAATTAATTTATTTACCATAAATCCTCATAAATTCTCACCAGCATAAATTTTCACCATATTTTCTGAATATTTATAAATAATTACTTAATAGAAGTCATACATTTTTTTTAATTTATAAATCATTTTAAAAGAAAGTGCAGTAATTATTTTCTTAATTTAAAAAATAACAGCACTTAAAATAATCAAATAAACTGTTTAAATTATGAAAATAAAAAAAACTATTATAAAAAAGTGGAAATTTTATTTAATTTTGAAATAATTATTATAATGTAAAAATAAAATCTTATTATTTTAAAAATTTTAAAAAGAAGAAATATAATTGGAGAAAAAGGTCTATAATTTTTAGGTGCAGCTTTAACAATCTTATAAAACCTTTCATCTCTAAAACTATAACTAGAGTAAAAACATCTAAAATATCGTTTTATAAATACCCTGTTGAATTTTAACTTTCATCTTTGAAAAAAATTAACTATCTAGTTGGATTTTTTCTTTTTTTAAATGTTTAAATACTAAAAAAAATATAATACATACATCCATACACATTTCATCAAATAAATTATAAAATAGTGGGAATCAAGTTAAAGATATAGGATTGTAAAGCTTAGGCTCTGCTTTATCAAATTGTAAATATCTTACAAATTTGGCTCTTGGATTACAGTATGATAATTTATTTTTAAAATTTAAACGATTATCATAAGAAGCAAGTAAATATTTAATAGATGTGAGTGTCTGTCTGTCTTATTTTTGGTTAATTAATGCTATTAAATATTAATTACTAAAATTTTTAATTGCAAATTATAAAATAATAAAATTGCTTGCTTATCTATTTAATTCTTTTTGTTTTTTTTTGAGCTTAAATTTTTTTAATAGTAACATTTAATTAATTTTATAATATTTTTACTATTTTTTAATAGGAAAAATGAAATAAGTTGTAAAGGTATTTCAAATTTTGGCTCTGCTTTAGTAGATTGTTAAAATCTCTCAACTATATAACTCAAATTATAGTAAATATGATTTGTTTGTTTTGAAAGTTATTTACTTACATGGATTTAAATTAATTAAGAGAAACTCATTTAAAAATTTTAGAGAAAATAAATAAAAATTATAAAATATTTTTTATTTTTAATGAATTAAATAATAAATAAATAAATTAATTAATATTTTTGACTAATTCTATATTAATTTTTTATTCAATTTTTTTAATTAATTTATATTAAAAATTTATTTTTATTACTTGATCTAAGAGATTTTTTCATAATTAAAAGTGGTAACTAAATTAAATCAATTGGTGCTTCAGCTTTATGTACTGCCTTATAAAAATGTCCCAAACTTTAAAATTTTGAACTCAACCTAGACAGGTAATATATTTTATTTGTTCTCCTATTTTTTTTATTTATTATCACTGAAATTTCTGTTAATAAATTATGATAAAAAATTAAAATATATTGATATCATTTCTTCATGTGATTATTTAAGAAAGTAATCAATTTAAAAATGAAATTGAAAATCATAATTTTATTTTTCTAAATTATCCTTAATTCAATTATTATTAAAATAAATTTTCATTATTTAAAAGTTAAAAAGTTTTAAATAAATCAAATGCTGTTTAGAGATTTAGCTCTTCTTTATAAAACTTCAGCAATCTATAAAAATTAGACCTTAGTCTTTGGTAGTTTTTTAATCATTATTATAATTTGTTAATTATTTTAATTTTGAATTACTTTTGAAAAAGAAAAAAAAAAGAAAACTTAGAAAATAATTTTATTTCAAAAAAGCAATAAGGATCTTAAAAAATTAATTAGCTATTTAAAAAAATTTTAATTTTTCTAATATTTATCTATCTGTTTATGCTTATTTTTTTTAAAACATAATCTAATTCTAATTAATAATTTTAAAAGCGATTGTGATATTAAACCTAAAAGTGCATCAGTTATAGGCAGTGCTTTAGCAAAGTGTTCCAATCTCTAAACACTGAAACTTTTTCTTATGTAAAAATACAAACATTTATCTTTTAATTGTTTTTAAAAAAATATGGTTAAATATTTAAAAAAAGTTAATTCATTTATTAAAAAACTACCTAATTTTTTGATAATATGTTTGTTTTAATAATAATTTTACTTTTTGTATTTTTAATAGAAATAATAACTTATTTATTTTAATATTATTATATTTATTTTATTTCAAATTTTTTTATTAATATTATCATTATATTTCTATCATTTCTTTTAAAATAAATAATTTTTTTAATGCAATATTTTTGAATCAAATAACAAATCTATGCCAAAATTTAAAAAGATAAAACTTTATAGGACCAGAAGATGCATCAGAATTAGGTTTTACGTTAGTTAATTGTGCTAATCTCTAAAACCTTAAGTTAGACTTAGGGTAAAAGTTTATTCTAATAAAATTTATTATTTTATTTTAGTTTAATTTTTAAATAAGAATAAAATTATATAGTTCTTTTTATGATTTTTTTTATAAGCTCATTCTAACTAAAAGATTTTTTTTTGATATTTGGCAATTAATTCTTAAATTTAAAAAAAGTTTTTAAACAAAATAAACAATTTGTTACTAATTTGATTTAATTTTATTTTTAAAAATTATTTTAAATATTAAAAGGAAAAATGAAATTGGAGACTAGGGTATTCTAAATTTAGGATAAGCTTTAATAAATTGCCCTAAATTAATTTCTTTGAACCTTGATCTATAGTAAATACTATTTATTATTTTATATAAATAAATAAAAATATGTATTATTCAAAATTTAAGAAATTACTACTATTCCATTTTTATTAAAATATTTAATTAAATAAAATGTATTATTTTTCTATTGGCATTTTATTAGTTAATTATAATATATCAAACATTTTACTTAATATAAAAAGAAGTAACAATATTTTTGATTCAGGTGCTTTAAATTTTGGATCCGCTTTACTAAAATGTACAAACCTCTTGAGTTTGGAGCTTATTCTTTAGTAAATATGGATTTTATAATTAAATATTAAACTAAAGATTTTATTATTATTTTACAAATTTTGCACTAACTTAAATATTTGGTTTTAATTTAATTTAATTTAATTTTATTTTAATTTTTATAAATAACCCTAAGATTATACATATAAATAATAAAATTTTACATAATATTAAAAGTTATAATGAAATTAAAGAATCTTCACTTTTAAAAATTTAAATCAAACTACTTAAGATTAAGAAACTAGTAAATAGTTACATCTATTTTTATTGATAAATTTAATAATTATTTTTTATAAAATCTACTTAAAACAAATTTAAATGTTTTCAAAAAAGAAGGAATGTAAGCTGCATATTTTATATTTTTAAGTATTTGAATTATTTATTTAAACTTGATTTTTTTAAATAAACTAACTAATTTTTTTCTTTAATTAATATAATCTTTATCACAATTATATATATCACTATATTTTTTAATTAATTTATATTAAAAAATTTTTTTAAATGGAAAATCGTTCAAATCTTATAAATATAAACTTTTATATTGTATGCAAATGTATAGAATAATCAATCTAAAATTAATATGGTGTTTAAAAAAATAAGTTAATAATTATTGAATAAAAATATTTAAATTTTAATAATTTTCTGCATAAATATTTATATTTTAATTTTTAATTGGTTAAAATTAAAAACCCTAAAAAAATGTAAATAGATATAAATTTTAATACAAAGGATCAATCTAATTCATCCAAGTTCTAATTTTATTGTTATTATTATTACTATTCTAATTGAGCATCATTTTATTTGAATTAAGGTTTTTATTCAATTTCAGTTACTAAAATTTGCTTTTCAGTATTATTATTTAATAAATTATCAACTGGTACATTTTCTTTTCCTAAATCACTTATCATTTCTTTTTTTCTTTATTCTTTTTCTTTATTTTCTTCAACAATTTTTTTGCAAGCAATCTTGTGATCCTTCCAATGAGCTACCTGTTTTTTTTCATTATATTTTGTTTAAAAAAGAGTAAAAATATGATGATTTAATATTTACTTGACATTCTCTTGTGCAGTACCAAACAGTCTTACATTAAGAACATCTTTTAGTTGCTTCTTTTTTACAAAGTTCACATTTAAATCCTTCCATTAATCCATCAATAATATTCTAACCATATAAATCAGCTAATCTCTACATATCTTACTTAGCTGTCTCTTTATCATTTACAAAGTACTCATTTTTTTATTTTTCTGCTATATCATTCCAATTCTTGCCTTTGATAATATTTTCCCTAATTTCAGGAATTTACTGCACTATAAAAGGGTTAGACTTTGGAACACTCTATACATTCATAATTGAAAGCTCTTCAAGTGTTCTGAGCATATGAGATAAATTGGGAATCTAATCTAACAAAATTTCATTCATGTATTTTCTTAACTATTTTTTAAATAAAATAAAATAAATTTATTTTGAGCAAAGAAATATTTCAAAAATATGAAAATTTATTTATTTAATTACTCTTAATAAGTTAGATTTTCTAAACTCATTTAATTCGTATTTTTTGCGACATTCAGGATCCATAAATAAATTATAAATTGTAATCCAAACATTAGCTTCAAGCTTTACAATTTTGCTGTATTCAGATTTTTCAACTATTTACCATTTGCTATTTTCATATTTTTCTCTTTCACCTTTATTAAAAAACAAAAAATAAAATGAGCTTTTAAATAATTTTCTATGAATTAGATTTCTAATAACTTTTTTATCAAGCAATAAATTAATCAAAAGATTAAATAATTAATTACCTTCTGATGTTTAACGTAGCCAAGGTTTATCTTCAATTAATGGAACTAAAATGCAAAGGATATCATTGACTTCAAGTAAATGATGAACAACACTAACTGGCAAATGCTTTACATAGTCAGAAATAAATCTAATAATAGAAACACACATCATACAGATTTTAAATTCAATATCATCTATTTATTCCTAATACTCTTCAATTCTTGTCTTTTTTAAGACGTCTTCGACTGTCTTTTTGGTTACTTTCTTTGTTTAAGGGCTAAGAAATGTAAAGAATTTAATATATTTATTTAGTTTATTAAATATAATACAATTTTGTTAAATGCACAAGCTTTCTATAGCAGTAATCAATTAATTCTATAAGGAATTCATCAGCTGAGTCGACAGCGGTTCTATGGAACATAATGACTTCTAGCAAATTACAGACTACAGCTTCGTGATAAACAGCAATATAGCTTCTATATGTGTTTATTTTAAGCATGTGATTTTTTAGTAAAGGCAATACCTTCTATTTCCAAATTTCTGTTTCTATTAAATCGTAAATCAAAATCTTCACTTTATCAAAAGTCACTAAAGAATCCATAATGAACTCATCACTTTTTACCATTGCATTGACATGTGCCTAAAATATTTTTGAAATATAAAAATATCTTTAAATTTAATTTCTTAAGCATTTTGATTGATAAAATGTTAATTGAAAAAACATAATATTAAATTATTTTTAAGTTAAAGTAAAGCAAATAACTTCAAAACTCATTACTTCATATTAATTCTTTTTTCTAATCTAAAATAAATGTATAATAATAATAAAAGTTTTTGATAAATCTTTAATGCATATATTAGTAAAATGAGTTTTTGAAATAAAATTTAGATCTTTTGCTGAAATAGTTTCTTAATAAAATTGATTAATGGCAAAATAAATACTTGCATATTGAGTCTTTGAAGAATTTCGTCTTGCTTGAACCAGCTATTTATAAATAATTGATAATTTTTAAGTGAGTGCGATGATATGACTAACAATGTCTAAAAAACTAAATAGCATTTTACATTTAACTACCATATTCTTCTATGTTAACGATTTATAACTTTTCTATTAAATGCTCAGCTTCGTAATGAGTTAATAAATCTCCGATTTGTTGCTAACTATCCATATTTTGTAACTAACTAACTAATTAATTATATTTTTTTTAAGACTTTGATATTTTAAAAAAGATATTAATTATTAATATCAATCACTTCTACTATTCAATATCAAAAATAAGCATAATAGAAAGAAAGAAAAAATAAGTTTTAAATTAAAAATATCAAAAATTTTAAAAATTAATAAATATTTATTTATTTAAAATCCAATTAATTCAAAAATATTGTATATTTTAAAGAAATTATACTACTATTTATTAAAGGCTCTTTTTATTCAGCGAAAAGCATACTAATTGAGATGTGATTAAAATATAATATTCATATACTATTTATTTGTTTAATATCATAACATTTTACTAATTTAATTATTAATTATAATTTCTACTTAAATGAATTAGATTTATACAAATAAATACCAATTTAAGAGGGAATTAATTTATTTAAATTACATTTGTCTTATTTTAACAAATAAAAATTCTTAGTAAAATCGATTCATCAAAAAAGTTTTGCATTAATTTTTAGATGCTAAATAATTATAAGTGATAATGGATAACTTAAATTTGTTTATTAATGCAATATAAATTTAGAAAAAAGATTGATTACTCACAAAAGCAAAAATAAAAAACTCATTGAATAATTTAATATGTCAAAATTATGAATTTTGATATTGAAGAAAATGCTGAAAATAATTTTAAACTTAAAATATTGATAAACCAATAAATGCGATTTTTAAAATTAATAATTAAAATTTTTGTGTATTAATAAATTCATAAAAAATGAAATTAAATTTATTTATTTATTATTTTATGAAAAAATAACTTAAAAAAATACAAATAAATTTAAAATGTAAAATACAGTTTATTGAATTTTCAAATATTTTATTTTTATACAGGTTCTCCATTACCATTGTACAAATTTTTGGAGAAGTGATATTAACCTTGAGATATTTTTTAGTATCTATTTAAAGCTACTAATGGGAATGATTGTGCATATGAGGGGTACTATAAATAGAGTAATCCTCTGTGACCTGTTCCTATTGTGGAGTGATCATAGAAGGTATTATCGTCTCTTTTGAATTAATCTAATAAATACTAAGCAGCTCTATCTGCAGCATGCTTAATTTGTTCATTTTAATTATAAACTTCTAAAAGAGCTAATAGTCCCCATGAGGTTTGAGTGACAGTAGATTTACCTATACCATTCCACTTTTCAGGATCATTATAAGAAAGGACACATTCACCAAAGCCACCATCTTTATTTTATTTATTAAGCAAATAATTTATACTATTTTGTACCCACTGTTCATTTAAGTCGTAATTGACTCTTGCTAAACCTGGTACAACAGCTCCAACAGCCATAATGTAATTTACACCCCATCTAGCTTACCAAGATCCCCACTTGTTCTAAGTCTTTCTTTGATATTTAATCATATTTTAAATCTAAGGATGATTAGCTTGATATCCAAACTCACCCAATCCTTCCATGATGTGACCAGTAATATCAGGACATGAGGGATCGAAGATTTCAGCTGAGTTAGCAATACCAGCCATATTGAAGGCAAACTTGAACAATAAATTGTCTTCATTTTTACCTATTTTAAAATAAAGTAGAAGTGTTAATAATATTATATTTATTTTAAGTACATTTGTAATTTTATTTAAATGTATCTTTCAATTGAAATAATTAAAAGATTTATTTTTATTAAATAAAGAAATGGAATAAATTATCAATATTAAATTACCTTTGTCAAAAGCTGGATAGCCACCATCGTCATTTTGCATAGAGAAAAGCCATTCAATAGTTTCAGGGATTTACTTTTAGAAGGCTTCTTTGTAGTAACTCATAACAACGAGAAGTAATCCAGTGTCATCAGTGTCAGGAGCATATTCGAAATCATATCCATAACCTATACCTTTTTTAGGTTAAAGACCTTCTTTGACCATATTTTATACGATAGGGAAGATTCTTTCTTTATCTTAGCCACTTTCAAGCATAGCCCAACTAATAAGAATGGTATCCCACCATCTACCATCATCCAAAGAGCCGTGATAAGCTTCTCTAAAGTTAAAGTAGTTAAACTCAACGAAATAGTATCCGTCTTCGTAAGCCTTTTGTATTTCGTTTTGGTATAGATGAGGGTGCTTTGACTAAAAGTCTTTGAAGGACATTAAAGTCAAGAGGGTTGAAATAGTGTAGGCACCGAAACTTCCAAGAGGTTGTTTAAGTTTGAAGATTTCGTCCATTAAGATCAAGAGATCGCTATCAGGATTAAGTGTAGAGTATTCTCTTGGACTGATTTTAATACCGTTCTTAGGGTAATTGATCCAGAGCTCTCTCAAATCAGCAACAGGAACATTGAAAACAGTTCTTTAGTAACGCAAATAAGCTAAGGCAGTTAAATGTGGATAGACCCATTATGCAACAATATCCTTAACGTAGGTATATTTGAAAATTCCATTCTACTTGAAGATGAACAATGGGACATACCATAAATCTTCCCAACTATTTAATTATTTAAAATAAAATAAGCTATTGAGTCAAAATGGCTTTTAAATATTAACAGAATAATAAGCTAATTAAATTAGTATATTTGCTTATATTTACTGCTTTTATTTATAATAAATTAATTCATTTTTATATTTGCAGTTGAAGCTAATTATTTAAGTAGAAATTATTATTTGAGCAAAATATGGGAGAATAATTTAAAATTGATTGTTTATTTCTAAAATATTGATGAAAAAGAAACTTTACCTGTATTAACCGAAGGCTGCTAACTTAAACTTGGTCATTGTTTGAGTTGCTTCAATACCACCCTAAGCAACTATCCATTTTCTAGCCTTTTATAGAGCAGCTTCAATTTTAGGATTGTTGTTAATAGACTTTAAGTACCAGTAGTTAAAGACAGTAGCATCTAACTAACCAGTTTCAAGATTTTGTTCTCTGACTTGCTCCCATGAACCATCTTCGAATTAAGTCTAGAGGAGACGTTCTGTAAAGTATGTAGCGTTGAAAGCAGATTTATGAGTCCAATTCAAGACGAGTAACTCGAAGTAGTATTCACTGATAAACATTTCGCCTAAGTAAGGAGGATAGTACCAAGTATTGTTGTGTACTTCTGCCCAATTAATGCCTTGCTAGATAGAGATGGCATTTTAGACTTCAGTGAGATTAACGCTGGCATTAACGCTTGAGAATAAAAAGAGACCTATAATTAAGCCTATGAGTATCTTCTTCATGTATGAAAGAGTTTTAGCTTTTTTCTTATTTACTAATTTATGAGTTGATTAATAATATTATTAAAACCTTGAAGTTAGAGTTGGTTTTTAAAGCTAAGGTTGACTATACAATCAATTAATTGCTAACAATATTAAGCCAAATTTGAATTTAACTTGAAACGAATTTAATATAATAAATTCCTTACATATATAATATTATTAAAGTCCCAGTATTCATGTCATTTTTCTTAACTTTTTCAAATCTAACACGCACTTAAAACTCTTTACGTCAATTTTTATTTTAGCTCAGTCAATTTTTCCATTGATTTGTTCATGATAATATGTAATTTCGTCATGACATCACCTCAAACATATCAATTTTTCTTTAATAATATTATTAAAAGAACTTTCTATTCCTTTAATAATATTATTAATTCTTAACTTACAACATAATATTACAAATAATTCTTATCAATAACTTTTAATTTTTCATCGTTTTCCCCCCTCCTATTAACTTAATGCTTCTCTAAATACATATAAATTGAAATTAGCTTTCACTAAATAGATTTAGAAACAAGCCATACTCATATTTAAATTTTACTTTGTTTTTTTAGATTTATAAAAAGATCATACGATTTAGCAAACAGTGACTAAAAAAATAATAATATTTTCGTAATAATGAGGTTATGTTAAAAAGATTAGTTGGTACTTAGGATTTTAACTTCATTTTTGAATACTATTTCTAGAAATTAATTTTGCATATGAATGCTATCTTGTTTATATTTTCTTATAATGATTTACTAATATTTCTTATATTGCTATTGTAACATTATTAATCACACATTAATTTTAATCAATAAAAGCTAATCATTTACTTTGAAAAATATATATAATAAAATACTTCTGTATTTTATAATGTAGAAAATTAATTTTATAAAAGTAAAGTGCCTTAATATATGCAGTCTTAATTTTTAATTATTATTAAATTATGAGGGAATGATTAAAAAATTAAATTAAAATAATTATTTTCTGAACTTCAAAAATGTATGAATTCATTAAATAAATTTTATAAATAATTAGTTAAACCCTATCCTATTTTTTAAATGATAAATATTCAGATAAATAATTAAAAATAATAATCATTTGAATAATGATTGAATGAGTGAATGTTTGCAAAAAAAGAAGAATTAATTTTTAACTATATTTTCTAAAAAACGAACTAATTTATGTATGTATTAATTAATATATAAGATGAAATATATAATTATAATTGATTTAATATTTCTTTAATTTATTTATTTATCTATTTTATATTTTTAATCATGGAATAATTACATTACCAGTTTTGTTGCCATTATTATTATGGTCATTATTTCCATTACCGTTGTTGTCTTTACTTCCATTGCCATTGTCGTTTTCATTATTGTCTTAGCTACCATTTCCATTGTGACTTAAATTACCATCGTTATTTCCATTTCCGTTACCATCATTAGAGTGATTTCCATCATTGTTATTATCACCGTTTCCATTGTTTTTATTGCTGTTGTTACCATTGCCGTTGTTATTATTGTTGTTATCGTTACTGAAATTATTATTGTTGTTGTTGCTATTGTTGTTATCGTTGTTATTGTTGTTATTGTTGTTATTATCATTGGAATTTAATTGAACGTTATTGTTGCTTAAGTAGTTTAAACCATTGTTATTATCACTATTAATAGCATTAAAACTGTCGTTATTATCATTATATTTACCAACATTATTTTGGTTACCTTTGTTATTGCTGCTGCCATTACCATTGTTACCCAAACCGTTTCCGTTATTATTATCTTATGGTTTACTATCAAGTACACGTTGATGACGAGCCAAATTCATAAGCTTTAGTAAATTTTCGGGGTCAATATCATTTTCATAGGCAAACAAGAAAACTTCAAGTTAAGCTTAAGTTCTAGGAAGTTAGGTGACTCTTTCTCTCAATTCAATTATGCTTTCAATCAAAGTATTAGTTTAAGTTCTCTAGCAAAGAATTAAACTAGAACTAAGCAAAATACTTACTAGCAAGAGTTGCTTATACATTTTCAGAGATTTAACTTGAAATATTTTTTTTATTTTTTTATTTGTTTTTTATTTTTTTCTTAATTAAATTATTTATTGACTGTATAAAATTGAGTTTTTAAATATTTTGGAGATTCAATTTTCTAATTATAAAATTTTCTAAGAACCAAATATTGACTTTTGAGTAAAAAATATCGAATCAGGTAGATTAATATCAAAATAAATTCCACTAATCTTTTAAAAGATATTATTTAATTAAACAATTAATATTTTGCTGTTGTTTCGATCAATCTTGTTTATCAAAGCTTTAAACAAACTTTAACAATAAAATAGTTATTATTAACTTTGAATTATTGAAATACATATAAATGAAAAGAATAATTTATTTTATAAAGGAGTTCATCACACATATTAAAATATCTAATAAAAAATCAAAACATTAAAATAAATTTGTTTACAAATATTTAGAAAAAATAAAAATTAATTTTTCTATTTATTTATATAATAAATATTTTATTTACTAAAAAATCCTACTAAATAAATATTACCATGCTTAATTATTTTAAATTACAAATTAACATTTTTAAGTATATTCCTAAAAGAAAATTGAAAGGTAAAATAAACGTTAATTATGAATGAGTTAATTTAAAAGAAATTCAATTCTTCTAAGGAAAAATATCCTAATTTATATTTTTATTTGCAATTGACAAAAAAAATCATACAAAGAAACAATCAATCAACACTATTTATTTTATTTTTTAAATAGTATAATTTATATAAATTTTACAAGTAGAATATTATAAAATTAAATAAGTTATTTCTTAGGAATTCTTATTTATAATAAATTAAATTATTTTCCAATAAATAATCATAAATAGAATAAAATTAAAAATGAATTCATTAATTTATTTAAGAGGTAAATTCGTGCTTTCAGGTTTTAAAAATATATTTTAAATTATATTTAAACATTCTAAACTTTTTGAATTAAAGTAAATTTTTAAAATTGATTATTGTTAATTATAAAAAAAATAATGAGAAATATAAAAACACAGAATATATTTGATTATTTGGTCATCAAATAGTGGCTATAATAAAAATAAGTATTAAAATTGCTTATCATAGTTTTTTTGACATATTATTTGGAGATAAAAGTATATTTTTTAGATAATATGACTAAAAATCGGTTAATTTGATATTTAAGTAAAGTAAAAAGACGCATTTTAAATGTATCTGATTTATGAGTATTATCTTAATACAGTTATCAAAAAAATACTATTAATTAGAATTCATAAGAAAAGAAATAAAAATTAATAAATTCTTAATTAATTATAATTTTAGTAATTATCTTTGCTTATTTTTTATCACTTGTACTTATTCATTATTGATATTTAGAGTGTAAAATATATAGAAGTTTCATTAATAGTATGTTAAATTTAATTATTTTACAATTTTCTTTATTTTTAATCTATAAAATAATTATCCTTAATTTTAATAAAATTATTTAAGTTCTTGTAAAAGAATTATAATTTATAGTTTATTAAATTGAAATTTAATCATTATTAAATCACTACCTATTTTTATCTCCATATTTATTAAAAAATAATAATAATAAATTTTTTATGGAGTAATTTGATTAAATCTTTATTCTTAGTTATTAATAACATGCACATGTTTATATTATTATCTTAAAAATCCAATAAAATTATATTTATTTCTTCTTTGTTTCAAAACAACTTGAATTTTAAATAAAGAAAACGTTAAAAAAAAAATTTTAAATTTGCTTACATAATCATAAACTGAAATTTTAATGTCATAAAAATGAAAATGAATGCTTGTTTATTTATTATTTTATAATAGACAATTTATTTCCAATCTTCGTAGAAAAGTTCTAAATTATCATTTTTGTGTTGATTAATATTTATATTTTACTTATGAAATAGCAATGTCAAAAATAAGTTTTATTTATTATCTTACTTAATATATTCAATAAAAACTCATTTATTTTTAATTCAATTTTAAAAGCATTTTAATTTTAATTTTAGAAACATATTAATTTTAATAATAATTCAGAATATTCAAAAATATAAATTAATTTTAATCTTGATGAATTTACAAATAAATAAATTTAAATTTAAAAAATATCAATATGAAACATTAATTTTAATTACTATATTAATGGGGGAGAGAATGAGGCAGATCGAATTTTTAGTTGTCAATATAATTGTTGCTATTAAGTAATTTAAAAAGGGTTTAATTAATAAATACTGAGTATTTCTTAATTTTTAAGTCATATTAATTTAATTTTTGAAGATAAATTGTATTAAAAAAATTTTTAATTGTATTTTGAAAACTAATAAATTATTTTTTAAATATATTAAGAATTATGATAAATATTTCATGCAAAATATATAGTGTGAAACATTCAAATTAGAAATTTGATTCATTATATAAAAAAAAATATTCTAGTTTAATTTTATAATTAAATTAATTTAAATATTATTTATGAATTGATTAATTGATCGATTTATTTACTTATTTATAAGTTTTATTTACAGAAAAAATGAAAAATATATAAATTTGTATATAATTTGTATGATTCATAAAATAATGCAAAAGCCATTTATAAATATATTTTATTGAAATTAATTTATTTTTATAATGAAATGAGAAGGCTAAAAACATTTTAGTATCTGATTGATAAGTATCATGCATGAGGCCACCAGCCTTTGAACATGTCTCTTAGACAATAATCGTCTTTAGAGATCTAAATAAGACTGTCTATGCCTTCTTCAGTTGATTTAAAGTTAGTCATTTTAATTCTATTCTTAATTTGATTGCATAGCTGGTTAAAGTTTGTTTTTTTACATCCCTCTAGTTCGTTGGTAAAGCAATCCCAAAAGCCAATGATATCATCCAAATGTTTTGAGAAACACATACAAATGTCTATCATGGCTTTTCTAAAGAGACCATAAGACTTGAAAGAACCCAAAGCAAATTCCATATTTTTTGTTAATCTAAATGGAATAGTTTCTGGAACATTAAGCTATTTACCTGAACCAAAGATAAGAGCGTAGTCAATATGGACTATTTCACCATTAATTTTTTTAATTAATATATTATCAGTGTGTCTATCTCCAAGTCCAATAAGATAGCCTAATATGCACCATGATGCATAAGTCCTCAAGTAGTTTTCTTTTGCTGTGTACCATTATTAAGAATCAAGGAATCGTTAGTTGAAGAAGTCTTAAAATACAGAAGGAAGGCTCTTTTGTTTATTCCATTCTTCTCTGCTTAATTTATCTGAGTCTAGTTTTAATTAATAGAACTAGCTCTTTTGCTTCTTCTCTTACCACAGCTAATCTAAAATCGTCTTTAAAGTTAGTGTATCATCAACCCATTCTACAATGCAGCTGTGAAGTATTTTTTAAGTAATATTAATAATTTATAGTAATGAATTTTTCAATTTAATAATAAAATTATAAAAATATGAATTGAAATGTATTAATTAATTAATTAATTATTACCTTTAGCTGTTTAATCTTAGAATTGTATAAGAAGGCATTTCATAAAATCCAAGTTATTCTTTGTAAAGAATAAGGTTCAAGAATGAAATCAACTCACTTGTTCTCTGCTCGTAGACATTTTCACTTTGAGTTTGAGATTTGATTAAAAATTTCTTTTTAGTTCCATCAGAACATTAAACAGTTAAGAGTTTTGGTTTTTGTTTGGAGCTCATAATTCTGACAACATCATCAAACTTTTCCATGTATACTGGATTATTATGGTAAGGATTATAATTAGGTTCTACATTTCTGCTTTATGGCATCTTTGGGAAAATGTATTCCTTTTTGGGAAGAATCAGTCTCAGGTTAGCCAGTGATTTTACCAAGTAGTTTTCGATTTTCATAGTAGTACTAGATCCCTATATTTAAAGTAGATTAGTTGGTTAGGCATTAAAAATAATATTTAATTTCAAGATATAAAAAAAGAATAATTTATCAGAGAGAAATTGAATATTTACGTCTGGCGCTTTAATTGCAAAATTTAATAAATTGTAGTAGAAGTTAGAAACTCTATTTATTTGTTCATAACTTGATGGATTTATTTCATTAATCTTTTTAAGAATAGCAGAAGCTCTTTATTCAGTATATTCATCCTTTTGCACAGAGCTTTAATTGCTAATCATTTAGTACATGTATTTAAGAGGTAATAACCACCAGACACTTTAGTCAGGATATTCAGCACCTAATTAATTATTTTGATTTTAAATATAAAAGTTAGTTAAAGAATATTAAAAGCTATAATTTAATGTCTATTTATGGTAATATTTAAATATATTCTTTTAGTTATTTGTTTATTTGAAAGCATTCATTACCTACTTTTGCCAGGAGATCAATAAATAAATTAGCACACTACTAATAAGGTATTGTGATATGCGAGGTTAGCTGATTGACAACACTGGTTAATTTGAAGGTTTCTATTTTATTGCAAGTTTCGGATATTTATAAGAAATTCTTAATTTTATTATTTAAAAATATTTTAATTATTTTTATAAAGATAAAATGAAAAATGAATTTTACTTTGTCAAATTTTTGCTTGACAAGCTGAGCTTTTTTAGTTTACAAATTTGCCACATCCTAAAAAAGTTCTACTAGCAAGCGTATTGCTCTTGGAAGAGACTGATGAATGTATTAATGTCCATTTGATGCTGCTAAGAGATAGAGCTAAATAGCTTTTATTTTTTGGTCAATCTCTTTGTCATTAGGGTTGTCTGATATTAATTCATTTTCATCTATAAACTTTGCATACTTGAAACACAATTTCTCACTTTCAGAATTTTACTGAACTAACTTAATAAACTCGCTGTGGATTAAAGACTCAGAGAAAATCTAGAAATTATGTTGATATTTATAAGTAACTTTCTTTATTTTAAAATCAATTCCATCAAATTTTTATAGCTTATGAATAGCTTTCTTTATATTTCCCAGTTTCTTTTCAATCTTTGCCTAAAGAGTGTATATTTCCTAAGAAGAAAATGAATCTTTTTTTTCCTTCCAAACCTATTTAGCTCTCTTCAAAATAGTTAAAGCATCAGAGTATTTTTCTTTTTAAGGTTTTAAATATTTTAGTTAAATTAATTTTATTTCATGTTTAAAACTTTATTATCATATCTTAATTATTTTTCTATAATATTTAATATCTATAACTGACAAATAATTAATTTGCTAAAATTAAAATTTCATAAAAAATTTAAATTATTTGTAAATTAATTTTTTATTGACAATAAGTATTTTTTGTTTTAAATTTTACTTTATTTTTAATTTTATTTATTTTTTATTGAATTAAAAATATTTGCTTTAAATTAAAAAATTATAATAATTTTTTGTAAATATTTATTTTTACCTTTTTTATAGTAGTATTTGGAGAGTCTAAACAAAGAATTTATGTAAATTTTTCTGTATTCTTTGCATTAGTTGTATAGGACGCATATTAAATAATTGTAAACTATTCTTAAATAGCACTCTTAATCATAACTGAGTAACAACTTAGAAGTCTATTACAGAGCTTGAATTAAGTTAAAAACAGAATACTAGTTTATTATTTAGTTGTATGTAATACGACTACCACCTAAAGAGGAAGTATTATTGTTTGGAAATCCTTGGGAATTAGATTTAACAGTTAATTTGAGAAGATAATCTGGTTAAGATTCATCAAAAGAGAAAGAAGTCTAATCGAAAATAATATCTCCATTTTTAGCCAACTTTGAGTAGTCTTTTTAAAATTTTTATATTTTTAGCATTGTTTCAACATTTAAAAGCACCTAAATCTTTACTAATACCGAAAATTTACTGTCATAACAACATTTTGCGTTAACTAATTGTAAACTGAAAGCATATTTCAATTTTTGAATTGCAGATTTTAATTACTAAAACATATTGTCAAAGCTGTTATTTTTTTCATAGTTCAATATCTTTTAAAATCCCCAGCAGATGCTTCTCAAATATTTCTAAAATGCAAAATCTTAATTCTAAGATGCAAAATCTGGAATGCTTTTGGAAAGCAAATTAATTAATTTTTATTAGGATTCTTCATCTCTAAAATTTCTATCCACAATATCTTCGTATATTTCTGGGCATAAACCATCATTTTTCTGCTTTAAATTAATATCTTGGTATTTCTTGATTTCTGTTTCATCTATTTTATAAGAAAGGATTTATTTATTTGTAAAAGTATTTAATAGAAATTTTTAATTATTTACCTAAATCTAATTTTCTCATCATTTCAACTACATCAATATTTTTATAATCTTCATTCACTTCTTTATAAATATTATATAATTGATAAATGTAATGTGTTCTAAGCTTTTTTATATTCTTGATCTCCTAAGCGTCAGTGAGGTTCAATAATTATATATCTTATTATTCTAGTTCTTATTCAAGCAGTTAAATAGCACCTTTATGCTCACTCATTTCAACTAACGTTTTGCAATACACCTATGTAGAAATACCTCTCTAAATTTATTTTTAAAACACAATTAATAATTTGCAAATTTTTCCTCTAAAAAGGCAAAAATAATTAATATATTAATATAAATTAGAATAAATACCTTTATGAATGCAAAATTTCTTATAAATCTATTTTTTGGAGATTCTGAATGCATAATACTTTGTGGTCTGAAAGGGTCATAATTTTATTATTTTTCCTATTTGAGCTCTTACCTGAACCAAGTGTCTAAGTTGATGAGTGTTTTGGTTATAATTAACTTGTGATTGTGATGGCCTTCTTCTAATATCTTGTTTATAACTGGGATAATTTCTAAATGACTATTTTCTGTGCTATTGATATATTTGAAGATTATATAAGGAGTTAAAAACTCTCCTAAGTCACTGTTTGCCATTAGTTCCATGCATCCCTCAATAATTTTAATGGTTTCATCCTACTTTTTCATCTTCATAATCAGCTCTGCTAGCCATTGCATAAGATTAAACTATTGCTTTTATTGGTGAATAATACTGTGATCTAAATTAGTAGCATTTCCATTTGTATTTTCATTTATTCCTCTTGAGCTAAAAGATGCATTCAGCATGTTAGATCTTTCTTCCATATCATCTTGAGATTTACTTGCTTCGTTTGCACTCAAAAAGCTATTTTAAATTCTCTCATTTAGTTTTTTTCTTTTGCCCTTTTTATAATTAATTAATTAACAAAATTAATTTCAATTCAATTCATTTTTTTCAAATTTAATTTTTTTTTACTGTGAATTTATTTTCTACGTACTCTTTGCAAATACAGAGAGAAACTAGAGGTATGTCTGTGTTAAAGATATTGACATTTAAAAATGATTTTATTTTTTCTTTTAGATCAGCAGGTGTGAGGTTGATTGGGAGGATATCTTAGTAATTCTCCTGAAAGTCATGCTGTTATACTGGCCCAATTAAGCCAAGACAATCCACTAATAGCTCCTACTTTATTTTTACAAGAGCATTCATTGAGTGACTATTCTTTGCAAGAATCTTTTTATTATCAGAAAGCTTTGGCAAATTGAGCAACTGTAAATAAATTGCATTTTTCTTTTCTTTAATCTTTTACAAGTGAATCAATGAAAGCTTTTCTTTTTCTTTTTTCAATTGTATCTCATTTAAGTTTTTACTTTTTAGTTCTTCTTACATACTTTTTGAAATTTTAATTTGAGTAAAATCTTAAGGCTCCTGCAGCAAATTCTTTAAATACGATAAGATTAAAATAACTTATTCATCGATAAGTGGTTATTCTTGGATTTATTTAAGTTCTTTTTCTATATAATTATATTTGCTATAAATGTCTTTTTGTGAAATGTAAGCGAAATATTTCTAAAACTTTTCCTAATTTTATTCATGATAAAATATTTAAAATTATTTTTTTATATGTAAATTTACATCCAAACTATGATAGTTGTAATTTAAAAACCAGTAGTCTTTCATTTGATGACTTTAGTCTAGATCAGAGTTATTAGTAGAATTGCTGCTGCTTTTAGACGAAGTTTGAATATTTATTTTCTTTCTGGATGAAGACAAAGAAGAGGAGTCACCTGAACTGTTATAATTTATCTTTTTAATTAGTTTCATTATGATCCTTGTAGCAACTTACTACGAATATTTGAACAAAGCATCCTCTCTGTTTCTATATACATGCAAAAATGCGAGTAGAAGATGTAAGAATCTCTCATGCTCTTAATTCAAAAGACTTCTTTCACTGAAAAGTAGTTCAAAACAAAAAATAAGAAATACCAAAGCAACATATGAAATGCTTCCATCATGAACAAACAAAATAAATCTAACAATTCTCCAACATGCAGCTTTAATCAAGTATTTATTTGTGGCAGATTAATTAAATTATGAAGAAAATGTCTCCAAAAAAGGAGTTAAAAACCTTATTAAAGCAATTGCATTTCTTAAAGCGCATATTTTATGCTAGCTAGTTTGAAGAGCTCTACAGTAATTTTCCAAATTTGCTGATATTCTAAATACAGTATCATCCATTCCATTAGAAAGGGAAGCTTCTGCAGGTGTGATGAATCTCTTGTAATAATCCAAAAATATCTCCTTTTTCTTGAAGTCAAAAATACAGTTTCCAGCATACTTGGTTAGAATTTATTTGTCTTACAGGTAGTTAAATAGTAATTTTTTAGTACCACTCATAGCTAATCTGTAAAGTACAATTCTATCTCTTTTTAAATCTTCATAGCTAAAAAGTGTTTAATCTAGCTCATAGTCTCTTTCGTTCTAAATTCAAAAAAAAAAGAATTTTATCATTAATTATTTTAAATGAATTATCAAAATAAAACAATTAAATTTATACTAAATTTGTCACTACTTTTTCTGTTTTTAAAATAAATTTGTTGGATTTTAAAAGAAATTGCTTACTTTGCATATTTTTTACAAGTAAGATAAAACATATTGAGCTTTATCATTGTTTTTTCTATATATTTTCTCCATGAAAAACTTCAATGATCTATAAAACTCTCTTAGATTTGTTATATAAACTTTTTGGATGAAAAGATTTTAAGATGCATTTGAGTTTTGAGAGAGACTGCCACCCGAATCTTATGTGTTTATGTTTTATGCACTCCCAAGTTATGCTTGAGATTGTTGCATGCCATAGATATCTTCTAGTCTACCTAGAATGCTGCTCATTTGGATCGAAGGATCTTGCTTAAAATCAATCAGCTAGTGTAAAACAAGCGGAATTATATATCTACTAAAGAAAATTCTTGTTTTAATTTAAGGAGTCAGCTCTTCTAATTCTTCGTCGTCCTCAAGCGATTACTGCTCTTACTCATCTTAATTCAAACAGTCCTCATAATTTTAACAGTGTGCTTTGAGATATTAATTTTCGTAATCGAATTTATCACCTAAATCAATTTTTATATCTTCGAATATTTTATTTGGCTAAGATAATCCACTAACAGATGCTAAAATGATGTTCACCATCACATTCTCTTATTGCTTATAATCTTAAAACAATTACGCAAGGTACTTGCTTGGAAGCAAATTCAGCAAGTCAAAGAGACTAATCTACAGTCTGTTACTTATCATTGTTAAATAATCAATTTTTTATTACAAAAATCCCAAATTATTTTTGTCTCCACTCCCTTTTATCACATCAAGCAGCTTCTAATACTTAAAATCTAAGTGTTCATCAACTGGCTCTTCAGTAATTTGTTCTACTCTCTCTTTTATGTTTGAAGGTTGAGCATTCATTTTTAAATAATTAGTTTCACTATTATATGAAATAGAACTTTTGCTTGATTTTGCACTATTAGAATCCTACTTCTAAATATGTATTTATGCAGTCTAATCCATCAAATTATTGCTAGAACTAGGTCTATTTACACTTAAACTTTATTGAACTTATAGAAATCCAGAACCTTATATTCCTTCCTACTTAGCTTAAACTCTGTTCTTCTAATTCGACTATTCTATACTGTTTAATCTATTGGCTTGTTCGAAGTTTTACTAAGATGCCTTAGCCTCCTTGCTTTTTAATCTTTTAATTATATCCATAGCAAATTTAAATCAAGCAAATTAAATAAATAAGTGTATTTATTTACAAATCTTTTGATAAACCAATAACAATCTTTTAATTAATCCTATTTTACTATGAAGAAAATATACGAATTAAATGATTGAATAATCCTTGTTATTAATAATTTTTGTTTGCATCTAATTTATTATCACTCAATCCCCTTTGTTTTTATTAATTAAAATTGATTGATACCTTTTCCTCTTATTTAATGTTTTAATTCAACATTAAAAAGCGCGGAATTAAAGAATAAGCTAGCATCTCATCAGATTTACTAATCACCCCAAAAAAAAAATAGTCAATTTTTATTTTAAAATCTATACTAAATTTGAATTTATTTATTTTTCAGCCAAAATTCAAAAATGACTTTACTATTCGTTAATTATTTTGTATTTATTAAATGAATCTAATCTAATATAATAATAATTTTTTGATTGACAAATATATATTAAATACACATCTAAAATATATACAATCATTTATCTGATTATTCTAAAAGTATACTGTAGTTTCTCCTATATTATCATTAAAAATTGTTGCTTCTAAGTATATCAACATTTAAAATTAATCAAACATTAAAAATTTTTTAGAACAAGCAGGTTCAATTCCTCCTGTTGCCATTTTTATAGTTTATAAAGTAGCTTATTTATGAAATAAAGATTATTTAAATTTGAATTAAAAATTATGTCAAAAATTTTTTGTGCAATTAGCTATAGAATTTATTGAGAATAAAAACATAATTTTTCATAATTTACATGAAAACAAATAGCATCATGTACAATTAAATAATATAATTAAGAATTTATTGACAAACATTAAAAATAGATATACTTTATCATAAATACTATCAAAAAAATTAATATCAGGCAGTAATTTAAAAGTCTAATTCCAAAATACCACATGTATTACCAGGTGCCAACAAGAAATAGCCTTCCATACCCCAATTAGGACCTTTAGAGTTTTTAATAATCCAATTTCCTTCTTCATCATAACCAACAGCTAAAACAGCATGATTCAGGTTAAATTATTTAGAAGTACAGTTGTTAAAAACTCCAGATGTGTACTCTTTCATATTTGAAGCATCCATAGCAACTGAAACGGGACCATAATTTAATGCCTTTCTTAAACCCTCTGCAGTACCATCTAAGTAAGAGAATTAAACAGGTTGGAATCCATTAGTTTTACTAGTAATATTGCATTAACCCTAAATACCAGTGTAGGGATATTCATTATCAGATAACACACCAAAATCAGCTGCATATTAGACTGCATCAGATGGTACTCCACCTTCACATCCTTCAGAAAAATAGCCATTTTCAAGAGTTACGCAATCTAAAAGTTGTTACTAAGAATAGAGTGAAACATTTTGAGGTTTATTGTGTATTAAATTAAAAGACTCCATAAGTCCAGTTGCAGAGAAAGTCCAACAGCCACCACATTCACCTTAATTTTTAACAGGACTTACACCACCTTTTTTTCTCCAATCAATTGATGAAGCTATTTAAGTATCGTTGCTATTTTAAATAGGGCTAGATTGCAATAATCTATTTTTATTTTTTGCAAGCTCATTTAATGGAGAATTTTTCATAAGAATTCTTTGTTAATATTCTTGTAATGTAATATCAGAGAATTAGTTAATGCCAACTGAGTAAGTATGATTAGAGTTTTTGTTGTGCTCTTAAACACTTTAATAATTTTCTAAAAATACACTTTATCTGTAAATCTTTTCTGCTTCGCTAGAGTAAACCTTTCCATTTTCTTCTCTCCATTTATTGTAAGCAGTAAGGGCTTCAACAACAGAGCCTTATTATGCGTAGCAAGAATAAATACAAGTAAAAACTAATAAAGCTAGGAATATTTTGGAACTCATACTTTTAAAGAAACTATTTCTATCAATTTTTTATTTAACTTCAAAATTATTAAAATCAATCAAAATACAATCTTTTTTTATATAAAATCTGTAAAAAACAAGTTCATACTTAATTACTCAATTTATGAGTACTTCTAATTAATTATACTTATTTGGTAATAGATACTTTCATGAGTTAAAATTATCTAAATAACATAACACTATTACTAAATGAGAAAAAAATTAATCAATGATAACTAATATGCTTGAAACTAAATAAATTTTGAATATAACCATGATAATAATTATCCATTTAAAATACAAGAAATATTATTCAAATTCAAGTTAATTACATACAAAAATTTAGAAGATTACAACATAAAACTAAAAAACTTTTGCGCTGGCTTTTCATAAATTTTATAGTTTAAAAAAAACGAATTATTTCATCATTAAGTAAATATAAACAAATTTGTTTAAAAAAACAAAATAAATTCAAAATAATTTAGTATTTTTTATAATATAAATATAAATTTTTTTATTCAAAAAGTAATTCTGTTTCATACAATCAGCAATAATTATAATTTTACCACATTTTTAAAAATAAAGTTAATTAAAGTATTACTAAGCACGATTAGCTGCTCCACTAATTTTTAAATATCTTATAAAAATACTACTTATAAAACATTAAATTAAATGAATTTACTTTTTCATTAATGCTTTTATAAATTATAGAACAAAAGTTAGATTTTCAATTAAAAATTTTCCTTATTTTAAATTATTTTCAAAACTTTTATGGTTTCAAGGTTCATAGTAAAGCTTAAACACCATATGAAATCTATTTCATCATTTAATAATTTATCAAATATAATTTTATATTTCCAGATTTAATAATATTTATTTTATTAATTTTTTTAGAACCCAGATTTTCAAAAATATCAAACCATTAAAATTTAAAGTCTTGTTTATCACCACAAATAGGTATAAGATGTTAGTAAAACTTTAAGATATTAGTCGATATACTTTAATTATTAATTATGATTGATTTTATGCTCATTTAAACTCTATTTTTATTTAGACTAACTTATAGATTTTCTCAAATATTATGAATTAGTTTTTAAAAATTAAAATTCATTTCATATTAAAATTCGTTAGTAAATAAAAAAATACTATTTTTATCTTTTTAAAAATAATAAAGCATAAAAAAGAAGATAGAGAAATATTTAATTAAAATAAATTATTAAAAATGTATTAGGACTAAAATTTATAAAAAATATATAAAAACAAATAAATTTCAAAAATTTTGCTTTACTTTATTTTAAAAACTATTGAGTCTTATTTGATCAGGATGTTTTAAGATTTTATTTTTTTAATAAAATGTTCTCATCAATCCAAAATTTTAACTATAAAGATATTTATAAAAATATTAAAACTGAATTTTATCTTTAGAATCAAGAAAATTTCTCAATTTTTTCCAATTATCTAAGCTTTTAATATGTTTTTTCACAAGATTACTTAAGAATAGCATTTTAATAGCGTAGTTGAATACTTTTGATTTCATTTACAAATAATTTAAAAAAGATAGCAAGTTGATTTTTAAATTTATGTTGATTTCTATGAGAATGTGATAGAGAATAATCAACACTATGCAAGTATATGATACATTTGTTAATACCTAAAAAAAACTATCTTTCAACTAAGAAGTAAGTAAATTTAAACTAAAGCATAGAGCTATTTTGTACTGTAATTTAAAGTCAACATCATTTAACTTATTTTCTTTATATGGTTTACCTAAATGTTAAATATTAATTAAAAAATTTACTTTAAATATTTATTTTACAATATTTTAAACTTTAATTTATGTTATTAATTAATTAAGAAGTAAATAAAGATGATAAAAATCATCTAATAAATTTTAAAGATAAAATGAATATACATGCAAAGATTAGAAGGCAATAAGTTAAAGATAGCAAAATAGAAAATATAGTCTATAGGTTAGTTGTCTAATAAGAGCTGTATAATATTATGCTAAGTATTTACTTAAAGATTAACTTTATAAAATCCCAAAAAAAGTATTTATACTTGTATTCATTTGTAAAAAACCCATAACGCATTTAATATTTGTACTAATGCAAATAAAATCTATTATTTTGCATCTTTAAAATTAGGAATAACATAGGCACCAGAAAAACCACCGAATAAAGAGGCAAATAAAAGTAATGATATAAATTTAGCTAATAATTATCACAATAACTTGATAAATACTCTGTTACAAACAAGACACCACCAAAATTTTAGCAAATAATCTATTTAAAATTTAATTGGTAAATAAATTATTAATGATAAATAAAACATAAAGATTTTAATTTAAAATTTTAATTAATATTAAATATGGAAGGAAAAGTATTTACCAATTTATAAAGCTTTGTTAAAACAGCAGTCTAAGTGTAGTAAATGAAGATCTGACTAGCAATAAAAACTTTTACAAAAATATTTTTCTCATTAAAGTAAAATTTTTTAATTAAAAAAAAAGATATAAGAAACAGATAACTCATAAACCAGATCAAAAGCAAAAAGAGAATACCCTTTACTAAGATATCAGCATTAGATACCCTCTCTAAAAAGCACTCAAAAGCCCTCAATTATAAGCTAAAGAGATTTCCTAAATCTAAAAACATATTGGAGAAAAAGTAAGAAAAGTTTGTTTCATAGCTCAATACTATACCAATTATGTATATTTCTATTAAAAAAAATTTCAGGACAGGATATGTCTTAAAGTTTTATTATACTCTCTATAAGAATATTATATATAAAACTTTAGTTATGAGTTTATTTTATAAATTATTCTAATAATTTTAGACCATTTTAATTATTATCCAAATACAAATAATCATAAATAAAAATGGGTATATTATCTCTAGTACAGAGATTTCTGAACACCTTTTATTAATTTAAAATAAATATTAAATATAATTTTCATATATTAATATTACTTAATGCATTTGTTTTTAAAGTTCTTTGCATATGAATATCCCCAAAATATACCTCTTCTATCACAATCTTCACACAAAGCTCCAATATATCCTATTGAAAATTAATTAGAATTGTATTTACAAATATTAATATAGCTTGAAATTAAAAAATTTATAAAAAAACTATTTAAAAATTTAATTCAACAATAAAAATCTTCAAAAAATTAAAATTTTCAATTTCAATTTCAAAATTTAAAGTTCAATTATTTTGAAAATATCAATAAATAATAATTTATGAATTGAAAATATTTAAAAAATAAGAATATTTATTATATTTTAAATTTTTAAATCATTATATTTTTTTAAATTTAATAAGTTCTCCATAAAATAAAAATAAATGGTTGGATACCTTCATCGCAATAGTAATTTTAATCAGATACTTAAATTCTTTTTTGATAAATTTTTTATTAAGCTTCACTAATGTTTTAATCGCCAATACAGTTAGAGCATTGATAGATATCAGATGAGTTTTTATTAACTCTCCAATATTAAGAACTCAAATAAATATTATTTCCTTAGCAAGTTATATCATTATTTGGACATTAAAAACAAGAATCAGTAATAATAAAGCTATATGAATCTTTACATTAAAAGCAATAATCATAGTATTCGTATATCTTTTTTACTATTTTGCCAACTTAACATTATTTTGCTAATTAAATATTTAATATCAATTTATACTCTTAATTGTATCCTATTACATTTTAACCTGAGTCATAAATAGGTATTTTAATTTAGTTACTAGTTATTTTTACTTGAAGCTAATCACCCATGAGTCCATATATTAATAGTTAATCAGTCACATTAAATATTCCTTACTCATTTGTCAGGCTTTTTGTATTTATGTAACCATATCCAGATTAAATGCTTACTTATAAATTAATATTGCTTTCGCTCAACTTTTCAAAGTTTTTGCTTGATAAAATCAAAATTATATCATCCTTATTAAAATAAATAATTTAATTAATTACAAAATAATGTTATTTTCAAGATTAATTAATTAATTTATTTATTTTTAATTTTATTATTAAACAATTAAATATATGTTTAAGGGTTAAAAAATAAATTTATTAAAATAAAAATTGTAAAGTTTTATGATCAAGATGTTTTATATTAAAAATTGTTTTATAAATAATAAAATAAATACCCTCATTTTGAATTTAAAAATATTAATTAAAAAAATTTAATTACATTCAATTAGCCACCTTCATGATTAAGCACATCTATTTAAGGAATGTTATTGTAAGCATTGAATTATTTATTGTTAATATAGATGTCAAAATGAATTGGAGATTACTTAATTATTTAACCATATTTTTATGCAGTGTTATTTTTATATGTATTGTTGAAATATTAGTTTACACTTTAACCTGTGTTTGAAGATATAGCTCCTCCATATTGTGCATAATTAGAATCAAAATAGCAATCATTAAGTTATACAATATTTGAAAGAATTTAGGAATACTCATTGTTAAGATAGATAGCACCACCTTCTGATAATGCATTATTATTATCGAAAATGCATTTTTAAATTAGAATTGAAGAATAATTAAGATAAATACCACCTCCATTTTCATATGCCTTGTTATTCTAAAATTATGAATTTTAAATATTTATCTAATTTTTTTGGTTTTATTGTTATAGAATCCTTGAAGATCCTTAACTTGGTATCTAAATTTGTTAAACATACAATCCTGAGCCATGAAGTGCAGTATTTGAGTCAAAGCGGGATTAGTAGATATTTAGAAATATTGCTGCTATTTAAATTATTCCTTGACTACATTACTTGCAGAAATTGTTATTTGAATTTAAGAGTTGAATTTAACAATAAGTGCTATTATATAATGCCACATTTTAAATAGGTAAATTAGGATTAGTTAATTACTAAAATGCATAAATATTAGCATTATCCTATAACGTGCAATTATAGATATACAATTAATAGATTTGATCAAAATTTATTAGATTATCTAGGAAAAGACTTGATTCGTATATGTTGTTAAAGTCAAGTAGAGTTTATGTATTGGTTACTAGTAAAATCTTTTAAAAAATAAGAGTATTTATAAATTATTGATCTAAAAATTTGCTTTTATTTGAAAATATTTTAAATTTTGAATTTTAAATGAAAACATAATTAGCTCTGTTAATGTAAAAAATTGAGCTAATTATATTTTCTTAAGCAACAACTTAGATATTTAAAAATTGAATATTATCAGTAATCTTTTCTATTTAGTTAGTTGAAATTATTTGCTTTAGTATGACTATTGTTTTGGCTGATATTTAATTGTTTAAATAAAGGTTGCTGCCTAAAATAGAGAAATTATTTTCAAAAATACTGCTTTCAATTTGAACAAAAGATCTAGGTAAATTCGAAGTTTGAAGTGATATAGCTCCTCCTCCATATTATGCAAAATTAGATAAAAATAAACAATTTTTAATGTTAATGTCTTGGCTATTTGAAAACTATTAATCAATCAAAATAGCACCTCCTTTAGATTCCAAGCTGTCTTCGCTATAGGCATAATTACCAATAAAGGTAGAATTTTAAAATGACATGCTCCCCTCACTTTTAGGACTCCAAAATATGGCTCCACCAAATAAAGCTAAACCATTTGCAAACAAAGAATTAAATATAGTAAACGCTACACTTGTTATCATTATAAATCCGCCATTTTTTATTGATTTTAATTCTTTGTAGTTATTTTAACCAAGACTAACTGAGTTTGTAAAATTTGAATTTATAATATTTATTGTTTTTACTTATCCATTGATCCAATTAAATGGGTTATCAATGTTACAGTCAGTAAATTTGGAATTGTCTATTATTACTGATATAGTTGGTGATTTAAAATAAAATCCTAAAGAAATAGAGCCAAGGGTGATCTAATTTAAAATTTAAAAATTATTTAAATATTTTTAAATAATTAAAATAAAAAAAATGTAACAATGCTGTGATTTCTCAATTTCAAAGTTTAAATGTTAAAAATGAAAATTTTTTGATTTTTTCTATTATTTTTTTAAATTGATTGCAATTTTATGGCTCCTCATTAATTTGTGCAAAGAGGGATTACAATAGTTTATCAAAAATATTTAAAGAGAATTCGAAAGAAAATAAAATTTACCCCTTTAACTAGCAATTAAGATTAGAATTATTAAAATACTATATTTTTTATTTAAATTGTAGTGTCCTAAACTGTATTTATTGAGATCAGCCCACAATCCTCTAAATTATCTTAAATGACAATAGTAATATTGTTGCATACAATATTATTTATAATTATTCCAGCTGGAGTAGCAAGTTAATTATTTGAATAACTTTTATTATTTGATTATAATTAATCATTTTTTATTTAGATGAAATTATTAGATATTCTGATATCATTTAGATAAAAGCTATCTATACTTATGAAATTTAATGATTAACTTATCTAGCAGAATATTGGAGATATTAAATTTATTAAAGTCTGAGATTATGATACTTGTTAAATATATACACTAGAAACTGAGTCTGTTTTTAAAAATAAGAATTAGTTGTTATTTATCAATGTAATATTTTAGATTTAAACTTTTTTTAAATTAGTAAAAGATATCAGCTATTAGAGATTTTTAGATTAAAAATTATTTCTTTACAAATTAAATCTTAATATTTATGAGCTTGTGTTTTAGTCTGTAGAATAGTCCAAAAATAAGCTATTGATACTTTCTGAAAATATTTAATTTTCTAGGAAAAATACATCTTAAAATACGGAATTTTGATTTACATTTTTTAAGTTCGATAAGCTATCTTATTATTATAAAAAACCATAGTTTTAAATAATTGTATTTGAGATATAAAAATTAGAAACACTAAAAGTGTTTGAAGCTATTAGAGGTATATTTTGGATAGAATTTTATTTCAAGTTGGATAAACTAAATTTAATATCTGTAATATTTAGATCATTTAGAAATTGAGAATTTAAAATGCAGGATCCATTAGAAAATTCACATTAAGAGAAGCTAACGTTATTAAACAATACTTTAATTTATTGGTTTTAAATATAGATTGGTTAGATATCAAACATTTCTGTACCATCATTAAATTAGCATTAATAAAAAGAGATATTAGTTAAATTAATGTATGCTTCAAATATATTCAATGATAATAGTGATGCTTTACTCATTACTACCTATTATTTAAAAAATATTTTAAATTAAATATAAATTTTCTTAAAATTATAAAAAATATTTTCAATTGTTTTTAGAAATGTTAGGTTTAAGATAAAAAATATTACATTTATAAATTATGCTTGATCGATAGTTAAATATATTTAGGCATCTTTAAGTTTTGTTAAAATATTAATTAGTTTATTACTATTATAAACTTAAACGTTTTAAAATTAAACATATTAAAGAGTTACAGTTGAATTTTACAACGTTGATAAATTAAATGCTAAGTATTACTGTTAGTTATTTTAGCTTTAGTTAAATCTACAATTAAGCATTTTAAATGTTATTAATTAACTATCCTAGACAATAATTCCATAAAAGCTACTATTAAATTGTTATTAAAAATTAATATTTTATACAAAGACTTGGTTAAAGCCAACAACAGTAAAGGGCTATAATTATAAAAAATTTAAATAAATATTAGGGTTTGAAGTTTAAGATGTAACATTTAAACTTATTAGTTATAAAGATCTAATCTAATTCTATAATTTAGTAGAGAAAACCTAATTTCTTTATTCCACACATTAATCCCCATAAAAAATTAGCAATACTTCTAACTCTTTAACTTGTAATTCATTGTAATATACAACAGCCTAATCATATTACAATTCACTTAATATCAGCTAATCAATATCCACTTCATTAATTCTGTTATAATTTAAAGGATTTTGTTAAGATCCATCACCTATTTAATTATTTTAATCTAAGCATTTAGTATAAATTGTTCTCTATTTTTTGTAATAACAGCCTTATTCGGTGTTTTGACACAGATAACATTTTCTTCTCTCTTTGTCATTGGTTATGCTGTAGTTTTAAAGAATCAAATTCAAGTTTTGCTTGCACGACAAACACTATGAATCATATAAAAACAGTGGATTTTAACTTATATCGCTTTCATTAGTGCAAGTTTAACACCTTATATAAAATAAAGCATACTTTTTAGATAAAAATAATAAAGTAAGTAATTACATTAATGGACATATTTAGCAATCATCTCCTTTTGAAGTAAGGCTTACCATGCTTTATATATTAGGGATAGCATTTTAATTATAATAAAGTTTTCCTATGAAATACTATATGGGACTAATTAACGAGAAAAGCATTTATTAATTACATTTAATACATTAAGGTTAGTTGTTAATTAGTATACATTAAGAACAATATTTACCGCATGATATAGCAAGACAAATTTTTTATTATTAATCGAAATAATAACCTTATTGGCATTCAGTACAGAATAATTGATAATTATTTGAAGTACTATTATAATTTAATCTTTGCTAAATGCTTAATTACTGTCTTTTATAAATCAACTAAGATGTAAAATTAAATGTCCTAGTGCCTATTTCAAAAAAAAAATTTAATATTTAAACAACAAATTATAAATACCTTCATAGCATTTAGAACATCCTTAGGGACACTTAATACATCCATTTATTGAAGGGATACTGTATTAATCTAAGCAGCTGGTGCATTAGGATATAAGGTTGTTTGAATTGGGATCTTAGTAATAAAAGCATTAAGCGCATCCATAATTCTAAAATTATAATTAATCTTCATAAAATATTTTATTTAAATAATATAAATACATTGTTTTAACAAACATCATCTTGGCATTTAGGAGGATTATAACTTAAATTTAGAATGCTTCCATTACTGCAAAACAAACATTATGTATTAGATTGATTCTGCAAACAATTAGAACATTTTGTTTATGAAACAGTAGTTCGACATCCATAGTTACATTCTTGTTAGTTTTTTTAAATAATGTACCCATCATTACATTGCTTACAAATGAAGGTTATCTGAGCTGCATTTTATTAAAATGCCCATAAATTTTCAGATAAATCTAAACTTTAAGCTCCCTAATTTACTAAGACACTACTATGAATGCATTGAGAAATAAATTATTTGCATTAAATACCTATTTATATATAATTGAAGATAGTAAAAACTATTAATTTTTTTTTTTACCATCATAAGACAAAAAATATCCATCATAGCATTAAAAGCATTTTTTAATGTATTATTTATTATTAAATTCTGCTTGTGATATCATTCTTAAGGCTTCTATGTTATAATTTAAAACAGATTCCTAATTTTCTATTATAAAAATATATTTTTTTAAAAATATTCATAAAATAATATGATAAATATAAAATTTTCAAAATGTTTTTGATTTAAATATCTATATTCAATATTACCATATTAACATTAGTTACAGTTTAAACCACATTTTTAGCATGATTGTAAGTCAAAAGATACTAAGTATCCTTATTAACAACTCAAACAAATTAATTAAAAATTATATAAATATTTTTAGCTTGGATCGTAGTTAATTTTAGTCTTAAGTTAAGCATATCCTGTAATAAAAGTTGCAAATTGGCAAACTTTACAATTATCTGGGCAAGGTTAGCATATTCCATCTGTTAATACAAAACCGTAGCTGCAATCAACACAAACTGCTTGATTCAATTAATTTTAAATACAAGAGGAGCATCCTTGGGGGCCTGCAAATTTTAAATATAAAATTTTATGGTGTATACAAATTAAAAACTTACATAAATTTGATGAATAGGAAATTAAGTCCAAGTTATTGTTAATTATAAAATTACTAGCTCCTAGTTTATTTAATAGTACTTAAGCATTTTAATCCAGCTAAGCTATATAATTTTAGCAAGTTTTATATTTATTACTGATATCATTCCTAATTTATAAATGATAATTAAATTTATTATTTATAAAAAAATAAATTCAAATTTACCATATGCCAAATTCTGAAGAGCAATCAAGGCAAGTATAAGTTGGTGAATTTGGATAATATTAAGCCATTTAAGCATATTAATATATTTAATTATCACATTTTAAGCAAAGCTGATAAGTTGAAGAAAGCTAATATAAAAAATAGCCTTAGATGCATTATGTACAAAATATCTTGGAATCACATGAATAGCACCTACATTTTTAAAATAAATATTTTTAAAAAATATACACATTTATTATACCCTTATGGACACTTTTTGGTTTTGTCTGATAAGCAAAAATTTTAATCATAGCAATCTTCTTTTACATAAGTTAGCTGCATATTAAAATATAACTACTAAGGAATGATTTATAATTATGCTATTTCTTCAACACTGTAGCATATTTAATTACCTGGATTAGTGTAGTAGGTGGGGCATAATAAACACTCCTTACTATTAACTGATATATTTTAGCAAAAACCATATTTATTTGTACAATACATATAACCATTTGAGTCTGGGACATTTATATTTTAAAGCATGCACTAACTCTAATCATAAAATTAAATAAAGCATTAATTCCCAACTATTAAACTTAACAAATTTATTGAGGTGACGCATTAGCCATTATTATTGAGAATGCAATAATTGTTTGGGCAAACACTACAGTTACTGCTTAATAAATCAGCACAAAATCCTAGAATTAAGAAATATAAAAGATTTTTATCTTGAAAAAAAAAATCATTAATTAGTACCATTAGAATCTGCACAATAAGTTATTTGCTGCTAAACAAGATTTTGGCATGTGTTTTACATAGTTGTTGATAAACATTAACTATAATCACATTTTTTACAGTTACCATTAAGTGTGCAATAACCGTTTTAATCAACACACATTCCTTAGCTTGTTTAAATACTTTTGCAAGATAAAGTATTTGGGTCTAAACAAAATTTTCCTGGTGCACATTATATCTTAGTTTAAAATATTTTTATAAATATCTAGATTATAAATTTAAATAAATACAGCTATTGGTTAGTTTTATTACAAGCATCGATTTGTATCTTTTTGTAATCCTTTATTATCAAATTATTAATTATTTAATTTTTATATCTATTTTACCAATTGTTTAAGGATTTGATTAACTCAATTTGTAACACGAATATAGTCCTTATGATGTAGCAAGCAAACAATACCTTTTTAAAAATAACTTTTTAACAATAAATAAAGCTTTTTTTAAATTACCCGTTTGTAAAACAATTAGATGCACCATATGTTCCTATAGTTTATTATTGTAAGCATAAATGGGTATTTAGTTCTTTTCCTGGATACTTATCAGAAAGAGGAACACATTCACCTTATGATATGCAGAATTACTATTAACATTTGCTTACGTATTTTACACCTTAAGGTAGACATATTTAAGTTAAGTAGTCTCTTCCTATTTTGTTTATTTCATTTGGTGAACTCATTGCTTCGCATTAATAATTATTATTTGTATTCAAACAATATAAACCATCCATACAACCAATACTATTTTCTAATTTTATAAATTTTACTGAATATTTTGCTAAAAAATTATAAATAATTACAAGTATTCAAATCTTAGCATTGTTAGTTTGCATTTTTAGCTCTGTATATTAAATTTGGATAATTTGGATCATATAACTAAACTAATTGGCATTTTTGTTTTCCATTTCTATTTAAGTAAATCTAATTAAGCTTCTACAAAATTAAATATTTAATTTAATTAAATGAAGAAAAATTACCCTATATTAAGTATGCAATAAGTTATTCCAAGGCAAGTAACTATCTCTAATTAATTTAAGAACTTTTTAATATGTATTATTCTTACAAATAAATTTTACGTATTTAAGTTTCTTAGTCTTAAATCAAACACTATTGTTAAATATTGATACCTACAATAAAATCACCTTTAGCTAGAGTGCCTTCAGTAAAGCAAAAATCTTTCTTAGTTTATGAATAAGTATAGAGGCAAGAACCTTAAACACAAGTTTCTATATTGTCTCCATTTCCAAGTGGTTATTAATAGGGTAAGCAATAACCCGTTATTTTTTATCTTGCATAGCAATTTAAATTTTCTTTTAATAATAAATCAATGCATCTGAATCCATTTTAATAATCAAGACAAAATTAACCTGCCATACACCTAATGTTAAAATAAATTAGAATAAACTAAATCTTTTAAAATTCAAACCTAACAGCATTTTGTAAATTCTTTTGTACACAGTATCCATTAGTATCTATGCCTATCCTTTATAAGTTTGCATCAAAAGGGAAACATCCTTCAATAGAATTTAAATTAGTTGGATCTTACTTTAGCTTACAGTGATTAAAAGCACAAGCTAATATTTCTAAAATACATTTTATATTAAAATAAATCAACTTTTATAATTAAATTACTATCATAAAATTATCCTCTAATGGCACATTAACCATTTTATTATCTTCCCTATTTTTGGTTAAACAAAAAAATATTAATTTTGAAGTAAAATTGTTTTAATTATGTATATATAGTATAGTTATAATATTTACTGAGTGATTTTATTCTGAGTCATTTATTAAAAAACATGCTTATATGCTCTAATCAAAACATACTTAGTTATCTGAAGAACATTCTACACTAGTAGGCATGCCGTTAGTTAAACATTGATAATTTAAATTTCTACCTAAAAATGTTAAATCATATAACTAGCATTAGTTATTATTTATGCAGAACCTTTAATAATAAATCATAAGATGTTAATAAATTATAATATAATATTTTACCCGCTGAAGCACTAAATTACTTTTTATTTTGCTTACTAGTTTTAATTAAGACACATATATTTAAACTAATCTACTCCTATATTAGCTGTATTATCTAAAGTTCTAATATAACCTAGACTATCTTGGCAATAGTTTTATCTTAAATTTACCAAATCTATAATTCAAAGTAGTTTGTTGGAAATAAAATAATTAAAAATTAAATTACTTGAAGGAGTCCCTAAAATATTTGTCAATTAATCTTAAACAGCACATTATTTTGTTTCAACTATATACCCAATATAAATAGTAGATTTTGGGTATATTACACAGAATTGTGTATCTTAAATAACCAAGCAAACATTATACTAATCATTAAAGCAGACATCAACTCCTCCTACAGACTTTTGCTTATCTAATAAACATTAATATTAATTAATATCTCTACCAACATAAAGACTTTGAGAAAGCTAATAGCATTAATTATTCAATGTACAACCATTTCCACTAGATCCATAATTAACAGTTTATAAGCATTTCTACATTTGAGGATCAAAGCAAATAGTATACGAATTAACACCACAACTTTTTATACATTTAATTAAATTTGAATATTATTTTAGGATATAAAATAGAAAATAACTTTTTATTTGATTTCATATATTTATTTTAAAATATTAGTTAAAAATGCATATAAATTCTTTATAATCTTGATTGAATATTAAGACAATTTTATTCTTTAATAATTTAATTTTATTTTATCTACCTAATATAGGGATAACTTTAAATAAATTATTTTATTTTATTAAATTTTATCTTCTAAAATTCATGTTTAAGAAAAAATTCAAAAAATAATATTAAAAATATACCTCACTGCAGGTGATTAACCAATTTATAAACAGTAACCATTAGCATCTATACCAACTCTTTATGCAACGATATTAAAAAGAAAACATCCTTCGTTTGAGTTTAATTTTTATATACAATAACTTGTTGAGCACTAGGTTATTTCTACAGTTAAAGGATATTTAGTATTTAATTAATTATTTTAAAAAATTACTAGGATAGTAAGTACTACTAGCTGCACAGTAACTATTTATTTATCTTCCCTATAATAAATATTTATACATATTTTTGAATTAATATTAAATAACTTACAGCATATGCAACTTCTGTATTATTTATGTAAACACACATATTATTTATTATGTCTAAGCATACTTGTTTGTTTGATGAGCATTCAACACTATTTTATTATTTACTAACTAAACAGTTATAATTTACATCTCTACCAATATAGGTGTTATCATATTGTTAGCACATATTTTTATTTATGCAGTATCTTTATTAAGATTTTTAAAAATATTATGAAGTGATTAATAAAATTTTATTACCCAATGTAGCACTAAATTATTGAATTTTAAGGTTATTGACTTTAATGTAAGCACATGTAATTAAATGAGTCTACTCCAATATATGTTTAACTATCAAGTGATCTTATGTATCCTGTAGAATCTTAGCAATAGTTTTGTTTAAAATTTATCAGATCTAAAAATAAAAATTAATTTCATTTATTATTTTTTTAAAATATTGTTTTACTTGCTATTTTTCCTAATTAATAAGCTATGATGTTCACAATTGCACACTATTAATTCTAAACAACATATCCTAGATACTAAGGATTTTATGGGTATATAACACAGAATTAAGTAGTTCCTATAACTTTGCAAATATTTTGTTTATCATTAAAACAAATATCAACAGCAGTTGTTTATTGTAAATTAGTCAAACAGTTCTTACTTGAATCCCTGCCAATATAAAGATTATTGGATAATTCATAACATTGCTTATTTAAAATGCATCCATTTCCTTTCGAACCAAAGTCAATAGTTAATTTACACTATTTTGATTGAGGATCATAACAAATATCAGAATTTTATTGTGTGCAGCTATATGTAAAAAAAACATGAAAAGTTTTATACGCAATAATGAATTTACCTAACTGCTGTTGGCGAATTTAATTAAACGCAATAACCGTTATTATCAATACCCACTCTTTACAAGCTTATATCAAAAGGAAAGCAACCTTCTTTTGAAGTTTAGTCAGTAGGATCTTATTTTATTTTACAATAGTTTGTTGAACACTATGCTATTTCTATTGTTAATAATAATTAATATATATATTATCTATGTTCAAATTAATTTACAAGAATAGTATTGACTGCTTACTGCACATTAACCGTTTAGCTGTGTCCCCTATTTAAATATTTTATCAGCCAATAAATTATTATGAATTAAAAACTTACTGAATGATTAGGTTCAGTATTATTTATCAAAAAGCATGCATTATTGCTTTAGTCAAAGCAAACTTGTATATTTGAAGAACATTCAACTGAAATAGATTATCCATTATTTAAGCAATTATAGTTAACATCCCTTCCAATATTAATTAAGTTATATTGTTTGCATGCATTTCCATTTATGCAGAACCTTTGTTTTAGAAAAATAAAAATATTAATCAAACTAAATTTTTTATTTTATTTACCCTTTATAACACTGTATGATTTTATTTTAAGCAATTTAATTTTATTTTAAGCACATAAAATTAAAAGAATCAACACCAATATTTGTTAAACCATCTAAAAGTCTTATGTATCCAGAGGAATCTTAACAATAATTTTTTTTCAAATTTATTAAACCTAAATAAAGAAAATAAGTACTTAATAATTATTTATAAAATAATTGAGTTACCTGCTTACTATCCTACTTAATAAGCAACTTAATTTAAAATTGCACAAAATCCATTTTAAATAACATATCCCAAATACTAAGAATTTTATGGATATACCACACAGAATTAAGTAGGTCCATTTATTTTACAAATATTTTGTTAATCATTAAAGCAAATATCAATACCTTTTAATGCTTATTATAAATTTGTCAAACAGCTTAAATTTATATCTCTACCTACATATAAACTGTTAGATAACTGATAGCATTAACTATTCAAAATACATCCATTACCTTAAGAACCATAGTCAATAGTTAATTTACATTAATTTTATAAAGGATCATAACAAACTTTCTAAGTTTAAGATGTACAACTATATATAAAAAGCCTTATTTATTTGATAACTTTTCAAAAATATATTTACCTAACTGCAGATTAATTTAATTGGACACAATAACCATTAATATCAAGACCTACTCTTGAAGAATTAATATCAAAAGCAAAGCATCCTTCTTATGAATTTTAATTCGTTGAATCTTATTTAAGCTTACAAAAATTAGTACTGCAACTTGATATTTCTATTTTAATATGTAACTATCAAAAATATGTTATTTTTATCAGTTAATTTACTTGAATAATATTGACTACTTTGTGCACATAGCCCATTTAGCTACCTACCCTACATAAATAAAATTTTTTTAAATAAATCTTCTATAATATAAAAAAATACAGAATGATTAGTTGAAGTATTGCTTATGAAAAAGCATGCTTTTAAATTTTAATCCAGACAAATTTAGCTATTAGATGAGCATTCTACTGAATTAGATTATTCTATTTGTAAACAATTATAGTTAGTATCTCTTCCAACATATGTTGAATCATAAGGCTAGCACTGATTACCAATAACACAATATCTATTTTATTAAATTTTAATATTTTTATACAATTTACAATCAACTTTACCCTGAAAAGCATTAAATAATTTATGATGCTGCTTATTAACTTATTTGTAAGCATAAATAATTTGATGATTAAACTCCAATATTTATTGAGTTGTCAATTTATCTTATATACCCTTAGTTATCTTGGCAGTAGTTTTATTATAAGTTTATAAGACCTGTCATTATAAAATTTGATTAATTGATTTATATTTAAAATAAATTACTTGAAATGGTTCCTTGTTGATAAGTTAATTGATTAAGTAAAGCACATTATTTATTTTCGCTAACAAAACCTAAATACTACTAACTATTCGAATAGATAACACAACTTTGTGATGATCCATTAACTAAACATATATTTTACGAGTCATCAAAACATTTATCTACTCCTCTTTAAGCAATTTACATATTTGTAAGACATGAATATCCATCTAAATCTCTTCCTACATATAAATTATTAGACAATTAAAAGCATTAACTATTCAAAATACATCCATTTCCATTAGAACCAAAATTAATAGTTTAATAACAAGCTTTTGATTATTAATCATAGCATATGTTATTTTATTAATAGCAACTATAAAAATATATTGTAATAATATTAATATTATTTTTTTAAATATAAAATGTATTAAAAAAATACCTTTTTGCTGGTGACTAATTAAAATCTAGGCAGTAATTATCTGAAGTAACTCCCACTGCTCCTTACTAACCATTAAACAAAATACAAGCTACTTATGTCTAATCAGAAGATTTTGTTATGCAATGATGCTTTTCGCATTTACTTAAGTCTTAAAAATGTATAATTAATATCTTAAAGCAATTTATAAATATTATTACTTGAAGTGAATTCTCCCCTATCTAAACAATTTCCTAATTAATCAATTCCCTATTTCAATATTGATATATATTTATTAACAATATATAAACCATAATTTAGATTACAGAGGCATTTAAATTCTAATCTGATAACCAAACACATTATGATTAATATAAACAAACTTCATAATTCTATGCGCACTAAATAGCTCCACTCTGTTATGCTTGGGCACAGAATCCATTTGAGAGTATTGCTATATTTAATCCATCAAATCCTACTTACTAGCATTAATTTTAGTAATAGCAGTATCTTAAATAATTAAATTTTTAAGTTAGTAACTATTTTAAACTCAATTAAAAAATTACCCCTATTAACACTATTATTTAATGCACTATTAATATGTTTGATTTCTATCAATATATGGAAATTATATTTAAACAATAGTAAATTGGTCATCTTAGCAGTAATTTTATTTTAAATTAATTAAATCTATTATAATAATTTTTGTTAATTATAAAAATTTTAAGGATAAAATAAAGCTACTCTATAATTAATCTTAAGAAGTTTTTTTATTTAATTCAGCGCAAAATCCTGTGCTGCTTATATACCCAAGATATGTCTAAGAATTTTGATATAGCACGCATTAACTTTTATCATCTTTTAAACATATATCAGTAGGGCTATTAAAACAACTATCTACAACTCCATTTTATGGTATTTATTAATCAGTTAAACATTAGTATTAGCTATCTCTACCAATATACATAGTAATAGACATCTGATAACAGACTCCATTATATGCACATATATTTTAAAATGACTAATCAGATGTTATTAGAAGACACTAGTTTGTATTTGGGTCAACGCAATTTTATTATTATGTCAAACAACTATAAATTAATAAAGTTATTTTAATTTTGTCTTTGTAGATATAAAAAATGTTCAATTTATATTTAATATCAAATTAAATGTAATATATAGAATGTATTTGATTCATTATGCAGTTATTATTGTAAAGTAATAAATTTTGATTATAAGAATCTGATGTAAATCAAGTCAATACTTTCTTAATTTAACTTTTATTATAAATCACTCGTTTTAATTAAAAAATTGAATATTATTTACTTATCTAGTAGTCTATTAGAATCTGATTTGTATATTTGAGAGCTTACATTATTTTTTTATTTTATTTCTTAAATGTATTTTTTAAAATATAGTGAGGCTACACTGAAATTTTTAAAGTTACTAAGTTATTGATAATCTTATTTGCAATTTCTATTTGAATAAATTCCCTAATATAAAAAAAAATAAATAGTTTAAAAAAAATAAATTTAAATACCTATTTATATTCGATATATTTTCCTTATTAGCTTAGACAAGTAGCTAATCTTCCTATTGAATATTTGCAATATTAATTTTTACATCGTATTTAATTATTTTGAAAATATTAATTAAATGTGACGCAATAATTTTAAATTGTTTCTCCCTACGTAAAATTTAGTATATTTGAGGATTAATTTTTAATATATTAAATAATTTACTGTAATCAAATTGGAATCTTTTAAAAAGCATGTAGATTTTTAATTTTTTTGATGTGCACAATAGTTTTTATTGCAAATAATATTCTATAAATAGTAGCTGTCACTATTTATGCATAATCCATCTATTGTTTTACCCTTGAAAAAAATAAAAAAAATATATATATTATATAAAAAAAATTTACATTTACAACTTGGATTTCTATGCATTGATTTCGATTTTAATCATAGCAGCTACTATATTATTAAAATTTAATAATATGAAAAAGTAATCAAGAATAAATATTTACTCTTAACCACATGACTTAGGATTAATATAATCCATTTTTTTACATATACTATAATTATTACTGTCCTAAATAGGTATTCCGCTTAGTATAAGGCTATATTGATTCTAGCAAAAACCTTCTTTGATATAAGATAAAGCTAATTTTTGTTAAGATAGTTTCAATATACAAATTAATATGAAAGGTATTTTAATTTTTACATTAAATCTTCATTTACTAAGAGGCATATTAATTTAATCCAATACATTAACGATTTTATTAAACAATAGCCACATAAATACCACTTTTTTTAATTTAAATGCATTTATTCGTGTATTTATCTAGGCATTCATCATTATTTTAACATGTGATGTCAATAAGATGATTATTAATTTGGTTAAACATACAAATTTAGTTTGTTATTTCTTTCCCAATATATAAAAAACCATCAATATCCATACAACTCATCAATAATGGATTGTAACATTAGTTATTTTTTTCACAAAAAGAATAAACTAATGTAAATAATAGATGAATCAAAGATATTTATTTTGTATTTTTCATTTATGTTAATTATTTTTTTCTTCTACTATATTTTACACCTTTATTAATAAATGAATAAATAAAGTATATCAAATTTTTTAATTAAATTAATTGTATTTATTTGCAAAGATTTCATAGTTATTAATTTATCATTTGTAAGATGACTATCTCAAATCACGCATAAATAATTTTTATACGATTTTTCAATTTTTGTAATGCTAAAAACTTCTTATTAAAATATGTAATTTAATCTGATTTAGTAATTAAAGATATTTATTTAGCAATTATGAAAAGAGGTAATTTTTATTTTAAAAATCTTATATATGAAGTATTTTTTAATGATAATAAATTTATGAGTAAAAATATCAAAAAATATTTCATTATTTCAAAATTTTTTTCAAAAAGAGAGAAAAGTTTTTTTGGCTTTATTGAAATCTTATTGTTGTATATTATTTAATATTATTAAAATAAAATAAGTATAATAAATAAAAATCTGAATTCAATTATATAAATTACAAATATAAAATATGTAATTATTAAATTAAAACAAAATTTTTTTAAATACTTTTTTTAACATAGTTATGGTTTTGTACAATAAAATTCAAATAAATAACTTTTTTTGTGTTCTAATTTATGTCTTACATGTAGTATCATGTTATGACTATTTTGTAACTGAAAGTTTATTATGAAAATAAAAATAATTTATAACCCTAAAGCTGTCACATTTTTATAATTTAAATAGTTCATAAATATGTTTCTCTTTTCTTGATAAGATTAATTCTTTGATTTTTTTCCAGTTTTGCTGACATTTTTAGAATTTTAATAATGAGCTATTTAGTTTTAGTTTATTGATTATAAATTTACAAATTTTAGATTTTTATTATAAACTTTTAATAAAAAAGATATATTAGTATTTCAATCCAAAATTGCTTTCTATCAAAATTTTATACAAGATGTTTAAAATTAGTAAGCAATTAACTCCAGTTAATATGTATTTAAAGATTTGATAATCAATTTAGAATTATAGGCTGTTAAAACAAAATAAAATTGAAGTTAGATATTAAATCTTAAAATCAATTTAGTTGAGTTAATTCTTTTTGTAGGGCTAACCTAAATTTAAAAAATAAATAAAATTAGGAATTGAATAAAAAAATTATTAAATTAAAATAAAATAAATATTTACATATCAGCAGAAATAGACTATATGTGAGAGAAGCTATAATTGATAAAACGGGTTATAGTTAATTAAACTAATAAGAAAACATAGCTATAATACCCAATATTGTTTTGTAAGTAAGTTTTACTTAGTCCCAAAAGAAAAACTTTTATTTATATTCCTATGCAAAGAATCCATAGATAATTATATTTTTATAATTCTTTAAAAAATAGCGCCTTTGATGTAACTTGTATAGAAAGAGTGTTTGTGGAATTAAAAGTGATAAAATGTATAATGGAGCAAAAACATAATATGAGAGTTTAAGCTATGTAGCATCACAATACTAAGATAAATGATCAGTAACAAAAGACTAAGTATCAAAATTTTAGCATTTAATCTAAATTTAAATGATATTATAAATTAAAAAAAACTTTTATATTTAAATATTTAATAAATAAATTACTAATTTAAACAGTTTGCTAAGTATGGCATTTTGTGAATGATAAACAAAAACCCATATATTAAGAGTCATTAATTGTTTCAAAAATCTGAATTTAAAACATATTTTTTTAGATAGGGTTATTAAAACAATACAGACTAAGGTAAGTAACCAGAGAGATAGATAAAATATTATATTCTTCACAAGAAAATGAGTTTTAGTTTATTATCCTAATAAGCAATCAGATAATCTGATTTAAGAAATAAATAAATTTCCTAAATCTATTAAAATTTATGATATAATATTTGGGGAATTTTAGTCATATTAGAAAACTGTTCCTATAACAAATGACTAAAATAAAAAGAGCTTAAGTATATTTACAGAGTTTTATTAAAAGTATAATATTTGTTTCTTAAAAAGGCTCTAACATGTTGTATAAAGTAAGTTATTTCTAACTTATTCTTGATAGCCTTAAGTCATAGTAAATATCATAATCAGAGTTACCAAACAAAAGCATAATGGATATAATATTTATGATAAGTTAATTTCTGAGCACCTAATTTTTATTAAATATTAATTTATTTTATTTAAATTAAAAAATACTTCTAGCATTTTTGATCTAAATTCATAAAATACTGTTGTCCCCAATATTCTCCACTAATATCGCAATCTTCACACAGAGCACCAATGTATCCTTATGAAAAAATGTTAGATAAATTAAGAAATATTAATTAATAAAGAAGTGATAAATTACCAATTTAACAATAATAGTTTTGATCACTATCTATTTTTTTTTATTTGCTCACTTATTAGACTAGATTTGGATTAAAAAATGAATCTCCTATACAATTTTTGCAGTTAAAAAGCTATGAAGAATATTGATTAACCCTCCAATAATTTTAGGTTAAAAGAATCTCATTTCCAATACACTTAGCTTCTGTGCTTGGGCATTTTAGGCAAGTATCTGAATTAGTAAAACTGTAAGAATCTTAACAAGGAAAGCAATAATTAAATTATCCATATATATTTTTTTTTACCAAACCTACTGGACATTACTAAGAAAATTTAATGATAAGAATTAACTCATAATTTTTATCATATCCAATAATAAAATTAGAGCTATTATACTATGGCCTTTAAATCAAATCACTTGTTATTGATAAAGTTATTTATTGCCCCATAATTCCATAAATTTAGATTTGCTTTGTTAAATTATATATACCACTTTATTACTGCAATATGTTCTTATTTAAATAACCTTAACCATTTAATACCTTTACATTCAATACTACATTTGATGATAAGTTTACTATCTCCTCATTTTATTCTGTCGAAAATTTGAACACTATATTTTGCTTAATTAATTTTAATTATATTTAATCATTATTTTTAGAAATAAATTTTAAATTAATTGAAAGAATAAACTATATAATATCAATGTTAATAAAAAATATATGATTGGTAAAAAGTATGAGGGTAGTTAAATTAAATCTAAATGAAGACTAAAAAATTTTATTTTTAAATATAAAAATTTAAAATTGTATTGACAATAAAAATATTACCTTAATGTATCCTCCTTGGTGGTTGCTTATAATTATTTGCTAAATTTATTTTTATGTGAAATTTTATAGGATACCATCTAAATACACATTTAATTAGTAAGGAGATGCTTGAATATTCTATCCATATATTTAAGCTTAATTTTATGAAAACGTATTGCTTTAGTAATTGTTTACACTTTAGCCAGTACTTGAACCTATAGCACCTCCTAATTAGGCCTAGTTTCTAACAAAACTAGAGTTTTAAAAATTCAAATTATTCTGTAAAATGCCTAATTAATTGTTTTCAATATATACTGCTCCTCCTTAACTTGTTGCTAAATTATCGAGAAAGTTTGAAGACACGATAAGTAATGGAGCTTATTTTATAAAGATAGCTCCTCCTTTCATATTAGCATTATTTTTCAAAAATTAAGATTCTATGATTTATAAATTATAATTTTAAGAATCTTGATATGAAATGTATTCAAGTGTTTTTTCTATGTATAAAGCTGATCCATACTATGCTAAATTATTTTCAAAGTATGATTATAATACTAGCAAGGAATTAGATTATAAGTAAACTATTCCTTGATTACAATATTTGCATTTATTATTTAAAGATTTAAATAAATAAAAATAGCATTTTCTACTATCGTAATTAATTGCATTTATCATCAAATTGGAATTAGATGCATTCAAAAAGTCAAATATATTTTTATTGGATTATAAAGTGCTATTATATACATAAAGTTCTTATACTTTTGAAATAGTAACTAGATTGTCTAAATAATGACTAGAATGATAATTATTACTAGAATCTATAACTTTATTAGCATTTTTTATTATTAATATTCTTTAAAATAACAAAGTGTTAATAAATTGAGATTGTATTTACAAAATGTTATTGGAGGAAATTTAAAATTAAGAATTGAAAATTTAAACATCATAAGGATTATTCATGTAGAAAATTGAGCTTTGCTAATATTAAGATTCTTACCAAGAAAAACTAGTTATCAAAGGAACAATCAGTTATATTTTTTATAACATAAAATTGATTTCATTTTGAGATTTTATATTTTTCATAACAACTATTGTTTTAGAGGTTTTTGAATTCTCAATATTAAAATTACTGCCTTAAGAAGATAAATTATTTTCAAATTAAGTATCTAAGAAAAATACTGCGGTTCTAGGTAGTGAAGTTTGTATGAAATGGATAGCTCCTCCTTTGGATTAAGCAAAGTTTTAAAAGAAGAAAGATTTTTCTATTATGACTTCTATGCTTAAAGAAATTTAGTTATCTACAAATATAGCACCACCTTCTGATTCATAATCATCATAACTAAAAGCAGTATTGCTATCAAGAGTACAATTAAATATAAACATTTTACCAAAATTTTTTGCTGTCCAATAAATTGAACCTCCATTCAAAGCAAACCCATTTATAAATCTTGAATATTAAGCAGAGAACGTATCAGCTTAGAATTAGATATGTCCTCCTTTCTTTAATTACTTATTTTTGAAATAACTTGCTTGGTCAGCTTTAAAAGAGTTAGTAAAATTGCATTATATAAAATTAATTGACTTAGCTACTCCTTATATCCAACTAAAAAGACTCTATACATCTGAATCCTTAAAGTTACTTCTTTTAAAAATTATTTCTACTGTAGGTGTTTTAAAGTAAAAACCCAAAGAAATATATCCTAATGTTGTCTATTTATTAAAAAATTTATTAATAATTTTAAATAATTTTTTTTTCTTTTAAATTAAAAAATGAAGAAATATCTAAAAAGCTTAATCATTATCAATAGTATTATTTTAGTATTATTTATATTTGTTTATATTAATTTAAAATAATTATTTTACTTTGCTTGTCTTCATAATGGATTATGTTTACGAAAAACTTATGTCATCAATTGAAATAGTTGTGTCTTATTTTGAGTTAATAAAAATAGGAGAACTGTTTTAAATTGTGCTTAATACAAGAAGTGATAGTTATATACTAGTTACTTTGCTGATAGAAATTCCACTAGGAATAGATTAATTATTATTAAATGAATTTATATTATTAAAAGAAATGCCACTACTAATTATTGAAATGATATTTGTACTAATTATTATGTTTTACAAATTAATATCATATACGCTTATGTAGTTTAATATTTAGTTAAGCTAGCAAATTTGTGGTGCTATAAATTGTGTCTAAACTGAAGATACAAATACTGAAGTAATGTAAACATTTATTATTTTATCAGAATTCAAAAATATGAATTAATTATTATCTATCATTGTCACATTTTATATCCTTATTGTGTTAAGATTCTAATAATAAACAAATGCTTAATTATTTTCAGATACTAAGGTATTCCTTGCCAACATAAAACCATTTAAATTAGAGTTACTATTTTTATTGGTAGAAAAACCCAAAAAGCAGTAGCTGTTTACAATTATTTTGTTATCTAAAAAGCTAATGTTTTAAAATTAAGAACTTTAAACAAAATTTTAAGAAGTTGATTTGCTGTCTTACTATTCAATAAAATAGTAATTTTACACTGTACTTTAATTTATTTAAAATATATTTATTATGAAAGTATTTGATGAAAATAGAGGCTTCATCTGATTTGACACCTATGAAATATTGCTTTGATAAATTGTAAAATTGTTGATGCTTAAGGTGTTCAAATAGTTATTATTGAGAATCTAAGATCCTTCTAAAATTTACATCTATGAGAATTGAATATTTTGTAACTAAATATCTATCTTTTATTATGCAAAGTTATTTTGCTCTAAGTTTAAAAGTAAAGAGTTATGGTCCAATTTACTCTATTTAAAATATATATTTGTCAGTGAGATTGTGATATTTTGAGTACCTAGTGTTATAATTTTAGAGCCATCAAAAAGAACCTATTTTTAATAAAATAAATAAATTGTTATGTAAATAAATAAATTTGAAAAATACATTTTAAAACAAAATTGAGTCCATTGTTAAGTTAATCCAAGAATCTTAAATGTGATCTAATATTTGAACTAACTAATTATACTTTAAGATTCTAACATTATAAAATTAAATAGACTTTAAAGTTATATTTGTTTATTATAAGGTAGATAGCTGAAGAATAAAGTATTAAACATTAAATTATGTCTATTAAAATTAAATAAATTAACAATTTAATAATTAGAAGGTATTTAAAATATCATTATTAATTATTAAACCAATATTGCTGTTATTTTTTTATTGTTCGAAAATGATCTACTAAATATAAACTGAATCGAATCCAGATATATTGAAAGTGCTCATTTAAAGGAACTAAATCGGATTAGGTGATTTATTAGTAATAGAAGTTACATTTAGACTAATTAATTACAGAGATCTTATTTATTTTTTAAGAGTAGTTATAAATGTTTGTGGTTTAGCTTCAACACATTAATCACCTAAAAAAACCAATTTTACTTCAAGCTGCTTTACCTGTAACTCATTATAATATACAATTGCTTAGTTATATTCTATTTCACTCAGTATGAGTTTATCAATATTTATTTCATTTAATCTATTAAAGTTAACAGGATTTTATAGAGAGCCATCACCAAGCTTGCTATTTAAATCTAAACATTAGGTATAAATTGTCTTTTACTTTTTGTAAAAACAGCCTTTTTCGCTATTTTAACATAAGTAACATTTTCTTCTAGATTTATCATTAACTATTTAATAGTTCTTGAGATGTTGTTAACTTTATAGATAATTTTTTTTGCAAGATAAGCATTGAGCATCATATAAATACAAAGGATTTTAGCTTATGTCTTAATCATTAATGCATGTTTCACACCTTTATTAGTTAATTTACAAATTTTAAGAGTTTAAATAAAGTTAGTTAGTTAATTAATTAATTAATTAATTACATAAGCGGGCAAAGCTGGCAATCATTACCTGATTAAGTTAAGGTCACCATATCTTAAATATTAGGTATTTAACTTTGCTTAAAGTAAAGAATTCCAATAAAATAAGAAAATTAATTAACAAGTGACAGTAATTTATCATAATTGCATTTAATGCATTAAGGTTTATCATTAATAAGTGCACACAACAAACAATTTTAACCACATTAAATTTGTTAACACTACTTTAATTACTAATCAAAGTAATATCCAGCTAAGCATTCTGTGCAAAGTAGATCATAATTAGTTGAAGTGTTATTATAATTTAATCTTTCTAATATGTTATATTTTTTCCTCTAATAAATCAAATAAGAAGTAAAATTATAAGTTCTGGTGCCTAAAATATAAAAGAGAAAAAAAAAAGTTTTATTAATTTATGAAATTATTAATTATTCTACCTTCATAACACTTAGAGCATCCTTAAGGGCATTTTTTGCATCCGTTTATTGTAGGAACGCTATTCTAATCAGCACATTTGGTGCACTAATAAATTTAAACATTTTATTAATCCAAGTAAGAATAGCATTCTTAACATCCATAAATCTATTTTTTTAATTTTTTATTTAAAATTTAAAATTAATTTTATCTTTAAATTACATTTTATTAGCATATTTCATCCTAGCACTTGGGTGGCTATTACGCTAAATTTAATACATTCCCATTACTGCAAAATAAGCATTATTTATCATAATTAGCAATAGTTAAACAATTAGAACACTTTGATAAATATGAATTAGATCTACACCCATAACCACACGATAATTAATTTTTTGAAATGATATATCCATCAATACACTATTTACAAATATACTTTAATTGTGAACTTGATTGAGATTATTAAAACTCCCACAAATTTTCTGTTAAATCTACATTTTATGATCCTTGAGTAAGTAAAGTCGCACTATAAGAGCAGTATTAAAGATTTTACTGACAATTAACACCTAAACATTATTTTTTAACAATAAACTAATAATTTAAAAATTAAAATATTACCATCAAAATTTAAAAAGTAACCATCAGTGCAAGCATAACACTTTTTAATATAACCTTTTTGCATCATATCATTTTAGGAAAGTATTCTTGAAATTTTTATATCATAATTTAGAACCTCTTCTTTATTTTCTTTTTATAAATAAAATAAATGTAATTTATTGTATTTTTTCAAATAAAGCTATCCATTTATTTAAAGTTTCTTTAAATTTTTTGGTAATTAGTTTTAAAGATATTTTGTTAAGATAGAATTAGAAAATAATTACCATATTAACAAGAGTCACAGTTTATACCACAAGGTTAACAAGATTATAAATCATATGAAACTAAAAATTTAAACTGACACTTTAAGCATATTAAAATGAAATTGTAAAATGATATCTAACTGGGATCAAAATTTATCTATGTTATTAGCTATGCATAACCAGTAATAAAACTAGCATATTAGCAAACATCACAATTTTTTGGGCATTAAACACAATTTCCAAAGTACAAAACAAAACCGATTTTGCATTAAATGCAAGATGCAGAATTAGATGAGTTTTAAACACAAGAAAGGCATTCATCAGGACCTATATAAATATAATTTTAGAGGAAAATTTACTAGAATATAAATTACATAGAGTAGATTTGTAGCTATTCAAAACAAAAGATGATGATTTGTAATTGACAATGAAATTATTTGATTATAGTTTGCTACCAACAATTTAAATGGCATTATCATAATGTACTAAATAATTTATACATGTTTTATATGCATTTGCAGTATTCTAGTTCCTATTGTAAAAAATAGTTAAATTTTTATTTAAAAATTATTTAAATAAAATACCATAAACCATATTCAGAAGAGCAATCTAAGCAAGAGTAAGTTGGAGGATTTTGAAAATAAGACGAATAATCAGTAATTTGATATTATTCTGAAGTGCATTATATACAAATTTGTGTGTTAATTGATTTTTGAAACAAAAAATAACCTTGTTAGCATTATGTACAGAAATCTAGTGAAGTACAAGAAAAACATCTTTAATTTATAATAAAAGTAAAGATAATTTAATATACTAATATATTTTAGTTTTATACCCTGGACTGCACTTTTTAGTTGAGTCTTATAGGCAATATTGTTAATCATAGCAATCCTACTTTACATAAGTTAATTACATATCAAAATATAATTGTTAAGGATTAGGTGAAAGGGCTGACTTCTGTTATAAGCTATAACAAATATCATTTCCAGGATTTGTATAATATCTAGGGCACAGTAAGCATTAACTATTATTTATTGCAATAATTTAACAAAAGCTTTCATTATTTGTACAATACATATTCCCATTTGAATCTGGAATATCGATACTTTTCATTACACAAGAGCTATTACTTTAATTTTATACGAAACAAGAGTTTCCTACAAGCAGTTTTAACAAATCAACGGAAGTTAAGCAAATTCCATTATTATTTATCATGCAGTAATTGTTTGGGCAAACAACACAATTTTTATTTGACACAGAGCTGCAGAAGCCTATTTTTATTTATAATGAAAATTAATATACAATATTTTTGATATAAATCTTTAAAAATTTATTGGATTAAAATTACCCCCTATTAATATTGTTTTTCTAAAAATATCTTATTTTTCAAAAATTGGAATTGAGGGGGAGGAGGATAACAAATCAATTTATATTTATTTTATTTAAAATTAAAATAGATCTGTAAAAATGTATTTAAATTTACCTTAATTATCAGTACAATAAGTAACTGATGGTTAAATAAGATCTTAGCAGGTATTTCTGATTGTTGTAGATAAACACTGATTAAACTTACAAGAATTGCAACTTCCGTTTGTTACACAGTAGCCATTGGGATCTACACACATATTTTTAGAAACATCTATGATTATACAGCTTTGTGTACTCCTATCTAAACAATATAATCCGCTTGCACACATTACCTTTTAACAAACAAAAATATTAAATTTAGAATGTATAGAAACTTTATAAATCTACAGCTATAGTCTGTTTTTCCTTTAAACACTTTTAAGTATCCTTTTAAATACCTTTTTAAATAAATATAATTATTTATTTATTTCTTAAAATTATTAGAATAAATTTGTTACCAATCAGATTTGGATCTGTAAAATCTAATTTATAGCATGAAGATTTACCAGTAGAATCAGTTAATAAGCAATATCTTTTTTAATAAAGTTCCGAAATATTCATTAAATTAAATATCAGAAAATTAAATTATTAGTTTATTTATAATTACCCATTTTAATAACAATTAGAAGCTCCTTATTTCCCAGTGATTTTTTCTGCCAAGCACATATGGGTTATCAATTCTTTTCCAGGAAATTTATTTTGTAACGGTATACAAACTCCTTAAGATATACAATATTCTTTTTAACATTTGCTAGGTTGTTAGATTCCTTAAGGTAAACAAATTTAAGTTTTAGCATCTCTCCCAATTTTATAGATATCGGTAGGTGATAGCATAGCTTCACATTATGAGTTATCTAGCGTATTTATGCAGTATAAACCATCCATACAACCGATGCTATTTGCTTATAAAATTATTAAACATTAAAAGTTAATTCTACAAAATTTAATTGAAAATAGCTCACCTGTATTTAAGTCTTAGCAATATTGATTGACATTTTTAGATTTATAAATAAGATTAGGATAGTCTGGATCAAAATCTGATACAAATTAACATTTCTATTACCCATCACTAAAATATAAGGTAAATAATTTTCAAATCAAAAATGTAGTAATCAAATTATCTTACTCAAGATTCAGTATACAGTAAGTTATTCCTAAGCAAGTCTATATTTCTTTATAATGGATTAAAGATTAAATTTTTCAAAATATCAAATAAATTAAAATTTACATATTTTTGTCAACTAATCCTAAAGAACACAGTAGCCTAAAACATCAGTACCTACTAAAAAATCACCTTTAGCTAGAGTGCCTTCAATCATACAATAATTTCTCATAGTTTTAAAATACGTATAAATGCATGTACCTGTTACACATGTTTCAATTAAATCACCATTCCCGTTAATGTCTAAATAAGCTAAGCAAAATTAAGTATCTTTTTATCTAGCATATCTTTGTAAATCTTTTGAGAATACTAAAGATTTACAACGATAATCATTATTATTATCAAGGCAAAATTATCCTTTCATGCATCTAATATTTTAAATAAATTTAATTATAAATTATATAATTTTAATCAAATTACCTAACTGCTTTTGGCATATCTTATAAAACGCAATATCCATAAGCATCTATACCAACTCTTTATACATTTGCATCAAATGGAAAACATGCTTCAGGAGAGTTAGGATTAGTAGGATCTTACCTTATTTTGCAGTGGTTAAAAGCACATGATAATATTTCTTTTCAAAAAAAAGTAATAATTAATTTATTAAATTAACATTATAAAATAATTAATACGAGGATAGTATTGTGATCTGACAGAACAATAACCATTTTAAGCCCTACCCTATCAATTTTAATTTTTTTATTTATTAATTAAAAATATAAATTAAGAAAGATTTTTGTTATTATTACTGATTGATTTGGGTTATCATCATTAATATAAAAACAGGCCTAAACAGCAGGATCAAAACACACTTATAAATCAAATGAACATTCAGTGCTAACTGTAGTCCCTTCTGTCAAACAATAGTAGTTAGCATTTCTCCCAATATTAATTTTATCATAGGCTTAGCATTTATTTGTGTCAATGCAAAAACTTTAAAAAATATTTTAAATGAACTTATTTTACAATAAAGAAATAAAAATACCCTGAGTAACATTAAATAATTTAAGTGGATGTAGTTTAATCTTACTTCAAACACATATACTTAAATGAATCAACTCCAACATAGAGTGTGTTATCAAGTAATCTTATATATCCGCTTTAATCTTAACAGTAGCCAATTCTCAAATTAATTAAATCTAATATATAAAATATTTAAATTATTGTTTATTTATTATAAATTTAATATACTAGATGGCTAGCCAGATAAAGTTTTCTAATTTAGCTAGGCGCATTGCTTATTTTCAGATATATATCCAAGATATTAACTTGATTATGGATATATTACACAAAATTGACTTGGCCCATATACTAGACAAATATTATAAGGATCATTAAAGCAAATATCAATTCCAGAAGAAGATATCTAAGAATTAGTTAGGCAGTATAAATTTTTGTCCCTTCCAACATATTAGCTATTAGAAAGCTGATAGCAAAATTGATTTAAAGTACAGCCATTATTTATCGATTAAAAATTGACAGTCTACTAGCATTGCATAGTACCTGAATCATAACAGATTGAGTTATTGTTTTAAACACATCTTAATAATTTAATTTTTTTAAAAAAATTCTAAGTATATTTTAAAGAATGAAAATATCAATCAGAAACCATTATTAATTTTAATTTTAATTCAATAAAAATAATTTAGAAAGGTACAAAATATCTTGAAAAAATTAAATTACCTTGTTGCTGGAGATTAATTTAAATCTAAACAAGCACCACTTGTACTAACACCAACTTACCCGTTTGACCCATCTAATAAATAACAAGCGTATTGAGTATTATCCTAAGATGGTTTTACGCAGTGATGGAATTCGCAAACACTTAAACCTAAATTTTTAAATTGAATTAATTAAACATATTAATTAAGTTTATTTATTTAATTACTTGATGTAAACTGTTATCTAGATAAACAGCTTCCTTATGAATCTATTCCCTATAAATAATAATTAGATATATAATAACATTATGAGTGATTATTTATTTACAGAAGCTTGATAATTGTTAACATTCAACCATAAGCATACACTACCAGAGAGACAAACTTAATAACTAGGAAACGCACATTATACTGCACCACTTTAGAAAGCTTACCCACAATAACCATTACTTAATTTTGCTATAGAAACCCCATCAAATCCTAAAGGTTAACAAGCTTACTGATAAATGCAATATCTTATTTTTAAAAATTATATTGAATATGAAATAACATCCAAAAAATTGTAATTACCCTGAACTACAAGTAAATAAAACACAATTTAACTAAGGACTACCATCTCTTCCTATGATAGGAAAAATAATTCTTCTGATTACAGAACTACTATCTTAGCAATAATTTGGGTTTAAATTTATCAAACCTAAAATTATATTTGAAGTTCATAACAATTAAACAAAAAATTAAAAATACTTTAAGGTACAGAAGAAGAAGAAGTACTTGCATCCTATTGAGCACATACTCCTTAACCAGTAATATATCCAAGATATGTTTAAGTTGATGGATAGTAAATACATTGAGATAAATCTCCTTTAACGCAAATCTCTGAAGGGCTATTAAAACACATATTTATTCCATTTGAAGAACTTTGCATATTTTTGAGACATATATATCTATTATCTCTTCCAACATACAAAGAAGAAGACATTTATTAACAATATGAGTTTAAAATACATATATTAGGATAATCATTGGCATTAAAAATGAAGATACATTTATTTGTAGATTGATCAAAGCACCCAAACCAAACATTACATCTTTATTATAAAAATAGAAAATAAAAATATAATTTTTAAATTTGTTATAGATAAGACTAATCAAAAGTATATCAATGATTATATTAGCCTAATCTAATTAAATCCTAGAGAGAATATTTATTTATTTGCTATATTATTCTTTTATCTAAAAAAATTTTGATCAGAATAAATCATACAAAAATAATGATCAGTTCAAATTTAAAAAGTAAATAAAAAATAAATTAAAATTATTAAATACATTCTTAATGTATTTGATATTTTTATTAAAATCAAATAATTTTAAGAATTTAATAAAATAATTTCTTTTCAAAAATTATTTAATTTTTCAATATTTCTATAAATTTGCAATAAATTGAAAACTGTATTGCTATAGTATATTTATCTAAACTAAATTAAAAATGCAAAATTAAATTAAAAGACAAGTGTCTTGAATTGATAATTCTTTTATATAATTTTTGATTACTAACTAAGTAGTCTATTTTCACCTGGTAAATAGTTCATAAGTATTTTATTTATAGAATGATTGCTGTCTTGCTTTATACACTTTTGGTAAAATTAAGTTTTTACTTTGCTATGTGATTTCACACAAGTTATAATGAGTGATTAACTAATTTCTTATTCCTTTATTATACAATCTCCTTCTTGAGTAAAACCCTTTTTTCATAGCAAAAATTATAATTGTTGTTTTAAAAAATAATAATTATATGATTACAGTAATAATTTGTTAAATTGAGGTTTCTATACTTATGCATTTTACTTTGAAATTGTTTATATATCTACAATAAGACTTTTTACATGTCATTTAATAATCAGTTGTGTATTAATAAAAATACACACATTAATTTGATTTAGTTTTTCCCTTTATATAGAAAAAACAAACTTTCAAAAATATTTATAATGAAAAATCAAACTAATTACAAATATGAAAGTAGCTTAGTTATAAGGTTAGCAGGATTATTTTTTCAAATTGTTTTCGTACAAACAATAATTATGATTACACATTACCTTTTAAGAAAAGTAATCAAAAGGAAAAACACATATCCCATCTATTGTAACACCCTTTTTAATGAATTAATATTTCTGTCATAAGAAATTTTCTTTTCTAAACAAAAAGAAATTTACTGCTGCGAACTCTAATAAATTAATACATGAACCTGTTTACTAATTGTAACACTAATTACTTTTTAATTATAAAATGAAAATTTTTTTTTCTATCTTAGGATAATTTTTTCATTACCTGCCATTGCATAATCCAACACCAAAAAGTTTATGACTTTCATCACATAAGTAGTATTATTAAGAATTTTCAAGAGATTTTCCTTTTTTAATAGTTCCTCTTAAGTCTTAACAATAACCAATTTTAATAAAAGATAAGACTAATTTGATAGTAAAAGAAATTAATATTTAATTAGCAAATAATATTGTTTCTATCAAAAATTATACCTTAAATTTAAAATCTATTAGAAAAGTTCTCATTTAAACCTAAACAAATTTAATTCTATTATTAAATAGCTTTGTATTTGTCTTCGTTTAATATTTATATACATTAATTTTTTTGTTTGGTCATACATACAGTATTTTATTTACTGTAACAGAAATCTACTTGGTTGTTAGGTTTTGAATCAAAAATACATAAACCTTATTTCTCTCTACCAATATAAATTTATCCATCTATTTCTTAGCATTTTTACGATTAAATGTCATAACATTAGTCACTAAAATTACAAAATTAGGTAAGAGTAAATCCTATTTAAATTATAATTATTGCGAACTTCATATTAATATTATTATTATTATTTGCCTATGTTTCTTTTCTACTTTGTATTTTTCTTTTTTAAAATTAATTAGAGATTGTAATACTAATCAAAATAAGCTTATCTTTTCAGTTTATGAATAATTCTTTGTTTCTTCTATAAAGAGATAAATAAATTAGATTTCAGATATTAATTTCACATTTGATAAAAACACAAATGAAAATTTGTTAATTATAATACTATGTTATTTTTTAACTAGACAAAGTTAAATTTTTTTTGAAAATCCTAATTTATTCAACTCAAAATCTAAAATTTGCTAATTAAAATTCCTAATTAACTAACAGCACTCATTATTTTAAAAAAATGAAATATTAATACATATTTACAAGTTAATAAAAGGGAATTATTTGTAATAAAATAATTGAAAACATTAATTAATTGATACAAAAGCTATTTTCTTCTACTCATACCTAAATAAATACATTTAAATCTAACCTTTTATAATTGAATTATTAGTTATCTAAATTATGTTTTAAAATGCTAATTTTTAGGATAAAAATAAAATGTAATTTCTTTTAATAAAAATATTTTTGCAAAATTAAAATGAAATAACTATTTATTTAAATAATTTCAATTCTTTTTAAAGATGGTCTCATAATAATTTAATTTACTTAATTGAGATATTATAAAGTTCATTTCAAGTGAAGAAACTTTCTCAAAATATAAGTATAAAATTTGAAAAAAAATATAAAATAAAAAGTTTGAATAATTGAAAAATATTGTTTTAATTATATATCTGTAATTAAATTCTTGATAAAAGATTTTTCTTTGCTGACCAGGATTTTGATTTTATAATCAAAAATTTTAAATTAAATAAAAGCAAATATTTGATTAGACTTGCGTAAGTATTAATTATATCTGCTTTTAATTATCGTTTGTAATTAACACTTTCAGATTTTAATATTATTAGCTTACTGATTTATGTTACTATTATATTAAATGAAGAGAAAAGTTGAATCTTATTTTAACAATTAATTAAAAATATTTACAATTATATTTTAAAAAAATTAGAATCACCACATTTTATTTACAATTATTCTTAGAATCATTTAACAATATATTTTTTTGATATAATTCTTTTGCATTTTTTTTAATTCAATCTCATGAACATAATTAATTTACTAATTACATAGAAATATTTATTTTCCTAATTATTTCTTTTTTCTTATGTTTACTCAACATCAAATTGATAAAGGCATTTTTGTTACCTGAAATGAGTATATAAAAGAAAGTATCATTCCTTTTAATCAATACACTTACATCTTTTTGATTAAATTTTATACAAATTCTTTTTGTTCTAAATTATTATTTTTTTTGATAAAATAAACACTGAAATAATTTTATCAAATCTCTTTCTTTGATTTAATCAGATTATGTTATTTTTTTGAGTTAAATTTTTTAATAAATAACATATTAAATTATAGCAAGATACCATACAAAAATATAGAGGTCGTAATGCCACTTTTTATGAAATATATTTATTTTATATATATTAAAAAATCTTATTTCTATATTTTATAATAGAATAATAATTAATAATTCAAAAAATTAATTTGATAGAAATATTTTTGTTGTATATTATTTAATATTATTAAAATAAAATAAATATAATACATAAAAATTTGAATTTAATTATATAATTACAAATATAAAATATGTAATAATTTAACTAAAGTAATTTTTTTTTTAGATACTTTTTTTAAACATAGTTATGTTATGGTTTTGTAAAATAAATTTCAAAGAAATAACTTTTTTTTATGTTCTAATTTATGTCTTACACCTAGTATCTTTTATGACTATTTTGTAACTAAAACATTTTTATGAAAATAAAAATAGCTAATAGTCTGATTTATGAAATAAATAAATTTCCTAAATCTATTAATATTTATGATATAATACTTGGGGAATTTTAGCCATAATAGAAAACTGTTCCTATGATAAATGATTAAAATAAAAAGAGCTTAAGAATATTTACATAGTATTATTAAAAGTATAATATTTGTTTCTTAAAAAAGCTCTAACATATTGTATAAAGTAAATTATTTGAAACTTATTATTGATAACCTTAAGTCATAGTAAATGTCATAATCAGAATCATCAAACAAAAGCATAATGGATATAATATTTCTGATAAGTTAATTTCTGAGCACCTAATTTTTATTAAAATTTAATTTATTTTATTTAAATTAAAAAATACTTCTAGCATTTTTGATCTATATTCATAAAATACTGTTATCCCCAATTTTTTCCACTGATATCACAATCTTAACAGAAAGCACCAATGTATCCTTATAAAAAAATGTTAGATAAATTAAGAAATACTAATTAATAATGAAGTGATAAATTACCAATTTAACAATAATATTTTAGATCGCTCTCTATTTTTTTTATTTGCTTACTTATGAGACTAGATTTGGATTAAAAAATGAATCTCCTATACAGTTTTTACAGTAAAAAATCTAAGAAGAATGCTGATTAACCCTCCAATAATTATAGGTTAAAAGAATCTGATTTTTGATACACTTTGTATTTGTGTTTGGACATTTAGACAAGTATCTGAATTTGTAAAGCTGTAAGAATCTTAGCAGGGAAAGCAATAATTAAATTATCCATATATATTTTTTTTACCAAACCTACTGGACATTAAACTAAATGATAAGAATTAACTAATAATTTTTATCATATCCAATTATAAAATTAGAACTATTATACTATGGCCTTTAAATCAAATCACTTGTTATTGATAAAGTTATTTATTAGCCCATGACTCCATAAATTTAGAATTGCTTAGTTAAATTATATATACCACTTTATTATTGCAATGTGTACTTGTTTAAATAACCTTAACCATTTTATAGCTTTACATTCAATACTATATTTGATGATAAGTTTACTATTTCTTCATTGAATTCTATTGATAATTTGAACACTATATTTTGCTTAATTAATTTTAATAATATTTAATCTATGTTTTTAGAAATAATTACATTTATGATATGTAGATTAATTTATAAGTATAATTAATTATAAAAGTTGAGACTATGATTAAATAAAATTTTATTTATTAAATAAAATGAGAAAATTGGATGTAAAAAAATAAATTATTATTAAAAAAAAGACTATTATGTAATAGTATAAAGCTAATCCTATAATTAAAATACTACCAACTGTGAAGGTACAGATGGTGATATTTCATTTAATTTTATGATTTTAAGCTAATTTTACTGTTTCTATTTTTTAATTTTTTTATAAAACTATTTTTATTAAATTTTGAAATATTTTTTCTAGCTGATTAAATCCTTTTTTCAAATTTTGAGAATAAAAATGTTTTTTAATATTTTTAATGCAATTAATTTAAATTATTTTATAAATTACGGTTGTTAATTAATATGTTTGTTGGGAATGAATATAAAATATAAAATACAAAATACTCATCATCAGATTATTGTTTAATAAGGGTTATGAGTAAGTTATTATTTATTTTATTAATAATTCTTATTGATATTTTGATAAATATGTTTGCTATGATTTTCATTAAGCTGTTTAAATTTAGGTGATTATATTATTATTCTTAGATTTTTCCATAGATTTAAAATCTTCAGTCTATCAACATAGCCAATTTTATTTAGAAAATATTTTAATTTAGGTAAATTTTAGATCTTTTATGAGATTATAGTAGCAAAGCTGCTAATTTACTCTTTGATAATTATATAAAGTATATTTTTGACTAAAAAACCAACAGAAAATATATTAACTATTATAAGAATACTGAAAGCTGCAGTTTTGCTTGATTATTAATATGATTCTTAGGCTTCAGATAAGAAGGCACATAAGCCTATGCTAATCGAACAAAATATATAAACCAATTATTCTACATAATTTAAAGTTGTATTACAATTTGGTTTGACTATTTTATTTATTAAAAAATAATCAATTAAATTAAAGACAATTAATAATAAATTTACATTATTTTATTGATATTGAATAAACCAGTAGTATAAAGCATAATATTGAAGATTTTAAAGGATTTTATTCATCCAAAAACTAGTTATTTACTATTACAATCAACGATTTCAGAAACATTTTAACTATTTCCCAATAATAAAACTAATCTTTGTATTCAAAGTAGAATATTCCATATATTTTAAGGTTATTTAGTCTATTTAATTTTTCTTTTACACTCCTTAATTTTAATAGTAAAAATAAAGGAATTAAAATCACCCATAGTCCTAACAAAGGGTAAAGAATCATATTTCTATGCTAACTGTATTAGTCATCACAGTCAACAGATGAAAAACTCTTAACAAAGTTTTTTCCGTATAAATTTACACAGCTGGCCTTTAAATATAAGAAAAAAATTTAATTTAATATTTTTTTGTGAATAATTTTTTTTTTTTGTTTATTGTAAAACAAAATAAAACCACCAAATCCAATATCATCCATTTTATTTTACAATTTATATAAACAAATTTAATAATTTTTAGTCAGTTTTAAGAGTAAAAAAAATGATAAATTTCTAATATTAAAAAATAAATAAATACTTACACTTCCCATAATTTATTGAACAACAGAAGGTTAGTTAGCTATAAATATGAAATTAATGCCAGAAAAAATATCAATAAATTTGAATTTTTATTTTAAGATAGCTATCTATGTTATATAAAGTATTATAAAAAGAATAATGTAAGAGAAGATTAGTGCTTGGCCTATTAAAACTTTAACAAACACATAATTCATATCTACGCTTTTGTAAATATCTATGAAGGAGCAATCTAAAGAAAATAGGGCTTGCTTTCCTGAATCTGAAACAGGAGATAAAAAGGTTTGATACTTTTACAACTAATTTTTAATGATATAGCTTACTATCATAAATATTTGCAAATATGAAGTTATGAGCTTAATATAAAAGCTTGTTTGTTGAATATTTCTAGGAATATAAATTTTCATTTAGTAAAGAACTTTAATTTATATAGTCAAAGCAACTTATTTCAGAAAAACATTCACCATATAGACTGTTAAAATCGAATTTAGTATCATAATCAAAACGAATAGCCATAATGAGTTATGACTAGAGCAGCTATTATTATTATAATTAACTTTAGTTTTTAATCATATTAACAAATTTTACTTAACACAGTTAAGTCCACCGTCTTAGGCATATGATTCATTCCAAAATTTTGCATAAATATCACAATCTGAGCACAAAGGGCCTAAGGATCCTAATATTTTTTAATTTAAAATAAAGTGTATCTTGGAATTTATAAAAAGAACTTTTTACCTTTTTAACAATATCTAATATTAATGTCTCTTGTTATCTTCCCACTATTTTAGTATATGTCTATGTCACCTGTGCAACTATTAACTTCAGTGTTACATTAATAAATATCAGGACTAGTTAGGTTTAATCTCCAATACCCATTTTTAAGGAAGATCATTCCTCCATCACATATTCCATAAGATGGACACTTCATACATTTACCACCAGGCTAGTAATTGAAAAGTGGATTATTGCATCTATAACAAAAATCAAAGTTTTAATTTTATATGTGCCAGTATCCTAACTCGCAAGATTAAATGAATTAAACAATTAAATCAACACTATTTTAAGTAGTGTTATATGAAGTTATTTCGCCAGTTTTTTAATCATAAATAGGAGATTTAATTAATTTTGATACGAATGTAAGTTTTACTGTTTATCCAAACTTTCCATTTAATGTTAGTTAATTTAATTCAAAATTACCACTTTGCTAAGTAATTTATGAGCTACTTAAATAAGCATTTTATGTATCATTTAGTATTACTTTTAGAGTCACATTTACAGGAAATATCTTAAAGTACTCATTCTCCTGTGTCATAAATTGTATGCTAAGTTTTTTCTATTAAATAATATTTAGATACTTATTTTAAAATAAACTAAAATTACATCTAATTTTCCACTAGAGTGATAGACGGTGTTGTTATTTAGCTGAACTTGATTTAAAAGAACAACCATGTGATGAGGATACTAAAAAATATTGAATGAAAAAGATTAAGCTATGTTATATATAAACGTGTTTTTAGTATTAAGATTTTAAATTGATTATCCACTTTCTGAGTAAATAGCACCTCCTATTTAAGCAGTATTATATACGAAAAAGCTTTACTCTACTTTTATATTAGTTTTTTAATCAATTCCTTTATAATAGATAGCTCCTCCATTACTCTTATTAGCTTTGTTGCCAACAAATGAACAATTAAAAAAGTATATGCTTGAATTATCGATGTAGACTGCTCCTCCAGATTGTTATGAAAAGTTATTTTCAAATCTGTTAAAAGAAAGCTATTTCATATAGTTTAAATCTGAAAATCCTTACAAAAATCTTGAGTTAAAACTATCAATTTTATAAATATACAATACTCCTTTATCTTCTACTTTATTTTACTCAAATTAGTTATTTATGACCATTAAGTAGTAACTTTTAAGTTAAATCAAACCATATTAGCAGGCCAAACACTAATTGTTCGTAAACTAACTATAAGAAATCTAAATATAATTAGAATATATTTGTAGAAAAGTGTTAGCTATTTAGCTATAGGAATTACTAAAAATGCTATTATAAATATTAACTTGTAAAATATTCAACAATGTAATAAGAGAGACCTAATAGTTAACATTTGAGTATTAATTATTTTAATCTAAAAAGTATTAAACATCCTATGCTTCGATTAATGTCTTTATTCCGAAATTAGTCTACAAAAGAGAGCTGTATTGTTAATTTGCCATTATGAATTGATTATTTTAAAGATAAATTTCAAAGAACCCAATCAAGCATAATTATTAAAAACTTACATTTTCTTTGATTAAATATTTTTTTATCCTTATCACTAAGGGATGTTAAGAAATGCTAACTGGATTATAATTAATCTAAGAATTTTTCAATTAAAATATATTATTTTGCTTTTATTAAAAGCTAAAGTAGAATACTGAGCCAAATTCACTGAAGTTATCAATAAATTAAGTATTATCAATATTTATTAACTTCTTAAAATTTGAGTTTTATAAAAATATTACACCACCTTAATAAAGTGCAACATTCTACATAAATATTGAGGCTTGTATTTCTCCATAAAAGCTGCAAAGTTGAGAGTCTAAGTAAAGAGCACCCCCTTTACTTTATCCATCAAAAGAATTGAAACTTAAATTGCTAATAAAAGCAGTGTTTTAAATACTTAAATAGCCACTAATATCGAATTTAATATAAATTGCTCCTCCCTACTTTGCTATACCACCATAGAAATTAGAATCAGTTATATAAGCACTTTGTGTATAAGATTATATAAATCCTCCAATTACAGTTGTATTTGAGAAATCTATTTTTGAATAATCATTATTGAATTACGAGCTGTTAATTACAAATGATTTAGTATTTAAAACTAAGCAATTATTTTTCTAAACAGAGTAATTATTTAAGAATCTACAGTTTGTTAGTTCAATTTCACCTATCAGGGCTTCTATATATGCACATGTAGCAATTTTAGAGGAAACTTCCTTTTTAATTAAAAATTTAAATTATAAAATTATTTTTAAAACTAAAATAAATAAAATTTGGAGTAAAATTTATGTTAATAAAAAGAAAATTTTTTAAATACATCAGCTTTTATTTAGTAGACCAAAGATGAATCTTAAACAAGCAAATTAGATATTTTAATAGTATCTTATATCTGAGAATTTATTTATATTGGAGCTGTACTAAATTATTATTAAGTTATGTTGACAATACAGTTTATCACTTATATATCTTAAATCTAAAAAGATTTATTCATATTTTTATCATGCGGTTTTTATTTTAAAGTTATAGTTATAAGGGATTTTTGGAAAGATGTATTTTAGATTAAAACACTTTTTAATAATAATTAGTAAAGCAAGCTTTTAATTTCTACAATAGAATAGTTAATAATATTTTAATTAGTTTACTAACTCTTTAATACCTTTATCTTTAAATTATTAACCTATTGAACTTTCAAGAATTATATTTAAGCATAGTCGTTTATTTCAGTGTTTAGTACCACTATATTATCGACATTTGAAAGACTTATAAAGTTACAAGCTTGAAGATTGGTTGAAGGATTACTGATAATTAAATTACTCTTTATACTTGTAAACTAAAGAATAAATTCGTCTATTTTTTGATTGTTATCTGTTAAAAAGATAAATTAATTGCTATAAATGACATTCTAGATGTATTGAATATCTTAAAGATGTAAATAATTTGGAAATTAATTTGTTGTTCTAAGTATATTAAAAAACATATATTATTTTATTGTGTTGTTAGTAACAATAAAAGATTTTGTCTCAAGACAGTTTACCTCAAATAATGATGGATTTTAGTTTATAATTTAGCTTTCTTACTGTAACGTATTATTTCTTATTTAAATATTTGTTAGCATAATACTAATAAATTGATTAAAAGTGAGTATTTTTGAATAGTTTTAAATTTAATTATCACTTAAAATAAGACCAGAAGCTCTAAATGTATTTATAAACTATTGATTAAATATCAGATAGTTAAAAAAAAGACTTTGATTATCAAATAAGCAGGAGTTAATTAAGTTATTTTTAACAGTGATAGATGTATTATTTTGAATTATCTAAATAAAATTTGAAGCATTAAATACGACCTAATAAATTTAAAATAATAATATTTATGTTAGTTAATATGTATTTTTATATGAATTTAAATTTTTTATATTTTATGAATTTAAGAACATTTAAAAGGGGGGTAAAGGAGAATTAATAATAAATAAATGTTCGAATTTTTTTTCTTTAAGATACTTTTGTAACTAATAAATAGTTGTATTAATTAATCTTGAATTTATGCATTCTTTAAAGTATATTTAAAATGTGGGAAATAAAAAATTAAATTATTTACATTAGAGATTTTAATAGAATCTAGCAATATCTGAATACTAGGATTGATTAAATTTTAAGTGTATTAAAGCTAGACAACTTAAGAATTATTAAAGGTAAGATTATCAAATGTAACATTTTATAATACAAGGCTGTTCTACAAATTATTGATAAAGATAGATAATATATTTTGAGGTCCTTGCTATTTTCTTATGAATTTAATGTTGCTTATATATACTTATTTTAAAATAGATGAGAATATCTAAAATCCTATATTAAACTTGTCAAAATCTATAGAATATGAATCAATATTCATATTAGAAATCGTTACATTAGTGAAACCTTGGATTACAGTAGGGCCTATTTGTAGAAAATAGAATTATTTATCTTATACTTATTCATAGGTTATATTTAAATGAAGCACTTCTAAGGATTTGATACTTTATTACAAATTAGATTTCAAAATAAGAGATTTTGTAAGTTTGCATTAGCTAAGCTCTGAAGAAAATACCAATTGCAAATCTAATTATTTTAGAGAAATCTCATTCAAACCAACAAATGCCAAATTAGGATTCTATTCTCCGAGAATTATATTGTCAAAATTACTTATTTCTGAAATCATATTAAGATTTAAAGGACTATCTCTCGTTCCTAGACCAATAGAATCTATATTTAAGCAAGTTACATAAAGCTTAGTAACTTTTTTGAAATAGCAAGATTAATCTCCAATTTTGCATATAGTACACTAAAATCTTTATTTGTCAAATCTTATTTCATATCCCTAAAAATAACTCTAAAATTCTCCTTAGCTTGCTGCTTAAAGTTATGCTATTGTCTTGCATGAATAACACTTAGTTTAATAAATAGAATAAGTGTTTTTAAACTAATTATTCGACTAGTCACAAGTTTCACATCTATTATTTAAAATAAAAGTGAATTTATACATTTAATGAGATAATGAATAAATGAATGATAAACAATATTATTATTATAATGATTTATTTACAAGTAAGGGCAAATTTAGCAAGATTATTGTTCAGCACTAAAAGTACTAATTTACATTTATTAGCTGATATAATTTTTTCCAAAAAAAAAGTTAACCATGAAAATATATATAGATTTAATAGACTCCAAGACAGCTGTTTAATTACAATCAAGGCAAAAGAATTTATTTAATTAAAAGACACAATTATTGCATAGTTATCCACAAGGAGATTTTATGCAAATTTATTAAACAGGATCCAGATAATACCCATCATAGCAAGAGCTACAATATTTTTATGTTTGGAATATACTTTTATAGTTCAACCTAGTTTAAATATTGTAATCTGTATCTCCATAAATGATATCTGCAGTCAAATTATATTTCTGCTAATAAATATCATACGCCATCTCATAGCATGTTGAACATCCTTCCTAACATTAATCACAACCAAGTAATGTTACCATGTAATTTTATTACTAACATTAAACGCATTTAAAATATATTACTTTTTCATTTAAGTCATTATTATAGTATGAGTATTGGCATTTATCACATTAATTTATCTTATTAATTTTTATTTTTAGAACATTTTTTTTATTATTTAAAGAAATTTCAAAATAAAATCAAAATTAAATTAAAATAATAAATTTGAATTTTATTTTACTTAATTTTTGCACGGTAAATCTATATTACAACTTCTATTGTTTTTATCAGATACATCGAGAGCAAATTATTAACATAAACTACATTTAGTGCTAGTAGTATCAAACTTAAGACAAGCACCATTTAGATCTGTATTTTTTTTACATGATTTTTTATTTTTTGAAAGTATATAATAATTGTTGCAAGCCCAGCATACAACTTAACTCCAATTATTATTGAAATTGTAAATTAAATTAATCTTTGAACCATCTTATAGAGCATATAAATTACAAAAAGATATTTTACCATCTTGGCAGGATCCTAATTTAAATATGAAATTTATTTATTTACTTGGGATATTTAATAATAAGTATTTTAACAAATTACCATCTGGTTGAACAGTTTAAGTTACTGATTAGCATCGTGTGCATTTTTTGTAATATTATTAATATTAAAATGAAAAATAATCTAGTTAGACAATATTTTAATATCCAGCATTCAGATAACCATTTTTATTTGCTTTATATTTTTAAATATTATATAAGAAAATATAAATAATAAATTTACCATATTGGCAGGTAGCACAATTATTGCTGCATTATTCACAATTATTTAAGTTATAAGATATGACGTAATTAGTTCCTATACAAATTTAACAAAATGGTTAAAGCAAGTATATGTTTACATACTATCTTTGTTAGACACTCAATTAGTAATAATAAACTTTAATTCCTTAATTGTTCAAATAACCTAACTCGCATTATTTACAATAGCTATTACATTATACACATTAGTTATATAAGTTTAAATAATAGCCTGTCACACACTTTATGCATACTTACTAATAATAGCCTTAAACTTACTAATATTAACAAAATGCACAATACAAAAAAGAACCTAAATTTAAAATATTTAAATAAAATTATTATAAATTTTAATTAATCAAATTTATTTGAAAATATTAATTTTATATCTTTTTAATTCAATTTTAATCAAATTTTTTAAATAAAAAGTCAAATTTGAAAAAAATGTCTTTTTAATCATAGAAAAACAAAAATTTTGTATCTTTTATTTTAATTTTAATCTAGATTACTAACCAGAGTTAAATATGAAATTTATGATATTATGTATATTTTCATTAATAAAGTTATTATTTATTAAATCAAAAATATTTCTGAATTGTGGTCAAAAAAAGGAGAAAAAATGTTAAAAGTAAAAAGGTTAATTATTGAAAATATATTATTATTTTTTTGAACTTAAAATTTAAAATGTAAGTATTTTTATTAAATAAAAATGAATAGAAAAATAATGAAAATTAACCAAAATTGAATTGATAATAAATTACATGAATTCACCTAGCTTAATTAAAATTTCGGGTATTAATAAATATAAGGATTAATAATAGGATTAATTGTGTAGCTGTTGCCAAATGAAGGTTAGTTTTGAATTAAAATCAAACTTTTAGAACTATCAATAGTAAACTTAACAACTACTTGTTAGCAAATTTTAGTAGATATTTATTTATTATTCCTTTTTAAATAAAATAAATTTATGTGAAATTTATAAATTGCTTTTATATTACCAAATATCATTTATTTCAAGACTACAATCAAGACATTTTTAATAAATATTTGTAGTTGCTAAAGGAATTTTTTAAGAATCAGGATATTATGTTATTAATTAAAAATCATAGTCACACTTAACACATTGAACACTTAAATCCTAACTTGTGTAAAGAAAATATCCTTCTATACATTTAGTACAAAAGTTCAAATCTTTGCATGAATAGCATCTTTTTCATAATGAAAAAACAAATATAATTTGATTATATATCAATAATTTTTACCCTATTGGACATTTTTATTTATTAGTTTACTTACAAATGGCTCCTTAGCATTAGTCCTCTGGAACATAAATTAGATTTAATGAGAATATTGTGCTTGTACTCTAAACATTGCTTGTATCTCTTTACTAAAATGATAAACATCTATTGTCGCCCAGATTAAAAAAGTTTATAGGACATCTTCTGCATTAAAATTTTAAGTTTGCTTAGTTTTGCAAGATGCAGATATTTTAGCTGTCAGCACATAATAAATTAGAATCACTACTAAAAATATTCATATCAATAATTTAGCAAGGCGTATCTGGTCTTATTTACTAAATGCATTCGTTTGCTTTCATTTTCATATCTAAAAATGCTATACATTTTCCATTTTATTTATCTAAACAATGCTATTAAGGGCAAACATTACAAATTCCTGATGTTTTATCTTCACATCTCCCTTTATATTTATTTAAAAATCCATAAAATATATATTTAAAGATAAGTTTATTTTAAAATACCTAATGAATCCTAGCAGTAATTATCTATAGGCACACAAGTTGAGGACTTAAGACAATATTAATAGTTGCATTAGCTACAATTATATATACTTGATGAGCATTTTCCATTTAAAGTACATTTGTTGAATTAATTAGGATCTACATATTAACATTAATTGTTTGTCCCCAAGCAAGCCATCCCTTCAAAGCATTTCACCTAAAAATTAAAAAATAAGCAATAATAATAAGAATTTTATTTTTTTAAGATATTAATAATTCAATAAATAAATTTATTTATTTAGACTTGTTAAGTAAAGTAAATAATTTTATCTAAAAGGAAATATTAAATTTATCTATTTTAATTTATTTTTACAGCGACAGGAGTATATGCAGGCAAGCAATTCTGTTAAGCATCTATCCCTATATTTGACAAAAATAAAAGTTTAAATTGAGGTAATATTAATAAATAAATAAATAAATAAATAAATAAATAAATAAATAAATAAATAAATAGAAGATTCTTTTTAAAAGTTTGTTTTACCTAGAGCATTTTTCTTTATATCATAATCTAGTTTTATGCATGAGTACGTTTTATAAAAAGGAGTAGAGATGCAATACCTTTTAAATTAAATTTTTTATTTATCAATTAATTTCATAAAAAATAAATAAATATTTATAAGCACCAAATATAAGGGAGAAAAAAGAAAAATTAAAATAGTAAATAAATAGAAAACAAATAAACTTAATAAATAAAATAGGGCCAACTTCCATTAAAAATGATAAAACTAAAATAAGTACAAAAACAAAAGAAAAAACAGATTTAGTAAACTTAAATCATCATTTTCTTTTATAACAAGAAGAATATCATTATCCTAGATATTGTCAAAATAAACAAATAATTCGAGAAGAAAAAATTAATTTAATTAAATAAAAAGAAATCGTTATGTTGTTAATTACCCATCAATACATTAAGAAATGAGTTAGCTTGTATTTTAGTTATCTGACAAACAACTAGAGGTATACAACTCTCTGCCAACGTTCTAAGAATCTAAAGGTAAGCATTAATCATCTTACAAGCAAAAATCTATTTTGCAAAATATTGCATATTTTTTTATTTCAACACAATCATATGAATTTGCATCTCTGCCTACAAGAACTGTATCGGTATAACTAGAATCAATTAATGAAACACATTTGTCCCCATTAAGACAAGTGTAAGGACCAGCACAGGAAATCGAATTTGCTATATTATTTTATTATTGATTAATCTTAATATAAATAACTAAGACTAAAAAATTATTTTTACGTTAGTTTACAGGTTAGCAAGTATCATCATTTTTATTTTTAGCAGCTTAATTTTATAGAGGTGGGTTTTATAGATCTGGAGGAAAAATGAATTTCAAAGCTACACAGGACTATTAACTACTAATTATTTATATAGAATTAATAATATTTTAATTTAGCAAAATTCAATCTACCCTTAAGTTAGTATGCAATAGTTATTTCCATAACACCTCATAATATCTTTATTTATTAATAATATTGTTTACATATCACAAAATTAATAAGATTAAATCTTTTACTTTTAGAAGTTTGTTCATTTTCAAGCAAACATCTTTCAGTTATAGATTCTATACCAATATAAGGACCATATGTACCTTGGCTGTTAATAATTGTATCGCCATAAAAAACACAAAAATCTGATGGTGGTAAAGAAGAAGTTGTAAGGAGACATAATCCTGTTGCACATATTTCTATATTTTACCCATTGTCATTGTTTTGAGATAAGCATTTCATAGTTATTTTTTCTCTAGCTATTCTATCTGGAAATTGAGGATCAGAGGTTAATTCTACGCATGTAAAATTAGTTTGCTCTATGCAGAATTTTTTTTTTTTACATCTATTTTGATTTATAAATTTCATATTAAAATAAATTTTGAATTTATTTATGTGAAAATGATATTATTTTATACTACAAAATTATTTTCCTCTTTTTTTGTAAATTTATTTACTAGTTTGGTTAAATAATAAAAGAAATAAAAATAATTCAAAATTACTTGACAGCTGTGCTTTAGCCTAATTATAGACATAATCCATCTTTATCAATTCCTATGTATGTATCATCAAAAGGAATGCATTTAAATTTATTTCCTACTTTGATTATGCAGCTTTAATCTGAGCACAATTAAATATCTTGATAAAATTATAAAGAATTAGATATACTCATCTCAAAATTATGAATGATTTTAATTAATTACTGTCATATACTTAATTTTACTAAACACAATCACCATTAGGCAATATTCCCTAAATAAGCAAATAAATAAATATTAACAAAATATTTCATGCTAATTAATAATTTTACTATTGCGTTTATGGAGAAATCAAGTATTTAGGTGCAAAATTTTTTCTACTAATCAAAACATATTGAATTTGTAGTAAAAGGGTGGTCTTATTAGCACTCAATTGCAACTGTAGTATTTAATTTGGCACAACTACCATCTGTTAGTCTTGATGGCTGACTAATTGATAGACTAGTACATACATTATTATTAAGAATGCAATGTCTAATAAATATTTTATTAAATATTAATTTCTGATATGCTAATTTCATAAATTATACCCAGGTTGACATATTGAAATTCCGCTAGTAGAAGTTTAGTCAGCATATAAGCATGAATATTTAGATGAATCTATAGCTACAAAATTGTTTTGTTATGTTAAATCTATCACTTTATTTTATGTATCTTAACAATAAGGGAGTTTCAATTGATATATTTGCTGTCCTTTTTATTTAAAAATATAAATTAATTAAGTTGTCATGGATCCATAACATTTTCATATTTAGATAGTTATCTAACAAAAATAAATTATCCAAATAGAATTTATTTAATTAATTTTTTTATAATTTGTCTTCAAATTTATAAATTTATGGAATATTTGCATCAAATTCTACTGTTTTTTCTATTAAGAAAATTATTTTTTTTAAGCTATTAAAATAGACTTTCATTAAATATTTTTTAAAAATATATAAAATCTCATTAAAAAAGAGAAATACCTATTGCTACTATAGTATTTAATTATGCACAAATGTATTAGCTTTATTAAGTATTGCTATTCGTTATCAAACCTATATATTAACTACTAGGATTAGACTATTCTGCACTATAATCAACACATGAATTAAATAACTATGTTATGCATATGTTATTTGAAATCATACATTGCACATTATTGCCTATTTAGTTCACCATCAAACATTTATTATCATTACTTTTACCTACATAATTAGATATGCTAAATTAATTACAGATTAAATTTGTGTCAAGACATTAATTTTAGCTCAAGGTCGTACATTATTTAGAACTTGAATCTATGCATTAAGAAGAGGATGGAGTTGAGCATATTTTAGAACTAGGATCTATGCATTACTATGAAGTTGGTACACTGCATAATTTAGAAGATTAGATAATGCATTGATTTGATTGTGGAAAAGAGCAATTCATTGAAGAATCAATACATTAAGAAAGTGATGGAGTCACGCAGTTATTAGAACTAATGCACTGTGGAATCGAGCAAGGAGGAGGAGGAGGAGGCGGTGAACTTTGTTAAAAAGAAGCCTAAAATGCTAATGCTAAAAAATAAAAAAGTATATGTATTGGATTCATATTCAAATAAAGCTTAGCTTGTTATCTAAAAACTTTAAAACTTATGTTTTCTACTTTACTATTTAATTGTAAAATAATAAATCGTCATTAAAAAAATTTTAATTTAAAAACAATCATCATTTTTTAGATGAATCTAAAGAATAATAAATCTTTTATGCTTTCTAAAATTGTAAACTAAAAAAATGATAGTTCTTTTATTACCAAAAGTGAACATACTAATTTTAAAAGCGAATTTATTTTTTTTATTTTTTATGACTAGCTTGAGTATCTTTTTTTTAACTCGCTAAATCATTTAACTTACAGTAATATTTACCAAATATCAAGTTTTAATTATTTTAACTAAGATCTTTCTTCTTGATTGAATCGGCTTTCTTAAATTTATATTGTCTAAGTATATTAAAATAATTTCTGTATATTTTATACAACAAAGAATTTTTCAAAATTAATATTATCTGCAATGCAATCTCATTATTTTAGAAAAATCTACAACTTTATAAAATAGAAAATTAAAATTTGTTATTTTAATTAGCTCACTAATTATTTTTAAGATATTTAATTATAAATTGATTAATTATTATAAGGAATTAAATAAATATTTCAATTTAATAAATAGAATAATATTAAATTAATAATTATTAGTGTACAATTTCTGCAACATAAATAAATAAATTATAAAAATTTATTATTAGCATATATTTGTTTTGATGAAATTTATTTTTTTAAAATATTATACCTTAGTGCCTCTAAACTCGGCCCTAGGTTTTCTGTAAAACCGACCGAGGATATCAACATTTTCACTCAAATATTCATAATCAAAAAAGTATACTGAATATAATTAAATTTATTGAATATTTTTTTAAAAATCATTTTTTCAAATATTAATTTATATTTATTATTTCAATTCAATCGTTGCGAATTTTATACATTTTTAAAATGATAATTTTATTTTAATCTTTTGATTAAGAGTTTTTTTATTAATTTTATTGTTTGATATAATCAATACAGACCTCACAACCTTATGGTAATTTATATATAAATTCATCAGCTAATGAAGTTCTTTAGCAAAAATATATATGCATATTTATAACAAAATGAAACTAAAATTTTCTACTAAACAAATATTTTATTTAATCATAACTAATTTTCTTGTATAATTAATTTTTACTACTTTTTGAATAAATTATATTTCTAATTTAATAAAAAATATATCTTTTTCTTTCCTGAAATAAATCTATATTAAAAACTAACAGACTAAATAGCTTTTCCTAATTTTATCCAAAAACTTAAAGTTTTTTTTTTGTCAACAAATCCTAGCTTGTAAAATAATTAACTAAGCTTGGGATAATTATTTAGTTTTTTTTCAATAATCTAATAAGAATTATTTACTTTTTCTTTTATTATTTTTAAAGAAATGCTTTTTATCAATTAAAGCAAAGAAAGAAAATTAATAACAAGAAGAAATACCAATGCTCGTCTTTTGCTTAAATTCGAAAAGGTTGTTTAATCATCAGATATATAACAACATAACCCTACACTAACAGAGCAGCATATATAAATTAATTACTCTAACTGATTTTAAGTCTCGTTTTTATTAGGTTTTACTAATATTTAAATTTATTTAAATTAAATAAATAAAAAAATAAGTTACAAGTGTGTATAGAAATGGTGTAAAGTAAAAGGATCAAACAAATTATTGAAGCTTTTAATGGATTCTAAGAGTCTAAAAATAAATTATTCACAATAACTAAACTGAGTTTCAAGTAAATTTTAATGAATTCCCATAAATAGAATTTCTCTTTATATTCAAAGTAAAATATTCCAAATTTTTTCAAATTTTTTAAACGATTTAACCAAAACCTTATATTATATATTTTGTAAAGAAGGAATACAGGTAAAATGATAGACCAAACAGCAAATAAGGGATACAAGATAAAATAACTTTATTGCAAATAAGACTAATCACATTTTACTGAAGGATATCCCTTCACATATTTTTCTCCAAATTAATCTAAACAAATAGACTATTTATTAAAATAAATTAAAAAAAATAAATAATTAATTCAAATTTATTAATATATATTTAATTATAGTTAGCTGTCTTTTAAAATATGGAATTTAATTTTAATAAATTTACACTATCTAAAATCTATTAGATTACTGAAGGCTAGTTTAGCCAGAAAATAAAGTTAATTCCTGATATTATATCCATGAATATCACTTACTGTTTTAAGTATATTTTCTGTATTACATAAGCAAAAGCAAAACAAAGAATATAGGTAATAATCATAAGCTATCTCAGAATGACTTTAATTAGTATAAAGCTTAAACTTTGCTGCCTATATATATGTACAAATGAGCAATCTAGCAAAATCAGTGCATATTTATTTGGATCTGAAATAGGATTTAAAACATTTTAGAATTCAAACAAGTAACTTTTTATAATATCACACACAATCATTAATACCTACAAGTAAGATACAAGTAGCTTAATGTAGAGCTAAAAGTATTAGACTTTTAATGGCATAAATATCTTTATGAGAAATAGAAACTTAATTTTAATCTTTAAATTAATTTATTTTAAGTAATTGTTAACAACATTCAAAATTAAAAATAAGTTTATCATAAAAATTAAAATAAACACCCAAGTAGTGCTAGAAGCTTAAGAACAACTTTTGATTTATTTATAAATTAATTAATTTAAATTTATAGAATAAAATTTGAATTACTTTTTACAGTTTTAGTTTCCATCCTTGACATATTAATCATTCCAATATATTCCGTAAACATCACAGTCAGAGCATAAGGGCCCAATAAAACCTTTTTAATTCAAATATTAATTATTTTAAATTATCGAATTTAATTTTAATATTTAGACTCAATACCTTATTTGCAGTATCTAGTATCAGAGCTTCTTACAGTTATTCCTTTTTTTTCAAATATATCAATGTCTCCAATACAAGAATTAACATAAGGATTGCATTGATAAATATCTGTTGAATTTATGTTTTTTTTCCAGTAACCTTATTTAAGATATATATTCCCGCCATCACAAACTCCACCATATTCAGGGCATTTTATACACTTTTATCCAGGATAGGTATTGTAAAATGGCTTGTTGCATCTCTAGCAAAAATCATAATTTTATACTTTATAATGCTATTCACCTAATTCACAGCTGTAAGCAAATTAAACAACTAATTCTAAGCTATTGAAAACAGAGTTATAGGAAACAATTTCTCCTGTAGTTAGATTATATACAGGAAATTTTATTTTTTCTGATGAAAATGTAAGCTTAACAGTTACTCCAAAGATTCCATTCAGAGTAAGCATGTTTAATTTGAAGTTACCATCTTTTTAAGTAAGTTAGTTAACATTTAAGAATGCGTTTTTTGTATCATTCAATCTTATATTTAAAGTAACTTTTTCTGAGAACTTTTTAAAATACTAATTATCTTCAGTCATAAATTAAATGCTTAGTTCATTCTTTATAAATAAATTAATTATTAAAAAAATTAAATAATGATTTTTTAGAATTAATATTTTGAAAAAAGTTTTAACAAAAACATCTTATGTAATTTAGAATGAATAAATATTTTTTTAATGAGCAAAGCTAATAAATTAAAAAGTTTTTTGTTAAAAGAGGAAAAAATAGTAAAAATTACATTTATTCTGCCACTAACATGCCTTATGAGGTTTTTATTTAGTTTTGATCCATTATATATAAGAATTAAGTGATGAGGATATTAATATAAATTATGAGAGAATTATTAAGCAAGATTATTCATAAAAATATTTTGACTGTAAAAATTTTAAACTGCTTAACCACTTTCTGAATATATAGCCCCTCCAATTTATGCTTAATTAAATGTAAAATTACTAGTTTTGACTTTTAAATTAGTTAAATTTTCGATACCTTTATAATAAATTGCTCCCCCATTTCCTTGAAGCGCTTTATTATTCATAAAAGTACAGTTTTAAAAGGTTACACTAGAAGTGTTAACATAAATAGCTCCTCCAGATAGCAATGAAAAATTATTTTTAAACATTATATCTATAAGTAAAATATGGTAATTTTAATTAGAGATTACTTATAAATTTCTAAATTAATTACTGAGATTATTATTTTTAACTTATTAAACATAAAGCACTCCTTTGTCTTAACTATAATTTTACTCGAACTAGCTTTGTAAAATTATTATATAATCAGCATTTAGTTACATTAATCCTATAGTACAAGTCTCACATTGATTTTTAATAAACTAAATTCCATAGATTTATATAAAATTAGAGTTCATTTATATGAAATTCTTTGCTTATTTACTAGAAATCCTTTTAAATTGACTGTTAAAAAAATTAACTTATAAAACATTAATTAGCTAAATTAAAGAGTCGTTAAATGTTATATCATAATATTAGTTATTTTAATCAGTAAAGATCTAAACATATTCAATTTAGAAAAAACTATTCAAGCTAAAATAATTTTATTAGATTTAATTCACCTAAGTCTCATCCATCATAATTTAATTATTTGAAAACTTCATTTCAAAAAAGCCCTTAAGGAAAAATAAATATTAAAATTTTGATTATTTAAGATTTGGCCTAATTGATTTTATCAATATATTTTAAGAAATATTTATCCGATTATAACTAATCACGCAGCTATTCAATAAAAAAATATTTCTTTGCTTATGATTGAAATCGAAATATATTATTGAGCCTTTTTAGCTAAAGTTATCAATAAACTAAGAATCGGTTATTTCAAATACCTTTTTATATTTAGAATTTTAAACAAATATGGCTCCTCCTTATTAAAATGCAATATTTTAGATAAAAGAAACAGTTTAAATTTAAGCAGAGAAATTACAAAGCCTAGAATCTATGAAAATAGCACCTCCATTATTTTCGTTATCAAATTTATTAAAGCTCAAATTGTTTACAAAAGAAGAATCCTAAATCTTTAAAATTCCTAAATTATTAAAAATTAAGTATAATGCTCCTCCTTATTTAGCTTTCCCACCTTAGAAATTAGAGTCTTCGATATAAAGAGATTAAATAGATGATCTCAAAAAACCACCCAAAACTGTAGTATTTAAAAAGTCAATTCCAGAGTCTTCTTCATTTTTAAAAACTGAATTATTAATTGTTAATTTTTAAGTATATATGACTAAACAATTATTTTAATATATAGAATGGCTGTTAAAGAAATTAAAGTTATTAATTTCAATATTTCCAATTAAAGCCTCCAAATATGCACACTAAGCTATATTAGATGTAACTTCCTATTTTCATATTTAATATAAAATTAAAATATTTTTAAAACATATTTTTCATAAAAAGATTTGAAGAGGGTTAACTCATCTAATGGTAACAATTATAAAAAATAAACTGGGGGGTTAAAAATATTTTCTATTTAAAATATCTAAAACATAAATATATTAAATTCCCCCTCCACTAAAATAATTTATTACAATTAGATATTTTAACATGGCTATATTTCAACTTTTTAAATAATATTAAATAAATAGTTTTTTTAATTTACATTTGTTTTGACAGAATATTGCATCTATGAGTCTTAAACGATAAAATTAAATAAAGTTATAGTTTCTTAAATTTGAGAAATGACTTGAATAGGAGCATTGCTAAATTAAGTTTAAGTGATATTAGCTATACAATTTATTATTTTAAAGTCTTTAATAAGTAAGATTTTGTTAGCTTTTTATAGATTACTTGATTACTTTAATATAATACTAATTAATGATTTTTAGTAAATGACATTTTAAAAATATACACTTTTTATCACCATTTAATTATATAAGCACTAAATGTCTAAAATATAGTTATTATTTCTATTGTTTGATTTACTTTAGATACTCCTTAATCCATTTATTTTTAAATTATTTACTTATAAAACTTTGAGAAATTGTATTTCATTAGTATCAATAAGCTCAGAATCTTTAGCATTTAGTATTTTGACATAAGACAGACTTATAAATGAAAAAGTTTTAGGCACATTTAAAGAACTATAAACTATTTAATTATCATAAATTTTAGTAGAAAAAATTAAAAATTGATCAATTTATTGACCACCATCCATGAAAAAGATAAAGTCGTTACTTGTTATGTTATTCTAATAAAACTGAATATCAACTAAATGAATTTAGTTTGATAAAGAGTTCGCCGGTTTGATGGATTTAAAGAATACATATTAATTTATTGTGTTATTATAAATGTTGATAAACTTTGCTACAAGGCAATTTAATTAAAACAAAAAAGGACTTTATTGTTAATTTTAGGTTTTTAAAAGCAAAATATTGCTTGTTATTATTATATTTGAAAAAACAACATTTATGTATTAGTTTCCTGAAAAAATTATTGAATAATTTAATATTTAGTTATTTTTAAGTTTTAAATTTATGACGCTAAGCTATTATGTGAATTTTTGATGAACAAATAATTAGTTAAATAAGATGCTTGAATAATCTAACTTACAAGATAGTACTTAGAAATTATTCACATTTAATACTGTATTGTTTTGAGTGACCTATATAAAGTTAGATGCGTTAAAAAATACCTATTGATAGTTAAAGAATTATTATTTAAGCAATATTGTTTAATTTTAATTTAATAAATTTTTTTATTTTCAGTTAATGAGGCGGGGTAAAACAAAAATTTATTAAATCAAGTGTCCTACTGAGCTTTAAACATTGAATTGATTGTTATAAAGGACAAATATTTTCCATAAATTTTTACCCACCTTCTTAAGATAATTTACAAAACTTTTTAATTGATAAGAAATAAAATTTACATTGACGATGCTGATAGATTCTAATTTGATTATAAGGCTAGGTTTTATTTAGGTTTATGAATATTAAAGCTAAATGGCTTGAGTATTATAGTAAAATAGATTATTAAATGTAACGTTTCTTAAGATTAAACTGTTTTTTAAATCATTAATTAGTAAATGAAGTACGTTTTAAGGGCCAAATAACCCTCTGCTAAATTTAACATTATTCAAATATACTTAATTTAAAGATTATGAAGATATTTAAAAACCTATTTTAAACTAATCAAAATAACTAGAATAAGAGTCGATATTTATATTAGAAATGGTTACATTAGTAAATCCTTGAATTATAGTTGGGCTTGTTTATAGGAACTAAAATTATTGGTTATTTACTTATTAATACGATATATTTAAATGAAATATTTCTAAAGATTTTATTTTTTATAGTAAATTAGACTTTAAAACTAAAGGTTTTAGAGTTTAACATTCTGAATATTTTGAAGGAAATATGATCTATAATTCTAATTCTTTTAAAGCTATTTCATTTAAGCCTACTATTGCTAGATCTAAATTATTTTCACCAATAATAATATTTTCAAAATAGTTGATTTATGTTATCATATTAATATTTAATGGATCATCAAAAGTTCCTCTTCCAATTATGTTATTATTATCTAAGCAAACAGCATATATAGTTGTAATCTTCTTAAAATAGCAAGATTAATCTCCTATTTTACATAACGTACACCTAAATCTTTCTTTATCATACCTTATTTCATAGTCTTAAAAATTGGTTAAAATGCTTTTACTAGCTGTGTTTAGCTGTGTAATAGTTTTGCATGAATAGCATTTTGTTTAGTAGATAGAATAGAGATTATCAAAAAGATTGCCAGACTAGTCACATGTTTCACATCTATTTTTTAAATTGTAAATAAGTAAATGACATTAAACAAATTAATTAATTACAGATAAGGACACATTTAGCAAGAACCTTAATCTTTTGAAAGTATACTAATCTAAATATCCTCAGGTATTTAATTCTATCCAAAATAAAACTATCCCAAAAATAAAGATATTTATGAGATTGATTAAAGTATTGCTGTTTGATTGCATTATAGACAATAAAACCTATTGATTTAAAACACACAATTAGCACATAGCTATCCACATGGCAAAAGAGTACATATTTTGAGAATAGGATCAAAGTAATATCCTTGCTAACAAGAGCTGCAAAAAGATTATGCTTTTAGGATAGTTTTATAATTTAATCGAGTATTAACGTCATATGTTGTAGAACCAAAGATAATACTTGCTGTTATGTTAAACTTCCTCTATTAATCATCATATCCTATTTCATAGCATTAATCGCACCCATCTAAACATTTCACACATCCAAGAAGAGTTGTCATATAATTAGCTTATTAACATTCTACACAAGTAAATAGTTAAATTACGTTACTATTATTCTAAAAATTTTCGTAATAGCATTTATTACATCCTGAAATCTATTTAAGTAAAAATTATTTTTTTTAAAAAAAAACTGAGAAAAATTTAAATAATTTATTAATTATCAAAACCAAAATATAAGAAATGGTAAACAAAAAAATCAAGAGTGGGGGTAGTACTAATATTGTGGGTAAATACACTATAAACAATGCTATCAAAGGCTACTCTACATATGTATTTTATATGTATGTAGCCTTGAAAAAGGCAGTACCCTAGGTACTATATATATTTATTAATATAATTTGAAAAGATCTTTTCTAGAATAGAATAGAATAAAATAATACAGCTTAAATGCACTTGATTTTTGAATGACAGACTTTATTTTTTAAATCTAGAGCAAAGGCTTTACAAAGTTAGCAAGAATTACTATCAGGATAAAACTTCAAGCAGTTGTTATCTAGAATATTTTCATTTTGAGAACAACTTTATTTATCTGGTGAAAGAATATAATTGTCTTGGCAGTAGGCGCAAATAAGAGTATAATTACTCGTTAAACCGTTTTAGTAATAAGCAAAATTGTAAATTAAATCAATTTAGTTTGTATATTGATTAATTAAAGTATGTAATTGGCAATTTAATATTGATTCACCGCAGTCACTTCCTAATTTTTAAGTTTTAAAAATTTAATATTGATGCTTAAAAATTTTTATTATTAGCTACCGTTTGTTTAAATAGTAAGCTCTTGGCTTTTACAAGTCAAGCATTACTTGAAAATTTTTAATGATTAGTATTGATCTTAATTCAGCTAAACATTACTTTTCTATCCTATGTTATAGTAGTTTTAACCATTTGCTTTTAATTAAAAATAAATGTTAAAAAAAATATTAATTAATTTAAAAAAGAAAATTAATTACTGTATTAACAGGATGCACAACCTGTTCCGCACTAATCACAAGATATTAAATCATAAGATATGATAGAATTATTTTTGCAAATCTAACATAAAGGATATAGATAAGAAGAAGCTAAAGTCTATCTTAATTCAATAGGTAATTCATAATAGTAAATTTTGTTTCCATAAATATCTAGTGTACCTAATTCACATTATAAGCAGGTAGAATTACACATCTGGCATTAGTGCTACAAATCCAAATAATAGCCTAAGGCACATTTTTAACATATCTACTTATACAAGCCATTTTTGAATTGCATAACACAGGATTAGCAATTATTTTGAGTACCTAATAATGTAAATATATGTAAAATTTTAAAGTATAACATAAATTTTAAAGAAAACAATAATACATAACTAAGTAGGAGCTATATAATACTATGGATATAAAAATGGATCAGTTTCATTTCTATTTTAGATTAAGTAACCTGCAGTAATTGGAGGTAAGTTTTCAATTAATAATAAGCTTTAAGTTTCATTTTTTTTAAAATTTAACACAACTAGCTCACAATTCTTTAATAGTATTTAATTATTATTCCTTTTAAAGTAATATTTTATTTTAAATTATTTGATTAAAGTATTAAAAAAGTGTTTTTATTTACCAAAGCCCCTTTTCAAGATTACAATCAAGACACTTTTAACTTATCTGAGTTGTTCCTTTAGGAATCCGATAGGTGTATGGGTAAGCAGTTATATTATTATACAAATAATTGCATTTAATACATTAAACACTCTTGTCTTAACTTTGAAACAAAAAATAACCCTCAATGCACTTAGTACAGATATTCAAATCCTTACATGAATAGCATCTTTAACATAAATTATTATAAATTAATAATTTATTTTCAAATTCTTAGTAATATTTATTACCCAATTGGACATTTATCTGTCTTAATAGAAAGGCAAATCTACCCTTAACATAAGTCTTCAACAATGTAAATAAGATTTAGTTAAAAAATTGTATTTATTTATTGCTGGTAAATGCTCTCTCTTTCCTTAAATGTTAAACATCTATTATCCCCTACATTTATAAAGTTTTATGAACACCTTTAGCATTAAAATAATTGATTTGCTGTGCTTTGCAATACACATTCATTTTATAAACTAGCACATTAAAAATTTTAATCTCCATTTTATTATTTTATTTCTTATAAAATGCAAGGTAAGTCAGGTCTAACTTGCTACAGACACTAATATTTTTCCATTTTTACATCTTTGAATGCTATGCAAATATGTTTGACGTTATCGAAGCAATAATTTTATGGGCAAACCTTACATTATCCAGATTATAGCTAAGCACAAAATCCTAAAATTAATATCATCATAAATCAACAAATTAAAGTAAAATAGAAATAAATTAATATTTAAAATAAAAAATAATAAATAAATTACCTTATGAATTTTAGCAATAGCTTCCTATTTAAGTACAAATTCCTGTTTGAGTTTTTATATTAGTAACATCTAAACATTAGGAAAAGCTGCAACTGCTGCAATTAGTTAGGTCATCTGAGCAAAATCCATCTGTATTAGTGCATTTATATTATCCTAAAGGATCTACATTAACACATACTTGCCCTTGTGAAGTGGTGTTAATACAAGCCATGTTTTTAAAGCATTTGACCTAATTAAAAAATAATAGCTTAAATTATTTTTTTAAGAATTTGAGAGAAATTGAAGAAAAATTAATAATATATTTTCCTTTTAATTAAAAATCACTTTCAAAAAATTTTTGTTGAAAAAATGTTCTAATTGCAAAGATTTTTTTATTTTACAAAATATGTTAAAATTACTTTTAAAAGCGAAAAAAAATTAAAAATTAATTTCCAAGAAATTATCAACATTGAAAAAATTTTATTTTTATTCAGTAAAAAAATGGTCTTAATTAATAAAATCAACAGCATATACTCAAAAAAGTAAATTTAAATTATATATAAATTCATCAAAAATTTTAAAAGTAAAAATATCTAAAAAATTTACTGCACCAAGTTAGTTAATTCCTAAACAATTCCCATTTTAGTCAACACCTTTTTTTTAATTTTATGTTTTAAAGCAATTTATTAAGAAAATAGATTTAAAATAATTTATTTTACCTGCAGCATTTTTAGATTAGTCAATATCAAGTTAAATGCATTAGTATTTTCCATAAGTTTAAGATATACAATAGCTTTTAATTATATTAAAAAATTATTTTTGTTTGTTTATATATTTAATTTACCCATCTGTGCACTGCTAAATTTTTTTCATAGTTACTTCTCCATTTAATAAACATTTAGAAGTAAAATATTCGCTTCCAATAAAATTAGAATCAAAATGTATGCATTGATTTTAAAATAGGCAATAGTTTTTTTTGCAATATTAAGCATAATATGTATTATCCCCTATACACATTTAAGTATTTTAATCTCTTCCTATAAAATTGTTTTTTGGGTCATTTAAAGATACACATTATTCGTTAATGAGACATAACAAAGGTTCAGCACAACTAATTGAATTTGCTTTAAAAAAAAATAAAAATAACTTTAAATTAATAAAATTACAATATAAATAAATAAATATACGTTAATTAATTTGCTAGCAAAATCCATCAGCATTTTTGGATGCTTAAGATAATTAATTAGGATCAATGTCTTCATTAAAAGGATAAAATAGCTATCTACATTATTACTAATTACTTTTTAAAATAATTAAATAAATAACCTAGAAAACTAAACTAAATTTATTTTACTTAATATTTAAAAGGCAATATTAAGGGCCATAACAAAGACTAATAGCTTTTTTTATTTTTAAAAATACTAAAAATTAAATTTTTAAATTTTAAGTTATTTACAATTAGCTGATTCATCCACCTATAAACATCTCTCTGTTATACTTTCTACACCGATAAAAGGCTTCTAAAAATTTTTGAAAGTGCTACCATATAAGATACAATAATCTGTAAAAGGTTAAGTCGAATCTTAAGTAAAAAAACAATATCCATCTGCACAAAGATCTATATTTTGACCATAAAAATCATTATATGGTAAACAGTTTGAAGTATCTTTTTGTCTTGCAATTCTTAAATCAGATTCAACAGAAGACAACTCCATACATGAAAAATTTATTTATTCTATACAAAATTTTCCTTATTTGCATCTAAAATTATTATTTTTTAATAAAAAAATTTCTTCATTTTATCTAAAATCTTTTGAAATTTATTGTTTTGGTATTTTAAAAATGTTAAAATAATAGGTTTATTATAAAATCTTTTGAAAATTATTGTTTTGGTATTTTAAAAATGTTAAAATAATATGTTTATAAAATATTTTAAAGTTACCTAACTGCATGTGGCTAAGCCCTTTCAAGGCAATATCCTTATTAATTTATTCCTATGTAAACATTATCAAAAGGGATACAAGAAAAACCTGTGCCATTTTTAAGTAAGCAGCTCTGATCTGAACACAAAGGTTTCTCTTATTTTTAAAAAATAGTTAATTTAATTTCGCTGAATAGTTTAAAAAAAATATTTTTACCATCATACGCTTTTTATTATTAAACGCAAGTGCCATTCGGTAATATACCCTAGAAATTATTAAAATAATAATGCTTATCTCACAATTTTTAAGTACAAAAATACAATATTGTAAAATGAGAAATCTTTAATCCAAGAGCATGTCTAATTGAGTTAATCAAAACAAATAGATTTATTTGTTAAAGGATCATCTTAAAAGCATTCTATTGAAATTTTCTCTCCTAACTAATTGCATTGACCACTTTCTAGTTTTGCAGGATAACTTAAAGATAACTGAGTGCATGTATTATTTAGTACGCAATATCTAATCAGAATAATTAATAATATTATATTAAGAAATCAAACTCCATCTGTTTAAATGTATTACTTACCCTGATTTGCAATAAGGAGTACCATTTGAAGTTTAGTTTACTTTTAAGCAATTATAATTATCTGGATCTTGACCAACATAAACATTCGAAAGAAGAATGTTTTTAACAATCCAATTAGAGTCAATACAATAGAATTGCTTGAGAATATAAATATCCACTTTTTTAAAAAGATATTTTACTTTATCAAATAATGACTTTCTTAATTATTTTGATTAGTAGTTTATATTTGATTTAAATAAATTCAAGTAATAAAAATTTTCGTAGTATTTTATTTAATCGCGCTTTATTAATAAATTATAATTTTTTTAATTTTCGTTTATCCTTTTAAAAAATCTATATAGTTTTCATTAAAAAAATATACTACTATATTTTGGAGTTATAATTATTTAAATTAGCTATGTTAAATATATAAAAAAAGAACTAAAATTAATAATAATAAATACATTTTTCAACACTTTAATTTATCTCTGCACATTTAAATCTGCGTTTTTCAAATATATTTAAGCCTATTTTTATTAATCCTGCATATTAGCTAGTAGGATCACTTTCACTAGAATATTCAACACATTAATCCTCAATAGAATTCAAACATATTTAGATTTCAGGTCTAAATATATTTATCCAACACTATGCTTAATTACTTACGGCAGTTTATTTGCTTTTTAAACATGTTTTATACTATGAATCTCTCCCAACAAAATTTCCTAGACTGTATGAAATACAGTTATTAGAAGATACGCATTCGTCATAATCTGGAAATTTACATTCATAGGATTTAGATGTATAGTTATAAAAACTACAATGAGCTTCTGGGCATTTCTAGTAACCTATTCTGAATAGTAATGATAAAATTGAGAAGATTATTTTATAATATCTCATTTTTCAATCTCTTAATTATTATTATTTGCAGATTTAATTAGATTCTTGATTTTCTAACTCACCGATCTATTTCTTAATCAAAGTAATATTTTTTTATTTTTCAATTTATTGTTTTTATAAAAATTGGATCTTTTATTTTGATATCTTTTAAATTAATGAATTAATTATTCATCTAAAAGAATTATTTAAAATAATTAAGTAAAATTAACCATTTAATTTATTTTTGCTATTCCTCTTATTTACCAAAATAATAGTATATTCATTTTTCATGCATATAAAAATCTATTTATTATTTAATGCAAATGTAAACTTACATCTAATTCTGAGTATTTGATAATCATTTGTTTTAATCAAAAGAAAGGAAATGTATCACTTGTAAAAAAGAATGATGATTGAAAAATTCTTTCATCATTTTTATTTAATTTTTACATATTCATAAATTTATTTTTTTATTAATGTAAGAGTTATTTTTTTTGTAATTTATCATCAAATATTTTCTGATTATTTTTAAATGAAAAATTTTTTATTGAAAATTTAAAAATATTTTAATCTAAAATTATTTAATCTATTTTTATTAAAGTAATTAATAAATCATCATAATTTAAATAAAACTTGATTTATAATCAAAAAGATGAATTTGATTCTTTTATTAATAATTTAATTGATAGAAACTTGTGATTAAATACTTTTGTTAACTAATTCTTTTACAATATATTAGTTGGATTAATACTTTTTGCTATTAATATCTTTGTTATGTAGATAGATTACAAAAATCTGATTTGAAAAAAATTAATAATAAATTACTAATAATATCCTAAAAATATTCATTCCTTTATCTTAACTTTTAGATTATAAATCATACAAATTAAATATCAATAATAAATAACACTTAAAGATGAAGTATAAAAATATTTTAAGTAATATCAATCAATTTATTAGCCATTTAGAAATATGCTTTGTTAACTGCAAGGATATTAAAAGATAAAATATTACTTTTTGAATAAAATTTTGCCTTAGATAAAAGAAATGTTTTGTAGCTTTGATCCTGAGGATTTTTTGTATTAGTAGTAGTTCCCTTCTCTCTTTGATACTCAGTTTAATATTGGAACTAAAAGAAAGGAATTTCGCTAGATTATATAAAGAAATCAGTTATCTAAAAGCTAGTTTGCTATACTAATAATAATATAAACTAATATCTTAAGAATTAATTGATGAACTTCCATAAGAACCCTTATAAAAATTTAAGTGATTGATTGTATTAATAATGAAATTAAATTAAGTGAAAATAAAATTTCAGAATAAAAAATAGACGAAAATAGCTTTATAATTCCTCTACTTCCTACTGATGCAAAATGCAAATTATGTAAAATACTTCAATTATTTGTAAAAAATATAATGCTCTCCATTTCTTTTTTAAATTTAGCGCTTAATTAATATTTTAATTATCAATAAAACTTACCAATATAAATAGATTAAAAATTAGCATTTATAAAGTTGTAACCAAAAAATTAAATCAAAGAAGAAGCTGCAAGAAACATTTTCAAGTTTATATTAGATTTATACATTAATGATATATTAAAAACTAATTAAAAAAAAGGTTAACTTCAAAAAAGACATGAAAAGAGTTGGATAATTTTCCTTAAAATATTTCAATTAATTATTAAGAAATATACTATAAAATAATAATTCAAGCTCCTTAGAGCCAATTTGAATTATTTTTTACTTTAATTCTAATTTAAAAATTTATAATACATATTCGATCTCAAAAAAATAATTTATTACTACATATTTTTTTCTACAATAAAAGAGAATCAAAATTTATTTGACCCCATTCACTATATATAACAATATAATTAAAAATAGTACTAAAATAAATGTTGATATGAAGAATGTATGGCTATAAAAACAATTGAAGCATAATTAATTTTCTTCAATTAAAAATTCATAGTTAGATTTATGAAAAAAAATAAATTAAAAGGAAAAAAATGATAAATTGGTAAAAACTGTTTGTAAAAAAATTTGTTCAAAAATTAAATATTCATTATAAAATTTAATTTTTCTAATAAATAAATTAAAAGGAAAAAATATAAAAACAATTAAAAAATTCATTAACAAAATTATAATCAAAGTTAAGAATGAAATAAATAAAAAAAGGTTTCCAAAATTATGATCAAGTATTAGATAAATCAGAAACATTAAAACACAAAAATTAGAGTGGGTAAGGTCTTTATTGAGTTCATAGCCTTATAATCCTTTTTTTATAAATTTATCATCTATAAAGTCGTTTAACTAAAACATAAGCTTATACTTATAAAAAAATTTGTAATTAAAATTTTTCTACCAAACAAATATTTTATTTATAAATAAACGTATCTAATTATAATAAATTTTTATTAAATCATAACTAATTTTCTTGTTTAATTAGTTTTTACGACTATTTGAATGAATTATATTTCTAATTTAATTAAAAATATATCAAGCTTTTACCTGAAATAAACTTATATTAAAAATTAACAGACTAAATGGTTTTTCCTAATTTTATCCAAAAATTTAAGATTTTTTTTTTGTCAACAAATCCTAGTTTGTAAAATAATTAACTTAGCATAGGATAATTATTTAATTTTTTTTCAATAATCTAATAAGAATTGTTAACTTTTTCTTTTATCACTTTGAAAGAAATACTTTTTATTAATAAAAACAAAGAAAGTAAATTTATAACTAGTAGAAATTATAAAGCTGGTATTTTGCTTGAATTCTAAAAAGCTGTTTATTCTTCCGATATATAACAACATAATCCAACACTAACAGAACAGCATATATAAATTAATTGCTCTAACTGATTTTAAGTCTCGTTATCATTGGGTTTTACTAATATTTAAATTAATTTAAATTAAATAAATAAAAAAATAAATTACAAATGTTCGTAGAAATGGAGTATAATAAAAGGATCAAGCAAATTATTGAAGCCTTTAATGGATTTTAAGAGTCTAAAAATAAATTATTCACAATAACTAAACTGAGTTTCAAGTAAATTTTAACGAATTCCCAGTAATAGAATTTCTCTTTGTATTCAAAGTAAAATATTCCAAATTTCTTCAAGTTTTTAAAACGATTTAGCCTATACCTAATATTATATATTTTGTAAAGAAGGAATAAAGGTAAAATGATAGACCAAACAGCAAACAAAGGATACAAGATAAAATAACTTTAGCGTAAATAAGACTAATCACATTTTACTGAAGGAAATCCCTTCACATAGCTATCTCCATATTAAGCTAAACAAATAGACTATTTATTAAAATAAAATAGATAAATAATTAATTCAAATTAATTAATTTATGATTTGATTTAATTATTGTCTTTTAAATATAGAATCGATGATTATAAATAAATAAGAAAGATAAAGAAATAAAATAAATATAATTTTAATAAATTTACACTATCTAAAATCTATTAGATTACTGAAGGCTAGTTTAGCAAGAAAATAAAGTTTATGCCAGATATTACTTCAATGGATATCATTTATTGTTTTAAGTATATTTTCTTTATTATGAAAGCTAAAGCAAAACAAAGAATATATGCAATAATTATTAGCTAGCCAAGAATTACTTTAATAAATATAAAGCTTAAACTTTGTTATTTAAATATAGGTAAAAATGAGCAATCTAGTTAAATCAGAGCATACTTATTTGGATCTGATATAGGACTTAGGAAACTTTAAAACTAAAACAAATAACTTTTTATAATATCACACACAATCATCAATATCTACAAATAAGACACAAGTAGCTTAATGTAGAACTAGAATGATTAGATTTTTAATGGCATAAATATCTTCATGAGAAATAGAAACTTAATTTAAATCTTTAAACTAATTTATTTTAAATAATTGTTGACAACATACAAAACCAATAGTATGTTTAGCATAAAAATTAAAATAAACACCCAAATAGTGCTGGCAGTTGAAGAGCATCTTTTGATTTATTTAAAAAATCAATTAATTAATTTAAATTTATCTAATAAAATTTGAATTACTTTTTACAATTTTAGTTTCCATCCTAGACATATTAATCATTCCAATATATTCCGTAAACATCACAATCAGAGCATAAGGGTCCGATAAAACCTTTTTAATTGAAAAATTAATTCTTTTAAATAATCGAATTTAATTTTAATAATAAAACTTAATACCTTATTTGCAGTATCTAATTTCAGAGCTTCTTACAGTTATTCCTTTTTTTTCAAATATATCTATATCACCAACACAAGAATTAACTTAAGAATTGCATGGATAAATATCTGTTGAATTTAAGTTTATTCTCCAGTAACCTTATTTAAGATATATCATCCCACCATCACAAATTCCACCATAGTCAGGGCATTTTATACAGGTTTATCCAGGATAGGTATTGTAAAATGGGTTATCGCATCTCTAACAAAAATCAAAATTTTACTATTTATAATGTTATTAACCTAATTCACAGCTGTAAACAAATTAAACAACTAATTCTAAGCTATTGAAAACAGAGTTATATGAAATAATTTCTCCTGTAATTTGATCATATTCAGGAAACTTTATTATTTCTGATGAAAATGTAAGCTTAATAGTTGCTCCAAAGATACCATTTAGAGTAACCACGTTTAGTTTGAAGTTACCTTCTTTTTATGTAAGTTAGCTAACACTTAAATATGCATTTCTTGTATCATTTAACATTATATTTAAAATAAATTTTTCTGCGAACTCTTTAAAATATTCGTTCTCTTTAGTCATAAATTATATGCTTAATTCCTCCTTTTTTTTATAAATAAATTACTAAAAAGTAAATAATGATTTTTTAGAATTAATATTTTGAAAAAAGCTTCAATATTTACAAAAATCTTATGTATTTTTTTAAATATTTTTTAATGAGTGAAGGTAAAAAATAGAATTAGATTTTTGTTAAAAAAAGTGAAAAAATAAGTAAAAATTACATTTATTCTGCCACTAACATGCCATATTTGGTTTTTTTTTAGTTATGTTCCATTATATATGAGAGTTAAGTGATGAGGGTATTTATATACATTATAAGAGAATTATTATGCAACATTATTCTAAAAAATATTTTGACTGTAAAAATTTTAAACTGCTTAACCACTTTCTGAATATATAGCCCCTCCAATTTATGCTTAATTAAATGTAAAAATACTAGTTTTGATCTTTAAATTAGTTACATTTTCAATACCTTTATAATAAATTGCTCCCCCATTTCCTTGAAACGCTTTGTTATTTGTAAAAGTACAGTTTTAAAAAGTAACACTAGAAGTATCAACATATATAGCTCCACCAGATAGCTATGAAAAATTATTTATAAACATTGTATCTATAAGTAGAATATGGTAATTTTAATCAGAGATTACTTACAAATTTCTAAATTAATTATTTAGATTTTTATTATTAACCTATTAAACATAAAGCACTCCTTTATCTTAATTGTAATTTTACTCGAACTAACTATGTAAAATTAAGATGTAATCAGCATTTAGCTACATTAATCCCATACTGCAAGTTACACATTGATTTTTGATAAACTAAATTCCATAAATTTATATAAAATTAGAATTCATTTAAATGAAATTTGTGGCTTATTTGCTAGAAATCCTTGTAAATTAACTGTAGTAGATATTAATTTATAAAACATTAATTAGCTAAATTAAAGAATCATTAAATGTTATATCATAATATTAGTTATTGTAATCAGTAAAGATCTAAACCTATTCAATTTAAAAATAATTATTCAAGCTGAAAAAATTTTATTAGATGTAATTCACTTAAGTTTCATCCATATAAAATTAATTACTTGTAAATTTAATTTCATAAAAGCCTCTTAGGAAAAATAAATATTAAAATTTGGATTATTTAAGATTTGATCTAATTGATTTTATTAAAATATTTTAAGAAATATTTATCCGATTATAACTAACCATGCAGTTATTCAATAAAAAAATATTTCTTTGCTTTTGGTTGAAATCGAAATACATTATTGCACCTTTCTAACTGAAGTTATCAATAAATTAAGAATCAGTTATTTCAAATACCTTTTTATATTGAGAATTTTAAACAAATATGGCTCCTCCTTATTAAAATGCAGCATTTTAGATAAAAGAAACAGTTTAGATTTATGCAGAAAAATTGCAAAGCTGAGAATCTATGAAAATAGCACCTCCATTATTTTCATTATCAAATTTATTAAAGCTCAAATTGTTTACAAAAGTCGAATCCTAAATATTTAAGAATCCTAAATTACTGAAAATTAAGTATAAAGCTCCTCCTTATTTTGCTTTTCCACCTTCAAAATTAGTATCTTTAATATAAAGATATTAAATAGAGGATTTTAGAAAACCTCCCAAGACTGTAGTATTTGAAAAGTTAATCCCAGAGTACTCTTAATTTTTGAAATTTGAATTGTTAATTGTTAATTTTTAAGCATTTATTACCAAACAATTATTTTTCTAAATAGAATAATTGTTAAAGAAAGTTGAATTATTAATTTCTATATTTCCAATTAAAGCCTCCAAATATGCACAGGAAGCTATTTTAGATGGAACTTCCTAATTTTTATATTTAATATTATAATACTTTTTAGAACATATTTTTCACAAAAAAGCTAATGAGGGGTAATAATAATCATTATTATAAATAAACCTAAATAAAAGCCTTTTTTATTTTGAATAGATTTGGGATTTTTTAAAAATAAATTACATTAAATTCCCTCTTCACAAAAATAATTTAATACAATTTGATATTTTAAAATCTCAATATTTCAATTATAAAATAAATAATTTTTAATAAAAAAAATATAAAGATATTACATTTGCTTTGATAGAATATTGCAGCTATGAGTCTTAAACAATAAAATTACTGATTGATATAGTTTCTTATAATTGAGAAGTTATTTGAATAGGAGCATTGCTAAATTAAATTTAAGCGATATTAGCTATACAATTTATTATTTTAAAGTCTTGGATAAGTAAGATTTTGCTAGTTTTTAAAAATTTACTTGTTTACTTTAATATAATACTAATTAATGATTATTAGTATATGAGATTTTAAAAATAAACACTTTTTATCACCATTTAATTATATAGGCATTATATGTCTAAAATCTAGTTATTATTTCTGTTATTTGATTTACTTTAGATACTCCTTAATCCATTTATTTTTAAATTTTTAACTTATAAAACTTAGAGAAATTGTATTTCACTTGAATCAATAAGCTCAGAATCTTAAGCCACCAGTATATTAACATTAGTGAGACTTATAAATGTGAAAGTTTAAGGCACATTTAAAGAATCATAAATTATTTAATTATTATAAATTTTAGTACCAATAATTAAAAATCGATCAATTGTTTGGCCACCATCGATGAAAAAGATAAAGTTATTATTTGTTATGTTATTCTAATAAAACTAAATATCAATTAAATAAATTTAATTTGCTAAAGAGTTTGCCTGCTTAATAGAGTTAAAAAATGCATATTAATTTATTGTGTTATTATAAATGCTGATAAATTTTGCTTCAATGCAGTTTAATTAAAACAATGAAGGAATATATTGTAAATTTTAGGTTTTTAAAAGTAAAGTATTGTTGGTTATAATTATATTTGAAAAGTAAGTATTTATGAATTAGTTACCTGAAACAATTATTGAATAATTTAATATCTAGTTATTTTTTAGATTTAAATTTATTACACCAAGTTATTGAGTGAATTTTTAACTAATCGCTAATTAATTAAATAGGATGCTTGAATAATCTAATTTACAAAATATTATTTAGCAATTATTCACATTTAAGACTGTATTATTTTGAGTGATTTATAAAAAGTTTGAAGCGTTAAAAAATACCTTTTGATAGTTAAATAATTATTATTTAAGCAATATTATTTAATTTTAATTTAATCAATAAATAAATATTTTTATTCTCAGTTAAAGGGGTAGGGGGAGGGAGGGGAATAAATTACATATATAAAAGAGTAATATCTTTTGATATCAATTTTAAAAAGAATAAATATTATCTACAATTGAGGTTTACCCACCCAGTTTAGCTAATTTATAATACTTTAAATTAATTGGAAATTAAAATTTACATTGATGATATTGACAGATTCTAGTTAGATCATAAGGCTAGGTTATTTTTGGGTTTGTGAATATTAAAGCTAAATGGCTTAGGTATTATTGTAAAGTAGATTATTAAATGTAACGTTTCGTAAAATTAAAGCATTTTTCAAATCATTAATAAGTAAAAGAAGTACGTTTTAAGGACCATATAACCCTCTACTAAATTTAACATTATTCAAATAAACTTATTTTAAAGGTTATGAACTTATCTAAAATCCTATTTTAAATTAATCAAAATAACTAGAATAGGAGTCAACATTAATATTAGAAATAGTTATGTTAGTAAATCCTTGAATGATAGTTGGACATGTTTAGAGGAAGTAAAATTATTGGTTATTTACTTATTAATATGATATATTTAAATGAAATGTTTCTAAAGTTTTTATTTTTTATAGTAAACTTGACTTTAAAACTAAAGGTTTTAAAGTTTAACATACGGAATTTATAGATGGAAATATTATCTACAATTCTAATTCTTTTAAAGCTATTTCGTTTAAACCTACTAATGCTAGATCTAAATTACTTTCACCAACAATTATGTTATCAAAATAGTTAATTTCTGTTATCATATTAATATTCAATGGATCATCATAAGTTCCTCTTCCAATATTGTTTTTAATATCTTAGCATACCGCATATATAGTTGTAATCTTCTTAAAATAGCAAGATTAATCTCCTATTTTGCATAAAGTGCACCTAAATCTTTCTTTATCATACCTTATTTCATAGTCTTAAAAATTTGTTAAAATGCTTTAACTGGCTGTGCTTAGCTATGTAATAGTTTTGCATGAATAGCATTTTGTTTAGTAGATAGAATATGTATTATCAAAAATATTGCTAGACTAGTCACATGTTTCGCATCTATTTTTTTAAAATTGTAAATAAGAAAATAAAATCAAATAAATTAATTAATTACAGATAAGGACAAATTTAGCAGGAACCTTAACCTATAGAAAGTGTACTAATCTAAATATCTTCAGGTATTTAATTTTATCCAAAATAAAACTACCCCAAAAATAAAGATATTTATGAAATTGATTAGAGTATTGCTGTTTGATTGCATTAAAGACAATAAAACTTATTGGTTTAAAACACACAGCTAGCACATAGCTAGCCACATGGAAAAAGAGTACATATTTTGAGAATAGGATCAAAGTAGTATCCTTGCTAGCAAGAGCTGCAAAAAGATTATGCTTTTAGGATAGTTTTATAATTTAATCGAGTATTAACGTCATATGTTATAGATCCAAATATAATATTTGCAGTTATATTAAACTTTCTCTGCTAATCATCATATCCTATTTCATAGCATTAAGCGCATCCATCTAAACATTTCACACATCCAAGAAGAGTTGTCATATAATTAGCTTATTAACATTCTACACAAGTAAATAGTTAAATTACGTTGCTGTTATTCTATAAATTTTAGTAATAGCATTTATTACATCCAGAAACCTATTTAATTAAAATTTTTTTTTTAAAAATAAAAACCCCAAAAACTTAAATAAACTATTAAAATATCATTAAAATTGATCTTTTCTAGAAAAAATAAAATAATACAGCTTAAATACACTTGATATTTGAATCACACACTTTATTTTTTTAATCAAGAGCAAAAATTTAGCAAAGTTAGCAAGATTTGTTATCAGGTAAAAATTTCAAACATCTGTTATCTAGAATATTTCCATTTTTAGAGCAAATTTACTAATTCGGTGATAAAATATAATTATCTTGGCAGTAGGCACAAATAAGAGCAGAATTACTAGTTGAACCATTTTAGTAATAAGCAAAATTGTAAATTAAGTCAAACTAGCTTGTCTATTTATTAATTAAAGTATGTAATTGGCAATTTAATATTGATTAACCACAATCACTTCCTAATATTTAAGTTTTAAAAATTTAATATTCATGCTTTTTATTTTTAATATTATACCATTTGTTTAAATAGTTAGTTATGGGTTTATACAACTCAAACATTGCTTGAAAATTTTTAATGCTTAGTATTCATTTTAATTCAGCTAAACATTACTTTACTATCCAATATTATAGTAGTTATAACCATTTGCTATTAATTAAAAATAAATGATAAAAAGATGATTAATTAATAAAAAAATAAAATTACTGTATTAACAGGATGCACAACCCGTTCCGCACTAATCACAAGATATTAAATCGTAAGATATGATAGAATTATTTTTGCAAATCTAACATAAAGGATATAGTTAAGTAGAATCTAAAGTTAATCTTAAATCAATAGAGAGTTCATAATAGTAGATTTTCTTTCCATAAATATCTAGTGTACCTAATTCACATTATAAGCAAGTAGAATTACACTTCTGACATTAGTATTACAAATCCAAATAAAAGCCTAATACACATTTTTGACATACTTAAATATCCAAACCATTATTGAATTTAGTAATACAGGATTAGCAATTACTTTATGTGCCTAATAATGTAATTATATAAATTTGAATGCTAAATAAATTCTATAAAGAAAATTACATAACTAAATAGGAACTATATAGTATTAAGGATATATAATCTTATTAGTTACATTTCTATTTTAGATTTAGTAACTAGTGGTGTTTGGAGGTAAATTTTCAATTTAAAGTAAGCTTTAAGCTTAATCTATTTAAAAATTCAGCACAACTAATTCACAATTCTTTGATAGGATTTAATTGTTATTCCTTTAAAATTTTGTTTTATTTTAAATTATTTGATAAAAGGTATAAAAAAATATATTAATTTACCAAAACCCCTATTCAAGATTACAATCAAGACACTTTTAACTTATCTGAATTGTTCCTTAAGGAATCCGATAGGTATATGGATAAGTAATTATATTATTATACAAATAATTGCATTTAATACATTAAACACTTTTGTCTTAACTTTAAAACAAAAAATAACCCTCTGTGCACTTAGTACAAAAATTCAAATCCTTACACGAGTAGCATCTTTATGGTGAATTATAAAATAATAATAAAAATATATTTTCAAATGCTAAGTAATATTTATTACCCAATTGGACATTTATTCTTCATATTCGAAAGGCAAATCTACCCTTAACATAAGTCTTCAACAATGTAAATAAGATTTAGTTAAAAAATTGAATTTATTTATTGCTAATTGCTGCTATCTCTTTCCTTAAAAGTTAAGCATCTATCGTCGCCTACATTTAAAAAATTTTATGGACACCTTTGACATTAAAATGATTTGTTTGCTGTGCTTTGCAATACACATTCATTTTATAAACTAGCACACAAAAAATTTGTATCACCATTTTATTAGTTCATATCTATTAAAATGCAAGGTAAATCAGGTCTAATTTGCTTCAGACACTAATATTTTTCCATTTTCATATCTTTGAATGGGATACAAATGTGTCTGACGTTATCTAAGCAAAAATTTTGAGGACAAACCACACATTTTCCAGAAGACACCTAAGCACAAAGTCCTACAATTAATACCATAGTAAATCAATAAATTAAAAGTTAAATATTAATAAATTACTCATTAAAATAAAAAAAAATAAATAAATTACCTTATGAATCTTAGCAATAGCTTCCTATAGGAGTACAAATTCCTGTTTGAGCTATAAGATTAGTAAGATTTAAACACTAGGAAAAGCTGCAACTACCACAATTATTTGGGTCTAATGAACAAGATCCATCTGGATTAGAGCATTTATATTAGCCTGAAGGATCTACATTAACACAAACTTGTCCCATCTATGTTATGCTAGTGCAAGACATATCTTTAAAGCATTTAACCTGATTAATTAAAAGAATATTAGTTTAAATATATATATATATAGAGAAAGAGAGAAATTAATAATAATTAATAAAATATATTCTTATTTAGTAATATTACTTTCAAAAAAATTTTTATGTAAAAAATATTCAATCTGGTTCAAAGATTTTTTATTTTACAAAAATATTTTAAAATGTTTATTTTTATCGGATTAAAAAATTTCCTTAATTAATAAAAATCAACAGTATATACTGAAAATAAGTCAGCTTAGCATCAATATAAATATAAACTAATTAGATAATTTAAAAGTAAAAGTATCAAAAATAATTACTGCAACAGATTAGTTAATTCCTAAACAATTCCCATTTATATCAACACCTTTTTATTTATTTATTTTTTTGATTTTGTTTATAAAGAAATTAGATTTAATTAAATTATTTTACCTACAGCATTTTTAGATATGTCAATATCCAGTTAAATACATTAGTATTTACCAAAAGTTTAAGATATACAATAGCTTTTATTTATTTATTTATTTTTAGTTAAAAATTTAATTTTGTTTATTTTATTTTTATTTATTTTACCCATCTAAGCATTGCTAAATTTTTTTCTTAGTAATTTGTCCTTTTAATAAGCATTTAGAAGTTTAATACTCACTTCCAATATATTGAGAGTTCAAATTTGTGCATTAATTTTAAAATAAGCAATAGTCTTTTTTGCAATATTGAGCATAATATGTATTAGCCCCAATACATATTTAAGTGTTTTAATCTCTTCCTATAAAATTGTTATTTGGGTCATTTAAAGATACACACTATCCACTAATGAGACATAACAAAGGTTCAGCACAACTAATTGAATTAGCTACAAAGAAATAATAAATATAACTAAAACAAAAGCACAATAAAAGATATACGTTAATTAATTTGCTAACAAAATCCACTAGTATTTTTAGATGCATATGTATATTAACTAGGAATTATACCATCTTAAACAAATGGATAAAATAGCTATTTACAAGTTTGCTAATTACTTATTAAAATGATAAATAAATAAATCTGAAAAATTTAATGAATGTTATTTACTTAATATTTAAAATGCAGTATTACGGCCCATAGCAAAGAAGAATAGCTTTTAATTAATTAATAAATATTAAAATAAAATATTAAAATTTGAAGTTATTTACAATTAACTAATTAATCTGCAAATAAGCATCTCTCTGTTATACTTTCTACACCTATAAAAGGCTGCTAATAAAATTAGAAAGTATTGCCATATTAGATACAGTAATCTGAATAAGAATATTATGGATATTCAGTATACAAACAATATCCATCTGCACAAATATCAATATTTTGACCATCAAAATCACTATATGGTAAACAGTTTGAAGTATATGTTTCTCTTGCAATTCTTAAATCAGACAAAGTAGAAGACAAATCCATACATGAATAATTTATTTATTCTATACAATATTTTCCTTTTTTGCATCTAAAATTATTATTATTCCAAAAAATATTTCCTTTATTTATCTAAAATCATTTGAAAATCAATACTTAAATTTTTTTAAAAGTGTTAAGATAAAAGGCTTATAGAATATTTTGAAATTACCTAACAGCTTGTGGCTCAGCCCTTTAAAGACAATTTCCTTATTAATCTATTCCTATGTAAACACTATCAAAAGGGATACAAGAAAAACCTGTCCCATTTTTAAGTAGACAGCTCTGATCTGAACACAAATATATCTCTTTTTTTAGAAAATATTTTATTTAATTTCTTTGAATTGTAAAATCTTTTTTTTACGATCATAAACTTTTTGTTATTAAACGCAAGTACCATTTGGTTAAATACCCTAGAAATTATTAAAATAATAAAGTTTATTTTAATGCTTTTAAGTAAAATAGTACAATATTGTAAAATGAGAAGTCTGTAATCTTAGAGCATATGTTATTGTATTAATCAAGACATATAGATTTATTTGTAAAAGGATTATCTTTAAAGCATTCAATTGAAGTTATCACTCCTAACTAATTGCATTGACCATTTTATAGTTTTGCAGGAAAACTTAAAGATAATTGAGCGCATGTACTGTTTAGTACACAATATCTAATCATAATCATATAATATTTTGTTAAATAATCAATAATTTATCAGTTTAAATGTATTAGTTTACCCCGGTTTACAATAAGGAGTAGCTGTGGAATTTTAGTTTACTTATAAGCAATAATAACTAGATGGATCTATACCTGCATAAGTATTCTAAGCAAGAATACTATTTACAATCTATGTATTAGAGTCAATGCAATACAATGGTTTGAGAATTTAAGCATTTACTTTTTTAAAAAGAGATTTTAAACTATATCAAAAAATGACTTTCTATAGTTATTTTGATTTGTGGTTTGATTTTGATTTAAATTAATTCAAGTTATAAAAAATTTTTGTGGTATTTTATATAATGTTTATTATGGTATTTTACTAAGGAATTATAAATTTTTTGAATTTATATTTATTCTTACATAACATCTACTTTTCTTTAAAAAACAAATGCTAGGTTATTTTAGCATTAGAATTATTTAAATTAGCAATGATAAATTATAAAGAAAAAGAAAAGAAAACTCAAACACATAATAATAAATACTTGATGCAACATATTTATTTATCTCTGCGCATAAATATAAACCTTTTGTTTAATCTGAGCTCTTCATTAATCCAACATATGGGCTAGTAGGATCAGTTTCAGCTAAATAGTCAACACATTAATTCTATGAAGAATTCAGGCAAATTTAATGAAATATGGTGTACCAGCACTAAGCTGAATTACTTACTGAAGCTTCTTTGTTTTTTAAACATGTTTAAGATACAGAATCTCTCCCAACAAAATTTGTTTGACTGTAATCTATACAATAATTAGAACTAATGCATTCACTACTAGATGGAGATCTACATTAATTAGTTTAAGATGTTGAGTTAAAAAAGCTGCATTAGCTTGTTGGGCATAGCTATTAGTTGCTTAGTTTAAAAAGTAAAGAAAAAATAGCAAAGATTATTTTATAATAACTCATTCTTCAATCTTTTAATTGTTATTAATTGTTAATATAATTTAATTTTTGATTTGCTTACTCAACAATCTATTTCTTAATCAAAGTAAAAATTTTTTTATTTTTCAATTTATTATCATAAAAAAATTGGATTTTTAATTTTGATACTTTTAATTAAATTATTGATTTTCTTTATCTAATTCAATTCAAAGAAAAGTATTATTAAAAAATTAAGTAACTTTAACTATTTATTATTTTTTGCTGATCCTCAAAGTCTATTAATATTTCAGAAGAAAACTCTACTGCTTAAATCTGAGTATAAATACAGTAATCACTATAATTAAGTATAAGAAAGGAAAACTAATTACTAATAAAAAAGCATTATCATTGAAAAGTTCATTCATCGTTTTTATTTACTTTATTTATATTTTCATAAATTTATTTTTTTATTATTATTATAAAAAATAATAATTTTTGATTAAAATAAATTCAATTTACAGATTTTATTTTTTTATTTAATAGAACTTAAATAATTATTTTAAATATAAAATATGTATTCTATATAGTGGATTATTTGATAATAAATTTGATTTTAATTTTTATTTTAATATTTTTTTAATTAAATTATTTAATATCATATTTTTAATTTATAATAGATTGTTAGTTTATTATATAATATGCTTAATTATTTATATAAGAAAATATTAATTATTTTTTAAACAAATAATCACCAATTTCTTTGAGAAATATATTAAAAATTTTTTAAAATTAATGTAATTTATTTTTTACCCCTTCCTTTTCTTAAATATTCTTAAGAAAAAAAGAAGTATTTAGTTAGTTTCCTTTATAAATTAAATGAAAGTATATTGAAATCATATCAAATAATTTATTTTTATGCTTATAATCAAATTAAAACAATAATACTTATTATTTATTAAGTTTTTGATTTAATAAATTCAAAAGCTTACACTTAAAAATTCTAAAAATAAAGCTAAATTAATTTAAATATTTTATTAATATACTTATATTCAAAGCAACTAAAATAAAATTAAAAGCAATACAAAATAAAATATTATTTATCAAATTTTTGCTTATTCGCTTATTACTCTTGTTGTTTAATTCCTTCTTTGATTATAAATTTACATCAATTTATTTTTAGAATCTTTATTCTATAAATTCTATTTAAAATTTATAAATTTCATATTAGAAAGTATTTTTCTCAGTTTATCCCATTATACTTATGCTTTCAGTCTTCTTTCTACATACTTATCCAAATTAAATAACTTAACTACAAATTTAAATTTTGATGATATTATTATTTGTATAGTTTTTACTAATTTTGGCTTATAATTAAACTATAACTATGAAAATGTTATAACCACAGTAAGTAATACTAGGCAAACAAGAGCTATAGTGCATGTCAGTTGAAGTTCTCTCTGATCCAATCTGAATTATATTGAGTTCAAACAAAAACATATTGCAGTCAGGCATTAAATTCTAAAGTCCAAAACATTTAATTTCTCATTGACATAAGGATTAACTATTTAAGTTTAAAACAATTTTAGTTAAAAAATTTATATTTATTGAAATAAAGCATAGAAAATGAATAATTTTTTAGAAAAATAATGAAAAATTGTAATTTTAGATATAAATATATTTTTTTAAATAATTCTTGCTTTTTGAAACTTAAAAAGAAGTTTTAAAAATTATCTGAATTAAACATATTTTAAAATAATTACAATTGTAAGTTAACAGAGTGTATGTTAATGACACTAGGATTGACGTGACTATCTATAACTGAGTAGGTAAATATGAAAATTGCATGATAAACAAAAGAAAAATTTTATAAATTAGCCTGACTAAATCCCATAAGTAATACTCTTATTTATATTCATAAGTAAAGAATCCAAATAAAATCTAATTTTGATAAGTTTTTATCATAAATCTCCTTTAGTAGATTTTAAACACAAAATATCCATAAAATATTAGTAAAGCTGTAAATACTAATGCTAAAGCTATCAAGTTATATGCATTATTATTTTATAATTCGCTACATGAAATAGATAAATACTCAGTTACAAAAAGTTGATTGTCAAACACCTAGCAATTTAACTTTAACAAAAAAAAGTATTAAAATATTTATTTTGTTTTAATTTAAATAAAAACTTACAGATCTAAAAATTTTGGAGAATATCGTACTTATTGAATAGTAGACAAATATACTTGTAGAGAGTATAAAATGATTTAAATATTTGTTACCGATAAATTTTTAAAAAATAAAGGTGTAGCAAAGCCCCAAGCAAAGTATATTTAAAATATTTACCACTAATAAGAAGTAAATACCTTTAAAAATTATACTAATTTCTTGCAGAATCTAAACTAAAAAGCACTCAGACATCCTTAATCTATCACTAAAAAGATTACCGATATCAATCAATAGTTAAGACACAAATTTTGGGATATTAGAATCATAAAAAAACATTATTCCGATTAAAGATGATTAAAAGATCAAAATTTTGATTACACTAAACACATTTAAGGTATCGTAACCATAAAATTTTTTGTAAAGTAATAAGTAAACCACTTTTGTCATGATCTTAAAGTTAATTTAATCCTTCAATCTTTAAGCTAAATAGATTGATATAATGAATGCCAAGATTGATATTATCAAAGGATAAATGACTTCTGTAAATTTTATGCTGCTGCATCTATTAAATTTTAAAAGAAGTTTTGTTAAAATTAAAAATATCCATCAAAATAATTAATTACCTTGAACATTTTTAGTCCAATTTCATGAAATAAGCTTCACCCCAATATTCTCCACTTCTATCACAATCTTCGCAAAGTGCTCCTACATATCCTAATTTATATATGAAAATAACAATAAGTTAATAAGCCAAAAAAAATTACCTTATTTGCAATAGTAACTCATATCTTAGTGTTTAGGTGAAAGTTAGCCAGTTTATCCTATTTAACTAATTTGAATATCTCCTACACAATTTTTACATGGGTATAAAACTATTGATTATTAATTAACTCTCCATAAATTTGAAGGTAAAAAGATCATATCTCTATAACATTTAACTGACGAATCGGGGCACGATTAACATTAGTTTGCTATACTAAAGCTATATTAAGTATCTTTACAGTCTTAACACTAATCATAATTTTATTCAAATTTTATAGGTATCTAGCCAGTTAGGCAATTTTGAGCCATATCTATAACAATAATTAATGAATAATTTCGATAACCAATTAAGTATTAGCTTGAATTGAATATGGGAATTAAAATTAAATCGCTTGTAACTTAGAGCTTAAGTTACTAATTGAAGTTTCCATAAACTTTAATTTACTGAGTTAAATTAAATTCACCATTTGAACTATAAATTTTATTCTAACTTAAGTAACCATTTCCTTCTAATATGGCTATTTAAAGAAAGCTATATTTAGGAATATTCAAAATTTCTTAATTCTAATCACTACACAATCTTAAAATTATATCTTCCTATTTTTATTAAAAATATTTATTCTGAGAAGGTTAAATATTTAAAAAAAATTAATTTATTTTATATTTAATATTTTTAACTTTTATGATTTAACTAATCTAAAAAAATTTTACCTAAATTTATCCTCCCATATGATTGCTAATCAGTACTATTTGTTAAGAAGAATAAAAATATTGCAGCTTATAATTAATGTAAATATTTAATTATGTTGGAGAGGTAAATATATTATTTCCATAATAGTTAGCCCTATTAAATGAGTAAGTATTGTTTAAGTATCTATTCACACTTTAGCCTGTGAGTGAGGCTATTGCACCTCCATTTTGGGACATATTCTCCAAAAATATATTGTCTGTTATTTCAAGCTAGTTTTTTAAGATCTATTACTTTTCATTTTCGATATAAATAGCACCACCATTTAACATTGCAATATTACTTTCAAATGTTGATTAATTTATGAGCATTGAACTATTTTTTAAATATATTGATCCACCATTAATCATGGCTTTATTATTTTTAAAGAGAGTGTTTTGGATAAATATTGGGGGTAATTAATACTGAGTATTTTAGAATTACTAAGCATACAAACCTGCACCAAATTATGCCACATTATTTTCGAATATTGAGTCTAAAATTATTTATTCTTAAGAGATAATTTAAATTGTGCCATGAGAACAAGAATTGCATTTATTGTTAAATGTATTTAATTTATAAATTTTACAATTTAAGCTTTAAAAAAAGACTGCATTTTGTATTTGGATATTTTAATTAGGTAAAGTTAAAGTATTGTTAATATTGTTATTGTTACTTATTGTGTTATTATAAATATTTATACTAATTGCTTAAGTGACTGTCACAAGATTTTCTAAAAAGATACTTTCATTATAAATGTTATTTAACTCTGAGTAATATTAAGTATTTAGGACAAAAAGGATCTTCTAAAATATGTAATTATTAATTTAATTTAAACTAATATTCTCAACATTATTGCATGAAATTTTAAATTAAGAATTCTCTATTTAAATTTCTTAAGTATTTTATATTGAAAATAAAGAATTTCTAGTGGAGCTTATTTCACTCATATAGATGTCTGTAAATAATGGATTTAAATTTAAAAATGAATTAATCATCGCCTCTATTTAATTTAATGATTTAATGTATTATAATACAACAATTGTTTTTGAAACAGTAGAACTATCTATGTTTAAATTACTACCTTATAGTGAAAAATTATTGTTAAATACAACATTTTCAATGAATATAGCACTCCTTGGTTTTATAGAGGTTAGTATATGTATGGCTCCGCCTTTAAAAGAAGCAAAGTTAGATAAAAAAGATGATTAGTAAATAAAGATATCATAACCCAAAGATTGCTACCCATCTATGTATAAAGCTCCACCTTTTGCTTCTAAATCTGTGTTACTATATGCAATGTTATTGCTAAATGTACAGAATTTAAAATATAAACTTCCTTTATTTTATGAAATCCAATATAAAGCTCCTCCATTTAATGCTTATCCATTAAAAAAGTGTGAGTTATCAGCATTGAATGTTTCACTTTAAATAAATACGAAACCTCCATTTTTTTAGTTATCTAAATTTACTGATTAGTTTTAAAGAATAGGATTGGTGAAATTAGAGTCAAATATATGAACCTATTTCACCTAGCCAAATATCCAACTAAAGGGACTATTTAAATCTTAATTAATGAAACTCGAATTTTTGAATACAACAGTTATTGTAGGAGATTAAAAATAGAAGCCTAAAGCAATTTGTCCGATTGGTTTCTAAAATTTAAAAAATATTAAATTAAAAAAAATATACACAATTAATCTTAAAGATACCTATTTTGTCAGAGTTTAAACCTGGTAGTTAGAAAAGGTTACATTAGAGATTAATATTTATAAATCTTATTTTGAATTTATTGATATGGGTGAACAATACTATGCATTTTTTGAGAAGTAAAGTTTGTTTTAGTTGCTTTATATATTACTAATAAAAATTCCTTATAAAGATGACTAATTTTAATTTGAGAAAACATGATTTTTTAAGCAAGTGTAGCTGTCTTCAATTTAAATGATATTCTTTTATATGCTAAGACCTTATTGTTAAATATCATAAATATTTACATAATTAAAAATGGAGTATAATTTGCAAATTATTGGAGCCATAAATTGGTTTGAAGTCTAAGTTTAGATAACTTTTGAGATAGAAATACTTTCAAAGTTATTAACTTATAAAAATTAAAATTCTATGTTATCTTCCATAGAAACATTAAAAATTTAGATCGTCTATAAGTTTTCTAGCGTTATTAATATTTGAGTTAAATCCATTTAGAAAATATTGTTATTAATTATTATGGTACTAATTTAAGTGTTGCTATTTAAAAAAGTTTTAAAATTAAATAAGATATAATTATTATTAATAAATTAGTTATTTTAAATTGTTATTTATTTCAGTATAGATTACTGTATAAAATTTTTAGAATATGATTGACTATCCTATTGCTAGAGAAAGCTATAATTAGTAACATTATTTTTTATTATTTAAAATCCATTTAAATTAAATGTATTTGACATAATTAAAGGAAATGCTTAAGTATTTTGTTATTAAAGAATGTTTTGACTTAATAAGATATTATTTATTATTAATTAGTTCATAAAATTTGAATTTAAGATTTATGAACCCAGTAGAATCTAACACTATAAAAAAGAAATACCACTTAGCTAAGCATTTATCTATTAAATTGTAATATAATTAGGTTAGATATCAAAAACAATAGCTCTATTAATTAAGACTGATTATAGAAATGTTAAATTTTGAGTGTTCAATCTAATATTTGGCATATTCAACTAAATTATAGATGACTAGTTAAAATTTACCTAATTAATCAAAACAAACACTAAATTAATATTTTTTAATTTATTTAAAAATAGAAATAAATAATTATTTATTAAAATACTCCCTTCCTCCAAAACTTTAATATAAATAACTTCCTTTGTATATTTTTGCGTTTGTGTGAAGGGGAGGGAGAAAAAATATGATATTAATTTTATTATTTTTTGATATTAAATAAATAAAATATATTTAAATATTACATTTTAGAAAATAACTTAATCAAGGGTAACATTTAACTAGGAATTTAAATTTTGATTAGTATTCATTTCAATTAGCTATCTCTAGCTTATAATTTATATATTTAGAAACTAGACTTGCTATAAGACTATGTTTGTCTACTGTAGAGTTGAAAGTTGAAGTGCAAAATATTACTGAATGGTTTTCGAGCTTTAGGAAGTAATAAGCTAATTAAACTAACAGTTAAATAACTAAAAATCACTTAAATTTTAATTATTAACAGATAGTCCAAATACACTATTAACTTTTTACTATTAAAATTAAATATTACTTACAGAGACTTAATTGAAACCTGTTATGTTGAAAGTATTATTTTATTAAAATACCATCATATTGTTTGGTTTAGTACCAATCGATGTAATATTAAGTATAGCTAATTCAAGTGATCTTATTTTGTCTTTTAAAGTAGTTATGAATGATTGTGTACTTTGTTCTAAACAAATATCATCTAAGAATATTAACTATACCTCTAATTACTTTACTTAAAGTTCATTGTAATAAATTATTGCTTGATCATAGTCAATTTCATTTAAAATTAACTAATCTATTCCTATTTCATTTAATCTATTGTAGTTAAGAGGATTCTAAAATGATCCATCACCTTTACGACTATTTATATCTAAACATTAGATATAAACAGTTTACTATTTTTTAAAAAAGCAACCTTACTCTGTATTTTAACACAGGTAACACTTTCTTCTTTCTTTGTCATAAGTTATTTTGTATTATTCTTGAGTGGAGCTTGTAGGTAATGAGTGTTTACAAGATAAGCATTAGGCATCGTATAAATATAGAGGATTTACACTTATGTCTTTGGTATTAACACAAGTTTCACACCTTTTAATTTAACACAAAATATAAATATTTTTTTTAGTAAATCAAAGTATAAGTTACATCAATGGGCAAAGTTGGCAATCATTACCTGCAGATGTTAAAGAAACCAAATTTTTAATGTCAGGTAAATTATTAAGATTATAATAAAGCATTCCAATAAAATATGATTAATAGGAAATTAACGAGGATAATAAATCATAGTTGCATTGAATACATTAAGGCTTATTATTTATTAAGATACACTGCAAGCAATATTATCCACATTATAATTTTACACACAATTTTATCTCTTAGTCAAATTAATATCCATCTTAACATTCTGTGCAAATCAATTAATAGTTTGTTTGTGATGTGTTATAGTTTAATCTTTGCTAGATATTCAAATTATTTCTTTTGTAAATAAGCTAAGATGTAAAATTAAATGTTCGAGTACCTTTATTTAAAATTATTTTAAATTTAATAATATTGATAATAATAATAAATCTTTGAAGATAAAAACTCAAAGTTTTTAAAAAAATATTTAATCTCATTCATATACTTTAGTATTTAATAATCATAAATTTAGATTTTAAAGATTTTTTTGATAATTTTATTAAATTGATTGTTTATAAGAAGATTTATTTTATTATTATTAAATAGTTTTATAGATATCATTAAAAATCTAAAACTGAAATGAAAAATAATAGATTCTTTTCATACCTTCATAACATTTAGAACATCCTTAGGGACAACTTATACAGCCATTTATCGATGGAATACTAAGTTTATCTTGACACCTGGTGCATTGATATATACTTTAATTTGATAAAGGATCTAAATATTAGTAGCATTCTGAGCAACTATTAATCTATTTATAAATAATTATTTTAAATAATATTTAATTAAAGAAAGTTTACATTCTCTGAGCACATACTATATTAACATTTTTTAGGAAGTGTAGCTAAATTAAGAACATATCCATTACTACAAAATTGGCATTCAGGAAAGTTTTAAATGTTAGTAGAGCAATAACTGCATTTATTTTACTAAGTTATTTATTAACATCCAAAGCTACACTTTGACTAATCAATAGTTGCAAAATAATTTAAACTACATTATTTGCAAATAAATTAACTCTAACTAATATGTGTTGCAGAATTATAAGTCCATAAATATTCAGTTAAGTCATACTTTTAAGATCCATATGTTACTAATTAACTTGTATAATCACAATTTTATATGTTTTGAAAGCATTATTTACCTAGTTTCAAAAAAAGCAAATTTATTGTAAAAGTATATAATAATTTAAAGAAAAAATACCATCGTATGATAAAAAGTATCCTTAATTGCATTATGTACATTTTTAAATATAGTTCATTTAGTTAAATTCAGTTTAACTTATTATTCTTAATTTTTTTTGATTAAAATTTAGAACTTTTTCTTAATTTTCTATTTAAAAAATAGATAAATTAACCAAATATTATAAATATTATTTACCGTATTAGCATCTCTGACAATTATTACCACACTACAAACATGATTATAAATCATATGAAACCATGTATGTTTATTAACATTATTGACAAATAAGAATGAAATTATAATAGTCCAATTAAGTAGGATCATAGTTTATCTCTGAAATCAACTATGCATAACCAGACATGAATGTAGCATATTGGCAGTATTAACAATTTAATGGACACTAAAAGCATGATCCATCTCTTAAAACATATCCAATATTACATTATGTGCATATTGCTATGCTTGCAGATTTCTAAATACATGATTAACATTAAGAAGGGCCTAAAAAATTAATAGTTAATTTAAATTTATTTTGCTAAATGTTTTACACAAAGATGACAAATAGGGAACTAATTTATACTTGCCAGATATGAGCTGAACTTAAAAGTTTGTGGCATATAGCGTATTCTCTAATACTTAAAAACCAGAGTCATATTAAACTAAATAATTTGTACATGTCTTAAAGTTACTTTCAGATTTATTCCTAATTTTATTAAAGTTGATAAAAATATTTATTTCATTAAAAAACTAAAATTTCAAAATTACTATTTTTAAAATCTAAAAATAAAAAAATTAATTTATTTGATTAAATAAATGAATGCCAAAATAATTATTAGATTAAGTTAATTATTTGATAATATTTTTCAAAATATTTAATATTTGATATAAAATGAAAAATTTTACCATAATCCATATTCTGATAAGCAATCTATACATTTGTATGTTGGAATATTCTAGTAAAATTGCTAAACTTGAGTATATAAGTAAGTGTATGAGTTGCATTTAATACAAGTTTGCTAAGTAGAAGATATTTGATATAAAAAATAGCCTTATTAACATTAGTTACAAAATTCAGGAGAAGAACATGAGTAGCATCTATTTAAAAAAATTTTATACTAATAAAAAATTAATGAAAATAATACCCTATTGGACACTTCTAATTTGAATCTTTAAGGCAAAACTATTGATCATAGCAATCTTATTTTACATAGGTAAGATGCATTTCAAAAAAAATCTACTAGGAATTATTATTTATAATTGATATTTCTTTTAGACTATAGCACCTATCATTTCCAGGATTAGTATAGTGCTTAGGACACATTAGACATTATTAATTTTTTTAAGCAATTTTCTAGCAAAAACCATTTGAATTTGTGCAAAAAATATCTCCATTTTTGTCTGGGTTATCAATATTTTATTAAATGCACTTATTATTTTAGTTTTGAGATTATGTAAAGCAAGAATTTCCAACTAAAAGACTCAATAAGTAAGTACCAGTTAAACAATTACCATCACCATTAATATCGCAGTAATTATCAGGGCAAATAATACAATTTTAAATATCTAAGTTTGTACAAAAACCTATATTTTATGAAGTAGATTTATTTTAAAATATTTAGTTTGTTTAATTTAAAATAAATAAATAAATCTTAATTATTAAAGGTTTGATAACATTTTTATTTATTTAAGTCAGTTAGATAAATTAAATTCTGAAAAATTGAGTAAATTTAAAAATAATTAATTTACCATTTTTGTCTGTACAAAAAATAGCTGTAGGCTAAATGAGATCTTAACAAACATTAGATTAAGTAGTAGATAAGCATTAATCATGATCACAACTATAACATGAGCCATTAAATGTACATATTCCATTTTAATCTACACACATATTTTAAGTTATATCTATTCTTTAACAAGCTTAGGTTTATAAATTTAAGCAAAATCTTTATGTTGCACACTAAACCTAATTTAATTTATTTTATATATTCAATAATTTAAGAATAAATAAATTATTTTACAGCTATTGTTTCATTTTATTTAATACATTTTAAAGTATCCTTCTGTATTCCTTTTTTACATATAATTTTTAACTTAAAATATTACCAAATAAATAAAATTAAAATAATACCTATTGTTAGAGGATTGGTAAAATCGAGCTTGTTACATGTACCTAAACCATTTGAATCTACTAAAATACAATAACTTATTTTTAAAATAATAATAGTTATTCTTAAATAATTAAAATTTAACAATATGGGTTATAAAAAAAGAAAGTTAAAATATAGATATAATAATAATTTATTGGAGTAAATAGTAATTTGTATTTAAAAAATATTATAAATTCTCATTAAATAATGACTCCTCAATATTAGGAGGGGGAGGAGAGGGGTAAGTTTTAGTTTTAAAAAAAGGAAAGAGAATATTTTTCAAAAAAATTTGTTAATGAGAGTATACGATATTTAGGAATATACAAATTTTATCAAATTAATAACTTAGGGGAATGTATTTTACAAAATCTCATCATATTAATAACATTGATTATTGATCAGTTTTTTTAAATTTAATTCCCTTATCTCTTAAATAAAACATTAATTTACCCATTTTTATAACAATTAGAAGCTCCGTATTTGCGAGACTCACCTTATTAAAGACATGAATGAGTGTTTTTTTCTTTTCCTGGATAGAGATCAGATAATGGGATACAGGCTCCTTAAAATATACAGAATTCCATTTGACATACACTAGCAATAGAGACATTTTAAGGCATGCACTATTAAGTATTTTAATCTCTACCAATTTTGTTTATCTGTGTTGCATCATTCATTTCTTAGCATTTATTTGCATCACTAGAATTAATGCAGTACATTCCATCCATGCATCCTATGCTATTTGCTATATTAATTTAGAAAACTATAATATCTTATTTAAGTAGAATTTTATTAAAATTACGCATATTCAAATCTTAGCACATTTAATTAGAATTCTTTGCTCTGTAAATTAAATTAGGAAAGTTAGGATCAAAATCCTAAACTATTTGACATTTTTAAAATCCTGTGCTTTTTTAAAAAAAATGAATTAACTATCAAAATAAAATAAATAAGTGATTACGATATTTAGAGAATACAAAATGTCATCCCAAAGCATGAAACTATTTCTATTATAAAAATATTTCATAATAAAGATAAAAATTTGAATAAAATTTACAAGTAGAAGTTATTTAATCCTGAAAAACACATTATTAATTTATATCTATTCCAACAATAAAAAAGCCTTTAGCAACCGTTCCTTCATTAACGCAATAATCTTAACTAAAGTTAGGATCAGTAAATAAGCATGTCCCCAAAACACATGTTTCGATTTAATCTCCATTTCCATTAGGATCATAATAAGGTAAGCAATAACCTGTATTTATTTATCTGGCATATTTATTTATTGATTTTGATAGAACTAAAGCTGAACAAGCATTTCCATTTTAAATGTCTAAGCAAAATTAACCCTTTATACATCTATTAAATTTAATATTATTTTATTGTTGAAAGCTAATTATTTCAAAAGTAAAACTAAACCTAACACTATTTGGTTCATCAATCTGTTTGCAATATCCATTTACATCAACTCCAATCCTATTCTAACTGGAGTCTAATGGAAAACAGCCTTCATATGAATTTGGATCAGAAGGATTTTATTTTTAGATACAAAAATTGATTGAGCAACTTATAATTTCTATTATTATGAAATAATAAATATAATTAATCAATAATTTTAATCAATATTTTTACTGGGATAGTATGAGGAATTATATGCACATTAAGAATTGTTTACTCTACCCTTTAAATAAAAAAATTAATTTAAAATATTTATATATTATAAATTTTATAATGGATACTGATCTACTAGGTTGTGTATCATTAATATAGTTACAAGTTTGTGCAACTGGATCAAAACATACATTTTTATCAGAGCTACATTCTATGCTAACAGCTTAGCCAGCTTGTAAACATTAATTTTGAGCATTTCTTCCCACAAAATTTTAATTAAAATAAATACATGTGTTTTAAATTTAATCTATGCAAAGTCTATTTAAAATATAAATTAATTTGAATAGTTATTATATAATTTTTAAGTTGTAAGTTACCCTGTATAGCATTAAATTATTTAATTCTAGGGAGTTTGATTTAAATTTAAACATAAGTATTTGAAAGAATCTACTCCAACATTAGTTGTATTGTCCAGTTATCTTATAAAACCATTTGAATCTTAACAATAATTCTTTCTTAAATTTACTATATCTAATAAAATGATTATTTAATGTAAATTATTTAAATTTAATTTATAATTACTTGCAGCAGATCCTACATTGTAAGTCACTTAGTTCAATTATGCGCATTAACCATTTTCTACAATATATCCTAAAAATTAACTGTCTAGGGGATAAACTACACAAAAATAAGCTGGCGAAATCACAAGACATATATTTTAAGGGTCGTATATGCAATTTAAAGCATCTGTTGATTATTAATAATTCTCAAAACATTGATTGTTTGACACAGATTTTCCTATGTACTTGGAGTTTGATTAGATTTAACAAATACCATTTTATTAACATCCTATTCCATAACCTCCATATAAGTATGTTTGATAACAATTTTAAGAAGCAGTATCAAAGCAAATTTATCCTGATGGATCTTTACAGCTGTTTAAAAATAAATGAAAAAATAAAATTAGCTTTTTAAGAAATTAATTCATATATTTAATAAATGTTTGAATGATAAATTTACTATTATTATTTAGAAGATGGGTCACTACAATAAATTTATTGGTTTGATGATAGATTTATACTGGAAACAGTTAAGCAAGTTTTCTACGAAGGATTTGAATACAATGAAATACAGAGACTTTAGCTGCAATAATATAAATCTAATTTTTAAATTATTTTATTAAATTTGATTAATTTTTCAAATTTATCAAAAACCTGAATAGTAATTATATAAACTCGCACATTATCCTCCAATCCTTTAACCCTTTTTGTTAAAAAAAAAGTTATTTAATTATCATAATGAATTTTTATAATAAATAAATACCACAGATTATTGATTAGATATAGTTACTTGTAAACATAATTAATTCGAAGATAAGCAAGCTGGGTAGGTGTAATAACAAGCAATAGCGGAGGCTTAGTTTAATCCCCCACAATAATTATTTTACAAGAGAGCTAGGCTATTATTTGAAGTACCTAAATCTACACAAGAAAATGTATTCACATCAATGCATTAACTATTTTAAAATATATTAAATCCTTTATTTAAATTCTAGAAATGATAATATATTGAAAATAAAAATGTAATTAATAATTTTGGAGAAACAAATTTGAGCAATTAAGTTTTAGAAACAATATAATATTTTACGGATAACTACAGAGGTCTAATTATCTAAAATTATTTTTTAACAAAATACAATCACCATTTGAATCAACTCCCTTTTATTTAAAATAAAATATAGATTTTGTATTTAGAGTAGTATAAATTATAAAATAATACCTGAATATTAGAATTATTTAATTTGATACATTATGATTTAGTTTTTCTAATCAATCTACAGTATGTGGGTTTGCAGTAAATTTAAATGATATTGAGAGGTTCTTCATCAAAAATACACTGATTTAAATATGTTTTCCCCTATAATAAATTTAAAAGAGTGTTATTAAAAATTGTTTATTTGTTTATTTGCTTATTAGGCTCTTACTATTATCTTGTCAGAATTATAAAGTATGCATGTATTCAAATTATCTGAGTTTTTATAATGACAAAATTAGTTGTTGCAATAAATTTATTATTAAAAAAACTGGTTTTCATCAACACAAAATCCATCTATTGTTCTTCCCTTGAATAAAAAAGTAATCATTTTTTAGTTTAACTCAATTTAGAAAAAAAATTACTGCTACTATTGAGAGCATCTTTAATTAATTAGTTGATATCTCTTTGCATTCAAGCCTTTTTAAAATGAGAAATTAAAATAATTAAAAATTATAATCAATTTACATATTCTGGTGTGACTTTATCTATATTTTTTCTTAATTAACACATAAGAAGTAATTAAGAGAAAACTTGTTAGGAATTCCTTCCTCTATTTAAAAATTTTAGTTTTAGCAATAACCTTCTTTGATAAAAGACAATTCTATTTTTATAAAGTTGAAAAAATTATAGTTCATTTTTTTTATTGATGATACCTAGAGGAGCATGAAGGTCAGATAATTTTTCACCTAAACTAATACATTAATTGCTCAATTTTTCTATTGCAACATACTTATTATCATATTTTACCTAAATACACTTATTTTTTTCTTTTGTAATGCAAATGTTGTTATGCTTATCAAAACAAAAATCAATTTCATCATAGTCGTAAGAATCCATCACACAAAGACCTTTCGCTTTCTCTTTTCCTATATATTTAATACCATCTATTTCTTAACATACTGACTCAAACTAGTCTAGGCACTGACTTTTTTAACTACAAACAAAGCAATAAAGCTCAACAAATAAGCTTAAATAAATTAGAAATTAGAAATATTTCATATAAATTCAATCAGTAGAGTAACTTGATTTCTATTTTATTTTTGATAAAGGAAATTTTTTTAAATAAATAATTATTTAATTTATGTCTTATGTTTTAATTTGATAATTTAAATATTATACAAATAAATAATAAATTTTAGTTAAAATAAATATTCATGAAAAGTAACGAATTAAAATTATATTTTAAGAATTAAGAAAACAAGAAAATATTTTTTTAGTTTTTATTTTTATAAAGATATTACGATAAAAAAAAGTAGCGCTTTAAATATAAAAGCATAAAGTATTTACTTACGGGCAATAAATAAAAGTATTTAACTACAAACAGTCTCAAAATTTGAGAAAAACATTTAAATTTGTTTTTTTTTCTTAAAATAAAAATTCAATTTTGAATTCTTTAAGGTATTAGTCTAAAAAATAATAGAAAAATGTATAAAAGCTTATAAATTAGCATAATTACATATTATTTCTATCATTTTGTAAATAATTACTATATTTTAGTAAAAATCTGTTAAGATCAACTAATAAATCTTATAAAATAAATATATCATAACTTTCCTATTCTATTAACTTACCTATTATCAGAATTCCTTTTCTAGCTAATGTTTGATAAATTAGAAATGTCATTAGAAATTTTATCAAATTTTTTGACTAAATCTATATCTCTTTTCCTTGAAAACGCTTTATATTTAATATCATCAAAAAACATCAAAAAAATAAATTGAAAACTAAAATATATATATTGAACAAATAAATTATATTTTTAAATTATTGATTACTGACTGAAGAATTTATTTCGAAACTTAAATGAGATGAATAATTAAAAAGGAAAAATTTACAATCAATTACTCATTTTTCATGCATATCACATTTAAAAGTGATGTTTACTCATTTTACTTACTTACATTCATTTATCTCTTAGCACTTACTATTTTTATTTTCTCAAATTTTATAAATAAAATTAATCAGAAAATGGCAATGCTAATTTAAATTTTTTAACAATTAAAAATCTTCAAAATTTTCTTTTATATAATTAAATATAGCTAGTTACCATATTTTCCTTGTTCATCACAATTTTATAGAAGAGCTCTAAGGTTAGAAAGGGAAGTTTTTTAGATCCCCTACCCCAAAATTTTGTAAGGTCTTACAACTCTATTCTGCTTAAGAAACTATAGTATATATAAGGTACTTACTTAGCTTTCTAAATTAAAAACAGATTTAAAAAACTTTTTGAGTAAATGTAAATCAATAAATTAGTTATTCGATAACTGTTCTCACAAAAATAAATTTGACCTTTTATCCTATTTTTTAATGAGATAATAATAAAACTATTATTTTAATTAGAAATATTAGAAAAAAAATAATTTTATAATCAATTAATTATATATAAAATTAAAAATATATTGAATATTCTAAAATTTATTGATTAAATTTAAGAAAATTGGGATATAAAGATTGAACTAATTAATATTTTATTTATGAATTTTATATTTACATGTATTTAATCTTTTATATGTTTTACATTTCTTCTTCTTTTTTAATTAATTTAATACTTTTCTTTAAAAAAATATAAATATTTTTATAGGAGAAAAGTAATTTCAAATATTAATGAATACCATTGATTTCTAAAATGTTCTTATTTTTAAACTGTTTAATTTTGGTTATAAAAAAGAAATAAAAATATTTTAAAATTTATCACTTGAAATTTTATTTATTTTAAGATAAATCTAATCTTATTTTTATTTAATATTTATTGATTTAGTGATTAATTATGCTTAAATGAAAGAATTAAAAAAATAATCTGAACGAACATCTAAAAAGCCAAATTTATCTAAAAATTAGAAGCCAGAAAGAATTACCTCTATCTACTTCACTTTTTTATTAAAGACGAAAGTCGTTATTAGCTAGTGATTTATGATATTTAAAATTCAATTAGTTGATTTTTTGTTTCGAAACCATAATATTTGTAATTGTATATTGAAGCAAACTAAAATAACAATAATTTAAATATTTAAATATTTAATGATAAATTGGTTAAAGTATTTTAGAATCAATATTATATAATTAGCAAATAGAAAATTTGATTGTTTTTAAATTCTAAATAAATTTATTTTAATTTATTTTTGAACTTTAATTATGCTATATTAAAATCAATCTAGATCTGAGGGATCAATCTAATTATCAAAGTGAATAAATTCCAAACCAATTATAAAGGATTATTACAAAATATTATTTTTTCCAAATTAAGCTAACACTTTTACTAAAATAGATTTTAAATATATAAATAAATTATTTGATAAATTCCCACATACTTTTATCCCACTTAATGAAATAATATTTATATTTTTGGCAATATAAAAATTATTAGACCTTACTGATCTATTTTAATATATTAAATAAAAATAGTTCTTCATAAAAATATTTTTTTATAAATTGCTCTGAATTTTCAGATTTTGAATTTTAAAACTAATAAAAATAAAATATTTAACCATTAATATCAATTAAGCTACATTTATAATTTATATTTATTTATTTGCCATTTTGTACATCATATTTAAAAATACCTTAATAAAATTATGCAAAAACTATAATTCATTAATTAAATATTAAAATTTTTTAAATATTTTGAATATCAGCATCTATTATCTCTAAAAAAGAAAGCTAAATTAATTAAAATGTTTTATTTACATTCTTACATTCAAAGTAATTAAAACAATATAAAATAAAATATTTTATTTATCAAATTTATGTCTATTCACTTATTGTTTTTGTTTTTTAATTCCTTAAATGATTATAAAAATACGTCAATTTATTTTCAGCATCTTAATAATAGAAATTTTATTTAAAATTTATAAATTTCATATAAGTAAGTATTTTTCTTAATTTTTCCCATTATATTTAAGCTTTCAGACTTCTTTCTACGTACTTATCCAAATTAAATAACTTAACTACGAATTTAAATTTTGATGATTTCTACTGTATTATTTGTATAATTTTTATTAATTTTGGCTTATAGTTAAATAAAATCTATGAAAATGTTATAACCATAGCAAGTAATACTAGGCAAACAAGAGCTATAGTGCATGTCAGTTGAAGCTCATTCTAATCTAATCTGAATTATATTGAATTTAAACAAAAACATATTGTAGTCAGGCATTAAATTCTAAAATCCAAAACATTTTATTTCTCATTGACGTAAGGATTAACTATTTAAATTTTGAAAACAATTTTAGTTCAAATAATTTAAATAAATTCAAAAAAAAGTATAAAAAAATATATTTATAATTTTTTAAATTAGTTCTTGCTCTTGGATATTTAAAAAGAGTTTTAAAAATAATCTGAATAAAAGATATTAAAAGTAATTACAATTCTAAGTTAGCAGAGTGTATGTAAATGACACTAGGATTGACATAACTATCTATAACTGAGTTGGTAAATATGAAAATTGCATGATAAACAAAAGAAAAATTTTATAAATTAGCCTAACTAAATCCCAAAAGTAATACACTTATTTATATTCATAAGTAAAGAATCCAAATAAAATCTAATTTTGATAAGTTTTTATCATAAATCTCCTTTAGTAGATTTTAAACACAAAATATCCATAAAATATTAGTAAAGTTGTAAATACTAACGCTAAAGCTATCAAATTATAAGCATTACTATTTTATAATTCTCTACATGAAATAGATAAATATTCAGTTACAAAAGGTTGATTGTCAAACACCTAGCAATTTAACTTTAAAAAAAAAGTATTAAAATATTAATTTTATTTTAATTTAAATAAAAACTTACAGATCTAAAGATTTTGGAGAATATAGTACTTATTGAATAGTAGACAAATATACTTGTTGAAAGTATTATATCATTTAAATATTTTTTACATTTATATTTTTTTAAAAAAAAGATATAGTAAAGCACCAAGCAAAGTATATTTAAAATATTTACCACTAATAAGAAGTAAATACCTTTAAAAGTTATACTAATTTCTTGCAGAATCTAAACTAAAAAGCACTCAGTTATCCTTAATCTATCACTAAAAAGATTGCCAATATCAATAAATAGTTAAGACACAAAATTTGGGATATTATGATCATAAAAAAACATTATTCCGATTAAAGAAGATTAAAAGATCAAAATTTTGATAACACTAAAAACATTTAAGGTTTCGTAACCATAAAATTTTTTAGAAAATAATAAGTAAACCACTTTTGTCATTGTCTTAAAGTTAATTTAATCTTTCAATCTTTAAGATAAATATATTGATATAATGAATGCCAATATTGATATTATCAAAGGATAAATGACTTCTGTAAATTTTATGTCTCTGCATCTATTAAAATTTAAAATAGATTTTGTTAAAAATAAAAAATATTCATCAAAATAAATTACCTTGAACATTTTTAGTCTAATTTCATGTAATAAGCTTCACCCCAATATTATCCACTTCTATCACAATCTTCACAAAGTGCTCCTACATATCCTAATTTATATACAAAAATAACTATAAGTTAATAAGTGAAATAAATTACCTTATCTGCAATAGTAATTCATATCATTGTGTTTAGGTGAAAGTTATCTAGTTTATATGGCTTAACTTATTTAAATGTCACCTACACAATTTTTACATGGGTATAAAACTATTGATTATTGATTAACTCTCCATAAATTTGAAGGTAAAAAGATCCTATCTCTATAACATTTAACTGACAAATCAGGGCACGATTAACATTAATTTGCTATACTAAAGCTATATTAAGTATCTTTACAGTCTTAACACTAATCATATTTTTATTCAAATTTTATAGGTATCTAGCCAATTAAGCAATTTTTAGCCATCTCTATAACAATAATTAACGAATACTTACTATAACCAATTATGTATTAGCTGGAATTGAATATGGGAATTTGAATTAAATCGCTAGTAACTTAGAGCTTAAGTTATTAATTGAAGTTTCCATAAACTTTAATTTACTGAGTTAAATTAAATTCACCATTTTAACTATAAATTTTATTCTAACTTAAGAAACCATTTCCTTCTAAAATGGCTATTTAAAGAAAGCTATATTTAGGAATATTCAAAATTTCTTAATTCTAATCACTACACAATTTTAAAATTATATCATCCTTTATATTTTAAAAATATTTAATTTGAGAAGGTTAAAAATTACTTTATTTTATATTTAATATTTAAACTAAAAAGTTAAAATTTTATAAATGAACTTAAATAAAAATGAAAAATTTTTACCTCAAGATACCCCCCAAAATGATTTTTAATTTATAAAATATTTGAGTCTGATAAAGGTTTTCCATTTATAGAAGCACTAAATTTTGTTGGTGAAGTTTAAATGTTGTCCCCATATTGAGAAGCCTTATTTTTTTAATATGTATTATTTGAAAATCTATTAACTCTTTATCCTGTAGTTGACCCTAATGCTCCTCCAAAACTTGCTTAGTTTTAAGTAAATGTGCAGTTACTTAAATTAATTAAATTTATTAAAATATTATTTTGTGTATTTTCTAAAAAAATAGCTCCACCATACTAGCTAGCTTTATTTTACTCAAAGATAGTTTCATAAATAAACATACTAGATTATTTTAGGTATATCGCTCCTCCGTTTAAGTTTGCTTTATTATTAATGAACTTAGAATTAATGATTATTAAGTTATCTAAAAACACTTATTATGCATTAATTGAGTTTGCAAAGTATTATTATGCTTATTATAAATATAATCCTGGTCCATTATATGCTATATTATTTTAAAAAGTAGAATTTAAGATTTGTAATTTTTAACCTACTATTTAAATTGTCCCAAATATGCAATATTAACATATGTTATTAGCTACATTTAATTTATAAATTTAGCTGTTCTAGCTATTATAAAAAACTGCACTTTATGCGTCTTATCTTTAATTATGCATTTTATCTAAGATATTTCTATTGTTTTAAATTAAAGTATCGGAGATATAAAAGTTCAAAATACCAAGAGTTGTAATCATATTACTTAAAAAGTAGCTATCCTAATAAATATTTTATACATCATAAAAGTTAATAGCTTCTTAAATTATCAAAATTTTTTAAAAAATAAATTTCAGATTCTCAGAGTTTTAGAAATCATATGATGTGCCTGCTGATAACTAAAATGTAGAACTTATAATTTCAACATCATGAGCTTTTTGTATGTAAATTAATGAAGAATCAACTGAATTAATTTATAACCAATATTATTTTAGAATATTGTTTTAAAGGATCTCAATTACTTCAATAAAGTATTTAATCTAACTCGTAATAGCTAAACTACTCAATATTATATAAGATTTAGAATTAGGTTAATTTTAAATGCTAATATTACTACCTCTGCATACAGAGAAGTTATTACTGAAATGACTCATTTTAATTGTTATGGCAGTTTTAAAATAAAAAGAAGGTTAGATCTATATAGCCCCTCCTTGGTTAAATGCAAAGTTATTAGAAAAATTAGATTCGAATATATATACATCAAAACCTTAAGATAATTGTCCATTAACAAATATTGCTCCTCCTTGAGTCTCTAAATTATCACTACTAAAAGCTACATTGCTTAAATATTGGCTCTATATTGATGAAAAGCTACCTTTATTTTATGATGTCCAATAAACTGCTCCTCCAATTTATGCATTACCATTAATAAATTTAGACTTATATATATGAAGCGCTTAACCTATAATATTCAGAAACCCACCTAATCTACTGGTTTTTATGTTAAGATAACTCTATTAATTAGTAAAGTTGCAATAATTTATATTTATTGAAAGAATTTATCCATTAATCCAACCAAATTAATTTTTAACATCTAATTCATTAAAACTAGAATTATAAAGGTTCACAGCTACAGTAGGGGCATCAAAGTAAAAACCTTATGATACTTTTCCTAAAATAGACTATTAACAAAAAAATATTTAAATATAAAATTTATAATATCCAAAATAATTACTTTGTTATTTAAAATATAATCTTAAAATCCAGTAAATTATACATTTTCAATTTATAAGTTGCTGGTTTACTTAGAAATAACAGAAAAAATAGACATATCTTCTTTATTATCTTTGAATACTAACATTATTTAATTGCTGATAACATTTTTTATTGCAATTTCAAGAGGAGCAATTTGCTTTTAAATTATATTATTTTCTAAATTAAATAATACTTTTGATACTTTTATACCTTATTAGATTATATCTTTAATGTTTATCTGCTAGATAGTTTATTTTAAGTAGCATATTTAAGGAGTCAAAAATTATTAGTCAGTTTATTATAAATTTATTTAACCAATTGTTACGTTAAAAATATTTTCAGTTTTAAGGAATAAAAATTCTTGATTATCTACTAAAGAAATATTGTTTACTTTAACTGTATTTAGTTTTGTAAGTTGGATTATTATTGAAGTTACCTCAGAATAAAATTGATTTCTTTGAATTATTATTTCATTTAAAGTTGTATTAGAGTTTTTATCAGTCTAAAAATCTAATAAAAAATAACTATCAATTGTAACAATGTTATCTAAAATTTGAATTTATTCAAAATAAGACGTTTAATTTGTATTATTCAATCTACCATCTTACTGCTACATAAAGTTGTAGTTAGTCACTTTATTTTATATGATATAAATTTTACTTACATTAAACTAATTAGATATAATTAAAGGTATAAGCTCTTTTTATGATTAATAAAATGTACTTTAGTAGAACTTTAAGCTAATAATTGATAGATAATTTAAGATATTTGAATTCAGAATTTAAGATCTATGGTAAAAGGTGCTATTTTCAAAAGTAATATTTTGTAAATAAATACTTATATTTTAATTTGGTGAATTATTATATCGAACATCTATAAATAGAGTTTACTAATCAAAAATTGATGATCTAATTAGTAAGTTTTATATTTCAACTTAAATAGATTACATATCTATTTAAACTAGCTTTGACTAATTAAATTATACCTAAAAATTTTTAATTTATCAATAAAAAAATCTTAAATAAAAAATATAATAAGAATAGTTTTATAGAAGGGGGTGGTGAATTGATTTTAATAATTATTTTTTTTTTATTTAATAGAAACTTTAAATATTAAAAAATTTTTAAAATAAATTGATTTGAAATGAAAATTTACATTAAGTAAAGTAGTTGAGATTATCCTAAGATATAATTAAGAATTTTAATTAGAGCTAAGAAAATTTATTAGTGGCTATTAGTCTAGCACCTTAATATTCTAAAAATTAACTTATTCTAATGTTATGTTTGTTTACTAAATGGATGAAATATCCAAAAATAATAAACGTTTATTTTGTATTAATTCTTACTGGTGGAATTAACAATTTATAAGTTAAAAAGTATTTAAAGAATCATCTTAAATACTTATTCCAAATTTATTATCACTTTTTTACTGTTAGAAAATTACATTTTAAATAAAAATTTTGTCAAAGCCTTATACAGTAAAAACACCTTATTACTAGAAATCCACAGTAAAATTTGAGTAAAGTGTTGTTATGTTTAAGATTGCTGAAAGAGTTCTAAATTTCTCCTTTAAAGTAATTGTAAAGTTTTGAGGTTTTAGATCTTAACAAATGTTATCAACAAATATTAATAAAACCTCCAACTCTTTAACTTATAATTCATTATAAAAAATTACTGCTTGATCAAATTCTAGCTCATTTATGATAAATTAGTTTAAATTAACTTCATTTAAACGATTGAAGTTAATTGGTTCTTTTAATGAACCATCACCTAATCTGCTACTTAGATCTAAGCATTAAGCATAGATTATCTTTTACTTCTTATAGTAGCAACCCTATTCTGATTTTTAGCATAAGTAGCATTTCCTTCTTGATTTATCATACGTTATACTATAATTTTATAAAATATAACTTTTATCTAAAGTTTTTTTGCAAGATAAGCATTAAGCATCATATATATATAAAGGATTCTAACTGACATTGCTTTAGTTTACACATGTTTCGCAACTTTATTTAAAATAATTATCAATTTAATAAATATAAAATTAAAAATTACAGTAATGGACAAATTTAGCAATCATCACCAGAAGAAGTTAATGTTATCATTTATTTTGGATTATTTATTTAATTTTATTTATAATAGAACATACCAACAAAATATTATAATGAAGAAATTTAATTAATTAATTTATCATAGTTGCACTGAATGCATTAAGGCTTTTTATTTATAATGATACATTTTAGGCAGTTTTATCCACATTAAATTAAAATGCATTTTTTGAATTATTAATCGAAGTAATACCCATCTAAGCATCCTGTGCATATCAATTTATAGTTTTTATTTTTATAATCTAATCTATCTTATATAGTGATGTAATCTCTTTTATATATTAATTATGAAGTGAAGTTAAATGTACTTGTACCTTGTTTATAAATTATAATAAAAATTCAATTTTTGTAAGTATATATTTAAAAATCAACCTTCATAACATTTGGAACATCCTTCTGGGCATTTAATGCATCCATAGATAGATGGAATACTTTGTTCATCTTAGCATTTTGTACATTAATAAACTTAATTGTTTAACTTTAAACTCTAGTCTTGATATTTATAGCACTCTGCGCATCCTAAAATCTTAATTTAAAAATAAGGTATGAAAAATTATTTTAAATTTTAACAAATTAATCTACATTGTTTTTACAAAGATCATCTTAGCATCTTGGGGGGTTAAAAATTTAGTTTAATATTTATCCATTACTACAAAACTAACATTAAACTTTAAAGGAAGAAGTAGTAATACAATTATTGCATAGTGATTGCTGAGATAATGATTAACAACCATATTCACATTTACTTTAATCACTTGCTAATATGTACCCTTAAGAGCAGCTTTTACAAATTTTGCTAATACTTATATTTTGTTATTAACTACCTACAAATAACCATATCTCTTCTGTTAAATCATAATTCTGTGTACCTTAAACTATTTTAAAACTGCTATAATCGCAATTTAGTGTTTATTACACACAAGACTAACCTAATTTATTTAAATAAATCTTTTATACAAAATATTTAAAATATAATTTTACCATCAAATGAAACAAAATATTCTTTAGGGCATTATAAACACTTTTTTATGTAATTTTTAGTTTGAAACTAGGAATATGATAAAGCAGTTAGTTAATCTATGCTATAATTTAGAACTTCATCTTTATTCTCTATATTTTTTAAAATTGATTTTCACAAATTATTAAAATTATTTAAAATAAATTCATTTCTAATTTCATTAATTATTAAGAGAATTTAAAAATTTAACAATATGTTAGATTTTTTAGATATAAATTTTAGAGATTTGAGAAAAATAATATTTTTATAAAAATAAAAAAAAGTTTTTTTTGCTCAAAACTAAAGCAAAAAGTAATAATTTTTTTGGAGGTTTTACAAAATATTTAAATATTGTTTTGTTATAATTTCTAATATTTAAATAAGTATTACCATATTAACATTAATCGCAATTAACACCACATTAAACACATGATATTAAATCATATGAAACAAGGTATTTAGGTTTACATTCTAAGCATATTTTTATAAACTAAAATTCATTGATTTTATTATTGTCTATTTCACTTTTAAATACAGCTTTTCCATTTAAAATTGCTGCATATTAACAGTAATTACAATTATCAGGGCATTTTTCACAAATATCTCCATTTTAAACATACTAAACTTAACATTTGATACAAGTTGATTTTGAATTAGATTCTTGAACACATGAAAAACATCCTTCTGGACCTATTATTTAAAAGATATTAGTATTTTACTATTTTTTTATATTTACATAGCACTGATTAATATTGAGTAATGCTATATAATCCTAATGTTGATTATACTAGGTAGTTTATTGCCTAATATTTTGAAAATACAACTTATAAATTTTGATCTAGCTATAAAATGAAATTTTAGCATGTTTTATATTTAGATTGGCTCTACTACCTTTTTAATTAATATTAAATAAATATTATTTTTAAATTTGATTATTAACTCATACCACAAAGAATATTCTGATGAGCAGTCCAGACATTAGTAAGTAGGAATTTATTTATAATAAGGACTTAAACTTAAATCTTAATTAGGAGGCTATTCATTGAAACATTTTATACAAATTGATTTTGTTTTGGATTCTTGATATAAAAAGTAACCTTCAATACATTAAGTACAGAAAGAAGGAGAGTTGCATGAATAACAACTAATTTATTTTTAAATTATTATATTTATCATCAATAAATTTAATTTAAATTTTAAAATAATAATAATACCCTAATGGACACTTGAGATATTAGTTTACCAGACAATAGTTTTAATCATAACAGTCTTATTTAATATAAATCAATTGCATTTCAAAGTATACTTATTAAGGATAAGGTGAATGTTCTAACTTTTATTCTAAGCTGTAGCATTTTTAATCTCCTGGATTTATAAAGTACATAGGACAAGATAAACATTCATTATTATTAATTGATATATCTTAACAAAAGCTTTAATTGTTCATACAATTCATATTTCCATTCTAGTTTGGTACATTTAAATTTTAAATTACACAGGTTTTTAACTTTTTGATTTGTTCAAAGCACTATCCATTATTAACTAACTTTAATAAACTTTTATAATTTAAACATAATTTATTAATTAAGCAGTAATTATCAGGACAGATATCGCAAAGTCCAGAATCTAGATATTAGCAAAATCCTAATTTTTAGTTAAACACAGTTATTTTATAAATTAATTAAAATGTTGAGATAAAAAGTTTTATTTGGTAATTTGGTAAAAAATTAGTTACTGACTAAAATTTAATGCTTTTTATTTTAGTTTGAAAATATCTTTTTTTATAATCTAAAATAATATCAACCTTAGCTATCCTTGCAATAAGTAATTGATGGTTATAAAAGGTCTTAACATGTATTTTTATTAGATTGAGACAAGCATTAATTTAATTCACAATTAAAACAGGATCCATTTTATACACAAAAACCATTTTTATCAATACACATCCCTTTTTTTGTATTAATTAACTAGCAGGTATTTGTTGTTTGATCTAAACAATATTTTTCAACCGCACACATTATCTTTATTATGAATATAAATAAATATATAAAAATTTAATTTAAAATTAAAATTTACTGCTTAAGGTTATCCCATCTATAAGCATAATTAGGTGTCTTTTTATATACCTATAATATTTAATTTGTAGATAAAAATCTAAAATTTATTATTATTATAATTTACCAATAGTATTTGGATTACTAAAGTCTAATTTGAAACAAGATGCTTTATTTGTTAGGGGGTCTGTCAATAAGCAGTACCTATTATTTAAAATATATTATAATTTTCACTTTTATTATTTATAAACAAAATATTTGCAAAAATATTACCCATTTTTATAACAATTAGAGGCTCCATTCTAACCTTATGACTATTCTTATAAACATATTTATGTTACATTTTCTTAGCCTGGATGACTATCTGATAAAGGTATGCATGCTCCAGAAGATATACAATATTACTACTGGCAAATTATAGCAACTTAAGCTCCTTATGGAAGACATTATTGGTTAAAAA